GGTACCCCCTGCCGCGTATCGAAGACATACTGCATGCCGCCAAAACCAGTGAGTATATGACTACTCTTGATCTTCGCTCAGGGTACTATCAGGTGAGCGTTTCCCCAGAAGACCAAGATAAGACGGCTTTTACAACGCCACTCGGTACCTTTAGATTTAAGCGAATGCCGATGGGGTTGCGGAATTCCGGAGCTACCTTTCAGAGGATGATGGATCGGTTCCGCTCCAATCTGAAGGGAGTAGAGCTCCTGGCGTACCTGGATGATCTTATTTTGCTGTCACCGGGCCCTTTCGAGAGGCACCTGGCCGATCTGGAGGCGGTCTTCGATCGACTTGCCATGTTTAAGTTACGAGTTAACAGGGACAAGAGCGTCTTTGCAAGGGAAAGTGTAAAATTCCTAGGACACGTCATCGTCCCAGGTGGAATCCAGGTGGATCCTGACAAGACTGCAGCCGTTGACAACATGGCCGCCCCTCGGAATGTTAAGCAATTGAAGTGCTTCCTACAAACGTCGAGTTGGTACCGACGTTTTGTTAATAATTACGCAGAAATCGCGAGACCCCTAACTAACCTCCTGAAGAAGTCAAGTGCTTGGCAATGGGGCACTGAACAGCAGGAGGCGTTTGAGCGCATCAAGTCCCTTCTCGTTTCTGCTCCTATTCTCCGCCAGGCGGACGAATCAAAACCTTTTACCCTTTGCACTGATAGCAGCGCCTATTGTCTCGGAGCTGTTCTCATGCAGGGGGAGGGTCATGACGAGCGGCCGATCGAATACGCGAGTCGGCTCCTCACTAGCGCCGAGAGGAACTATTCCACGACCGAGCGAGAGGCACTCGCTGTCGTGTGGGCACTTGGCAAGTTCCGCGGGTATGTGGAGACCGCGAAGGTCATCGTTAGGACGGACCACCAGCCCTTACGGTGGCTGATGAGTCAAAGGTCGCCTAGCGGTAGACTGGCCAGATGGGCTTTAACTCTGCAAGAATTTGATCTCAGCATTGAGTACACACCCGGCCGCTCAAACGTGGTCGCAGATACCTTGTCGCGACCAGTTTGTGAAGGCAACCAGGATGAGTGTGACCTGCGGATGACCGTCGTGGATATGCCGAAGAGAAGCAGTGGTGATATCCGCAGCAATCAGCTGATGGACCCAGAGGTTTGCAAAATTATTGAGGATATGGAATCCGACGAACCCTCCAGGGGGAGACCGTGGTCTGATCGCGGATACACCATATCTGACGGTATCCTGTACAGGTACAGCTTGGAGTCTGACGACGGAGAAGACTGTTGCCTAGTTGTCCCTGAACATGAACGCAAGCAGGTTATGGCTGATCTACACGATGCGCCGACAGCTGGCCACTTTGGTGTGGACAGAACTTTAAGCCGCGTTCGTGCTAGGTATTATTGGCCCGGCATGCGAACGTTCATCGCCAACTATATAAAAGAATGCGTGCCTTGTCAAAGATATAAGGCTAATAATCGCAAACCTGCAGGTTTACTGCAAACCCCTGCCGTATCAAGACGTTTCGAGGTGGTCTCAGTAGACCTGTTTGGGCCACTCGTAGAGACTCCTAGGAAAAACAGGTGGGTGTTGATTGTGGAAGACGTCTGTTCGCGCTGGGTAGAATTATTCCCATTGGAGAGCGCCACCAGCGTCGAATGTGCTCGGACGCTTGTCGGGGAGGTCTTCCTCAGGTATGGAGTGCCGCGCCGCCTTATCAGCGATAATGGCGTGCAGTTCGTGAGCGACGTCATGCAACAGGTATGTCACATCCTAGGTATCAGCCAGTCGCTCACACCCTACTATCACCCGGAGGCCAACCCGATAGAGCGGAAGAATCGCGATTTGAAACCGCAACTAGCCATACTTGTGGGCCAAGACCATGCAACCTGGGACTTACATCTCGCCTCAGTAAGGTTTGCTATGAATTCAGCTATCACTAGTAGCACGGGACATTCCCCGGCGTACCTCACTTTCGGGAGAGAGTTGAGGGGCCCTACTGATCCCAAGGTAGACATGAGAGCCGTCATAGAACATGACAACTTCGTGCCCAGTATTACGCCCTATCTACGGAAGTTGGCCGCGACCCTAGACGAGGCCAGGGATATACATGAGAAAGCGCAAGCCAGTCAGAAGCAGAACGCTGACCAGAAGAGACGGCCATCGTCAAATTACGAGGTAGGTGACCTTGTTCTGTTAAAAACGCAAGGACCTAACGACGCAGCCCGCGGACAGTCCGCGAAGTTTATACCTCGTCGCGATGGCCCGTATAAGATAGGGAAAGTTTTTAGCCCAACCACTTACGGTTTGGAGAGCGTACAAACCGGGTCGGACTTAGGGAAATATCACGTTTCGCACCTCACGCCCTTCGCGGGTCAAATAGAACATCCGGTTCGCGAGAAACGCAAGCGCGGCAGACCGCGTAGATATTTAGACTAGCCCAACTGCGGGGACACTTAGTTAGGCTAGAGGGGGAGGATGTAACGGGGGTTTTAAAAATAAAGATAACCTAGTCTATGGTATTAATATCTGTGGTAATAACGTAACGCTAGAAGCCAATAGGCGCGCGCTCGCGACCGCCCCTTCCCGCCACCCGCTACCCCGCGCGCCAGCGCAGGGGTGCGAGTGGAGGAGGAGAGAGAGCCCCGACCACTGACGCGTACGGACGTGTTGAAGAATCCTCCGCGGCTCTAAGTCGCGTCGCCATTTTTTTAATCTAGAACTTTCCTGTACCGATCTGTATTAGAGTTTAATGTGGATAATGTAACTTTCGGTGATTTTAATGAGCAATAAATGTACTTTTGCCTATTAAACACGTATTTTTATTTTCTCACAGAAACGAATAGTTTCGAAGATATATTGATTTGAAATGTCGCGTGACGTCACTTCTCAGTACATTTTATACTAAGGAATGACGTTTTAGCCCCCACTCCTAAACTTTGATTCGTTTTATCTAAGTATTGTTTTATTATACGACAAAATAAAAAAATACGTGTCTAATATTTTTTCATTACCTAACTTACGGACTAATTATATTTTTAATTTTCATACCCTGTCATCATCCCCATTGAAGTGTTTTTCTACCTTGAAGTTATGTATTGTTTTGGTTTTTTGTATTGCTGAACAAATTTAAACTTATTCCTAAGAAGCCATGTACAAAGTATGATAAGAATCCGCTTAACCATTTCAAAGATCTAGCAAAACCAAAAACGTTACCCCAGCAGAATCTCGAAAACCTTCGCAACCGATGAAAGAACAAATACAAAATAAGGCACAACATTTACTTCATCTACACAACTGATTTTGTAGCTAGTAATTATTTAAAAATTCCCATTAGAAAGAAAACGGTCTGGCTGGGGTAACGTTACCCCAGCAGGAAATGTTGTTGTGAAATAATTAAAAAACTATAAGCGCAACAAATTTAAAATTGTGCGCAACAATTACAGAAGCCGCACAACTAATTATCTATAAGATTCAAATGACCATTTTCGACAACATCTGGCCTGGGTAACGCACACCAGTTTTACTCTATTTTACCTATACATCATCATCATCATCAACAGCCTATAAATGCCCACTGCTGAGCAAAGCCTCTTCTCACACGGAGAAGGTTAGAGCATTAATCACCACGCTTGCTCAATGCGGGTTGGCGATTTCAAACTTACAATTAGAAATTATAAGTTCAGGTTTCCTCACGATGTTTTCCCTTCACCGTTTGTCAGTGGTGTCTAAATAATCTTAGAAAGTACATATAACTCGGAAAAAGTCACATAGGTACTTGCCGTTGGTAGGTTTCGAACCCGCACCCTCATGCATGAGAAGTGGGCGTCTTAAACCTCCGGGCCATCACGATCTATACATATTCGTATTAAAAGCAGAAAGGGTGGCCAGCAATGGCGCTAAAGGCTAGATTAAATTTGAAGACGTGTCCCACGACGCTGGATTTGCAATGACAGTCCAATTTTTTGTACCAATGGTAAAAGAGGGCACTACCGTATCTCTAATACAGCTGAGACCTGCTGATGATTATTCAGACGTTTGATTTTTGACATGAAATGGAGCGGTCCACCAAGTTGAATATTTTTTGTAAAAGCAAGTACATGTCAATCTCTAATAGTTTGGTTGGGCTCTTGTGCCTTCTAACCAGGGTCACCAGGTAATCGAGATTTTCAATTATCCTATTTTTTATGTAACCTTCATGTATGTGGCCATTAAACCCTAACTCTGTACCAAATTTCAGCTTAAGGAGTTAATGGGCAGTACCAGGTCTATTTCGATGATCATGAGTGAGTGAATGAGTGTCATAAATGCGAAACTTTGCTTTCGCTTACCTTTGGAATTAAATGACTACAGACAGACTTAAATTTTGGATGTTAAGTGTGTGATTATTACTTAGGCTTACTGGATGATAAAAAAAAATTGCGTTCTGGTCTTATCAAGCGGTTCTCATATGTGAAAATGTGGCGAAATGGTTCCAGTAAAGGATGGTACGGCAGTGTTTGCTTTGCGCTCGACTTGACGAGGACACTGCCGTGCCCCCAGATACGTACATTGATTTGTAGATTCTGTATAAGTTATACTTTACCCTTTCTTACACTATGATTAAATAAAAATGCTTATTTTTTATATAAAAATGGTTTAATATCCAATAACAGGTGGGTTCTTAATCAAGTTTACGATTCATCACAAAATTATATCAACTTATAACAAACATCCGATTCCAGGAATACAATCAACGATAATCATGTCGCGGAAACAGAATGTTAAGGAATAATATAATTATAAGGACAGCATTCATTGAAATAATCAAGGAGGTAATATTGTTTACAATTAGACGTTATCACAAGCTCATTAACTTGGAAATTGAGTTTACTCAATTCTCCAACTCTAATAATTATGAGTAAGTATAAAAATCGCATCAAAACTTAAAGGTAAATTCTAAAACAACACTTATAAAAATACTGGCACATTTTGTAGAGATGAGATTCATGGTTGCCATAACTAAATACTCAGGGCTGCCAACATTGCTCTGACATCTTTAGGGTTGTCCTCAATTTTGAGAATATCTCTAAAGGCGCGGACACACGTAGCTTCTTTTTCAAGATTTTTGGATATTTGATGTGCTTTGAGAGTGATTTCTTTAGGTATGCCCGCTAGCCGGGCTGCGTTGAAACCGTAGGATTTTGGACAAGCACCCGGAGACAGTTTGTATAGGAATGTTATTGTTTCTTCCGGAATATGGTCTTCGCTGTCTGGCGCCGATTCGTCCGTTTCTACCATGCAGGCCTGTAAACGATGGTTAGTATTCAGTATGAGCATTAAAGTATATGACATCATATATGGCTGCATGACTAACGCAGCACTGGGCAACTTGTCGCGGGTTCGATTCCCGTATGGAACAAAAACTATTTGTAATCTACCTCGCACTAAAGATCTACCTTGTAATAGCTAATACTCTCGTAGTGATATACCTATATAACCTACAAAGCTATGTCCTTACCTCGTTTTGAATCTACTTAAGGTATTTGCAATTTAGTGGTGTTAAAGTCATTGTGGGAGGCCTATGTTCACCAGTGGACGTCCTATGGCTGATATGTTGATGATAGTGAAAAAATCTGCTTACCATATGTCCCAGCATGATGCCGGGATGTGAGGACAAGTGGTGCACCAGAGAATGGTAGTGCGTAGAGAATATGACGCGACAACTTCGCTCGGCTAGCTCCGCGCACACTGCTGACGCGAGCGCCGTGCCGTCGTATGTCGATGTGCCGCGCCCTGAAATTATATTGCCTTGCTTATAACTTTGACGTCTACCTTTAACTTTGCCTTAGAATTGTTGTGGACTTGGTTTTGATGATTTATCCAATCCATGGCCAAATAACACCACGCGCATCAAGACCGTGCTCGTGAAGAACTCAATATCATCATAACTTGTTAAATACATACAAGATACTAATGAAACTTTACATACATTTAAAGGCAGTTACAAGCTTTAGAATAACGTTTAAAGTAAGTCTATAGAGCTCTTATTGAGGGTGCTGGAACCAATTGAGGTGTTTTTCTATTTAATGAAGCTATGTATTATTTTGGTTTTTTTATTGCAGAACAAATTTAAACTAATTCCTAAGAAGCCATGTACAAAATATGATAAGAATCCGCTTAACCATTTCAAAGATCTAGCAAAACCAAAAACGTTACCCCAGCAAAATTTCGAATAACTTCGCAACCGATGAAAGAACCAATACAAAATAAGGCACAAAATTTACTTCACCTAGACAACTAATTTTATAGCTAGTTATTATTTAAATATTCCCTTTAGAAAGAAAAAGGTTTGGCTGGGGTAACGTTACCCCAGCAGGCAATGTTTTTGTGAAATAATTTAAATAACTACATATAAGCGCAACAAATTTAAAAATGTGCGCAACAATTACAGAAGCCGTAAAATTATCTATACTAATTTTATAAAGCTGAAGAGTTTGTTTTTTTTGTTTGTTTGTTTGAACGCGCTAATCTCCGAAACTACTTATTCGAATTGAATAATTCTTTTTGTGTTGGATAGTCTATTTATTGAAACCGTGATAAATGTGTAAAAACGGGGAAAATTATTCATCTTTGAGGGTGTATGATATATGAATACAGTTCAAGATACACAAAATAAATGTATGAATGAATTATTCGTCTTAAAATGATCTATATCCGCGACACTATATGTCTATCTTTTAAGATTAACTCATAAGAACCGCTTTTATGGTAACTAATTTGGTCGAAATTATTAACTCACCTAACTCGTCGAGTAACACAAGTGAGTGTAGAGTGGCATGCGTCACTATTGCGGCGGTCTCATTCATCTCCACTAAGAAAGTGGACTGGCCAGAGAAGATGTCGTCCGACGCACCCAGGCGAGTAAAGATACGGTCCACCAGACTTAGCTTGCATTCTTCAGCTGGTACATAACTACCCTGAGAAAATTAAGAATTCAAAACTTTACATTCATGTGTATAGAGTCGCAATTTGAATAACCTAAGCACTATTCGACTAGTAAGTGAGTACGCAATTCTAATAGTTACTTAACCCTGTTCTTAGAAATTGTTTTGTTTTTAAGGAATCAAATCGTTTACTAAAATATAGTTTAATATAACATCACACCTTTTAAAGGTTATTTTATTGATGTACAACTGAATTAAACAAATAATTATTGACATAACATTCAGTTCATATATCCAATCCAGTGGCCAAATAACACCGCCCGCATCAAGACCATGCTCGTTAAGAACTCAATATCATCATAACTTGTTAAATACTTAAACTCTTTTTGAGAGTGCTGGGACCAATTGAAGTGTTTTTCTATTTAATGAAATAACCTTTGAGCTATGTATTATTTTGGTTATTTTATTGCAGAACAAATTTAAACTAATTCCTATAAAGCCATGTACAAAATATGATAAGAATACGCTCAACCATTTCAAAGATCTATTATAACCAAAAACGTTACCCCAGCAGAATCTAGAATAACTTTGCAACCTATGAAAGAACAAATACAAAATAAGGCGCAACATTTACTTCATCTAGACAACTAATTTTATAGCTAGTAATTGTTTAAAAATTCCCATTAGATACAAAAAGGTCTGGCTGGGGTAACGGTACCCCAGCAGGAAATGTTTTTGTGAAATAATTAAAAACTATAAGCGCAACAAATTTAAAATTGTGCGCAACAATTACAGAAGCCGCACAACTAAGATTCAAATGACCATTTCCGACAACATCTGGCCTGGGTAACACACACCACATTTAAACATTATTTTACTTTTTAGCGGGCAGACGGATCACTTAACATTAAGCTATCGGCGCCTGCCCATGCACACCCGCAACACAAAAGAAGTAACACGTGGGATGCGCGCTTTAGAGAATTGAGAATTTGAACATAATGATATACTCACTAAATGCGCGAGAACCGTGATGAGGCCGGCCTGCCTCATGAGCGTGGACTTGCCTCCCATGTTGGGGCCAGTCAACAGTAACAAGCTGGCGCCCGCCGAACCCAGCTGGGTGGCGTTGGGGATGAAGTCCACCACGTTAGATATACAGGGGTGGCGGCCTTCCACGATGTTTAGATATGGCTGGAAAAAATATTAGATAGTTATCAATTCATGATGGATACAATATTAACTTCTGTCAGCGTCTTCGCCCGCGTATCTAGGTTAAAAGTGTACTGAAACGCAATAGGGTAGGTAGATGACTAATTTTTATTTTAATGTCCGTCTGGTAGATTAAAATCTACCATAATCATACCTAATCTAAATAATTATTTAAAAATATTAGACACGTATCTTTTACTTTCTAAATTTAAGTTAACATACCTTCTGGTCCTCTTCAAAAGTAATTTCAGGCAGACATATATCCCCGCTCTGTTGTCTAGCGAACTCAGTGAACGCCAGCAGTATGTCGAGTGTAGACAAACATTGCACCGCCGTCTCCCACTGGTTGTAGTGCGAGGAGAACTTCTCGAATATTCTACGACTCAAGTCTTTCAGTACGTTTGATTTCTGTTCTTCTGCTGCCATCATACGGGCCAGGAGGTCCTACAAACAATTAATCAAAGTCAAAATCATTTATTTTAATTAGACTATGAAGGCACTTTTAACAACTTGAATGCGGTGCATACGAAACAAAATAGAAAATACATTGTGTCTCGAGTGAATCCACGTTTAGACAATGACGGGTTAAAAATCAATAAGGAATTTAAAGTGAGATTATTTGTTCACTCCAAGGTGTAGATTCCTATGAAGAAGAACGAGCAAGAAACTCCATAGGTTACCCTTTTTCAATCAGGTCCACAATACAATTATCTAGTTATAATTATAGTTTAATAAATAACTTGTATTGTGCTAGCGTGATTATTTCTTCCGAATTATACACAATGTAAACGGAACCCTCTCGATAAACGCCGACAGATGATGGCAAAAAAAGTTTCATATTCATAAAATAACAAATTAGATGTTTCTTTCATGTAACAATAGTTGTAATAAACTGCTCAAGGCTGATGTTGCATGAATAACAAGAAAACAAAAAATATTAAAATTGTAAAAAACTATTTTTTTTTCCAGCGTTTCGAGATCGTTCATCACCCTATATGTTTAACGAGATCGAAACGAGACCGCGTTCGGCGCTGATTGGTTTACTCCAATGAATCAATCAATCAAGAGTAGGCTTAGTACTAGTTTATTTTACGTTTACAGTAATCTAAACGAGTAAGCGTCCGGCGCTCTGATTGGCCGACTCCAACGAATCAATCAATCAGAGCGTCGAACGTGTTCTCGTTTCAATCGAAACAATTCACTTCTCGAAAGTAATCATTTTAAATGTAAAACTTCAATACATACCTTAGTCTCACAAGTAGAGAATCTCTTGTATCCTTTTCTTGCGCCTTCCAGATTGTAATCGGCGCTGGCTTTGGCGGCCGCGCTCTGTGGTACTTCTATTTGATACCTCTTCTTGTCTGTGCCCACGTATGATAACTGGAATGTATATCATTAACATAACCTATGTATTATATACGAATAAAGCTAAAGAGATTGTACTGATCCAATTTGAATAATTCTTTTTGTGTTGGGTAGTGCATGTTATCAAAGAATTGTCAGTTATCAGTGAAATTTCATACTAAAAATTTCGAACCACAGAAGGGTAGGGGTTTCATCGCGTGCGCGGTCGCGGCGATGTCGCACAGCCTACCCCGCGATTTTTAATTAATTTAGTATGTCTCACGATAGTTATTACAATCATACTGTTGAATTGCAACACTAGCGTCCATTGCATACGTGATGCGTGGATATTGAATTAACTAAATGGTATTGTGTTTGGCTTTATCTTCCGTACTCTGAATGTTACTTTATCAGCTACGATAGGAGTTGTATAGTTTTGACATTGGATTTCAATGAATTACCCGACATTTGAAGTATTTCTCCTGTTGACTGAGGTAGTCCTTCAGCTCTTCTTCAATTCCCTTGATAAGTTGCAGCGTATTGTCATACTCCTGGTCGACGCCTTCGCCCGGGAGAATACGACCTTCTTTTTCAGCTTGTGCTTGGTTGAAAGCTTCCTGAAATTTAATTTTAAAACGTCATTCCATCAATTTATATTCGTGGTTCACAATTCGTCCCTTTTTAATAAATTATAGTAATATTTGACTACGTTCTCTGATCAAATTCAAAATTATTCAATGTCGACAAAAAATATTACGGTTTTTTTTTACAGTGCAATTTCATAGGACAAAATTATCCTTAATCATCATCAGCCAATAAGTAGCCACTGCTATGCAAAAGCATCTCCTCAAAAGGAGAAGGTTGCGTTTATCACCACCCTTGCTAAATGCGGATTTTTCAATCTAATATTTAGAAATTAGAAAGACAGGTTCCCCTCACAACTAAATAATTTATACTACTAATTTTCCGTAAACTTAAAATTCTTTATTGCCACAAAATTCTATCACTCTGTCAAATTTTTCTTATATAAGCAACTTATTGTAGTAGTTTCATCTATATATATAAATCTTAAATCTATATATATAAAATTCAAAGGTGATTGACTGACTGACTGACTGACATAGTGATCTATCAACGCACAGCCCAAACCGCTGGACAGATTGGGCTAAAATTTGGCATACAGATAGATGTTATGACGTAGACATCCGCTAAGAAAGGATTTTGATAATTTCCACCCCCAAGGGGGTAAAAAAGGGGATGAAAGTTTGTATGAAACTTTGTCAGTTTTTAACTGATCGGGTTGAAATTTGGCATGCAGATAGATGTTATGACGTAAGCATCCGCTGTGAAAGGATTTTGATAATTTCCACCCCCAAGGGGGGTAAAATAGGGGATGAAAGTTTGTATGGGACTTTGTCAGTTTTGAACCGATCAGGTTGAAATTTGGCATGCAGATAGATGTTATGACGTAAGCATCCGCTTTGAAAGGATTTTGATAATTTCCACCCTCAAGGGAGTAAAATAGGGGATGAAAGTTTGTATGAGACTTTGTCAGTTTTAAATCGATCGGATTGAAATTTGACATGCAGATAGATGTTATCACATAGGCAACCGCTAAGAAAGGATTTTGATAATTTCCACCCCTAAGGGGGTAAAATAGGGGATGAACGTTTGTATGAAGCTTTGTCAGTTTTACACCGATCGGGTTGAAATTCGGCGTGCAGATGGATATTATGACGTAAACGTCCCTTTAGAAAGGTTTTTGAACATTCTCACCCCAAAGTGGGTAAAATAGGGGGTGAAAGTTTGTATGATACTTTGCCAGTTTTAAATTGACCGGGCTGAGACTTTGCATGCATAAAGTTACTATGACATAGGTATCTCTTTAGAAAGGATTTTGATAAATTCCACCCCTAAGGGGATAAAATAGGGAATGAGAGTTTGTATAAATCTTCTTAGCCGTTGAATTTAGAATCATTGAATCTTTTTGAATTACATTCGGTAAAACGATGATTTAGGACCTGGGTAACGTATGATAGTTTTTTCACAGATGTCTCACGAGAACGGGAACTATGCGTCAATGCCCCAGGACTCTCTTACTCTTAACCACTGAACTTATTCTAGAAAGATTGGGTACAACAATAGTCGATAGAATAGTTTTTATTACTCAAACCTTACGTGATCGGGCACTGTACTGGTAAGATACCTGCGGGATTATTTATTTATTGAAACTACGATAAATCATTTCAAAATAGGTAAATCTTACTTGGGCACTGAATTGATTCTGGTTAATTCTGTCAGAAGTCATTAATCTACGCGGACGAAGTCGCGGGCAACAGCTAGTAATACATAATTATGTTTCTTTTGTTTTTTTTTTATCTTTGTGAATCATTACAACTTTGTTGTCTGTCAAGACTATCATAACAAAATATTCTACACAACTACATATTTTAATTTTTATGTTATTAATTTAATCGATAAAACATGCTTGCTGTGATTTCCTTTATTTGAAAGAGTGTATGTACTTACCAAACTTAAAATTTTGTAAGATTTTCATGGCATGTGTTGGAGATCCTAAGTACTGATCACTCCTCAAGTGGTCACCGGTGACCGCTCTGTACTAATTCCAATATAGACCTCATATCCGATATTTAGAGACTACTTTTGGATAAACAAATTTTGGGAATTTATATCAGGTGATTGTGTGTTAAATAAACATTAGACTGACCTTAAAAAACTTCAAAGTCTCTCTATAATCAGGGTACTTCCCATCAGGATGGAACTGCATGATCTTCTTCAGCAATTTAGAGTCGATATCGGAGAATAAATCCACAAGTTTCAAAGCTGCTGTGAATCCGTTCAGGATGGATATAAAATCTAGAACCTTTCGTTTTGAATATGTCTTTTCTTCATAGAATATGGCGCGAGCGTCTGGATGTTGCTTCGAACGTTTCAGATTACCTAATGCGTGTACTCTGGAAAAACATAAAAAAAATGTAGTTTTCTTACTCAAAAATATTTTGATTTATAAAGAAAAAAAAAGCATTTATATGGCATGTAGGCACACAAAAATAAAGATTATAATAAATAAAAATAAAATTACAGATACTGATATAATACAAAATATTAGTAATAAACTTAAAGGGTAAAGAAAAGAACAAAAAGCAATCAAAAGGACTCCAGAGTATTCCAGGTGTCCATGGGCGACGCCGATTGCTTACCATCAGGTGATCCGTCGGCTCGTTTACCGGCTTATGCCATAAAAAAAACTTACTTGGCCAAAAGCCTCTCTAAATCAGGTAATGTGGTGAGGATAGTCTTGGCGTCCTGGCAGAGTTCTTGGTTGTCAAACAACGCCTTCACAGCCTCCTGCCTCTCCTTTATTACAGATATATTGCAACTTGGAGCGCACACCCATTGGTACAGTAATCTGCAAATTAATCATATTTTTTAAGTTATGTTATATTATTTCTTTATTTTCAGTCATGATCGTGTCACTGCCTCGTTGGCCGAGTGGTCGCAAGTACGACTGCCAGGCAAGGGGTCTCGGGTTCGATTCCCGGCTCGGGCAAAGTATTGCTGGGTTTTTAAAAATTCTCAGTAGGAGCACGGAGTCTGGAATTGCGCACGGTATATGGCAATAGGCTCACCTCCTATTACATGGGGCTCACAACATAAATAGTGAGAAGTGGGTGTTATATTGTACAGTGGCATAATTTTATTTATTTATTTAATCTTTAATGTACACAATTTTAATATGGCACATAAGGCGGACTTAATGCCATATGGCATTCTCTACCAGTCAACCTTAGGGTTTAAATAGAAAATCTGCGAAAAATAAGGTACGGAGAATAAACTAACAGCAAAGAGAGAGAGAGGAAAAAATAAATAAAAAGGTAATTATTCAATAATATAGCTATACATATATATTACATAATAGTAAATAGTATATATAGTCATATGCATAAAATATATAGGTATAAATACATAAATAAATATATATCGACGAAGACCTAAACCTAGCGTTGCAGCGATTTTAAGTAAAATTCATGAACTTGGTGTTTAAAGGAGATTTTATTAGGAGCTTTTTTGATATTGAGGGGGAGCGCGTTCCAAAGTTTAATGACACTTATTGTAAAGGAATTAGAAATAAAAGAGGTCCGGTGGGAAGGTATTTCAAGGAGCAAGTTGTGCCCAGTTGCCCAAACACCGCGCCAACCGTGCAAACTGCAGCAAACATCACTTTAGATAATTAACTAAAAATCGCGGGTTACTCACGTGAATTAAAAACTCTACTAGTTTCGAACCACAGAGGAGTTCTTCCTCATGAGCAGCGTGCGCGGTCGCGGCGACGTCGCGCAGTCTGAGTAGGCTGTTTTCAGTATATTTACGAGCAACCTGCGATTTTTAGTTAATTATCTAAAGTGATTTTTCTAAAAGTAGGTACACACAGATTATGATATCAAATTATAAGTTTGCGATCGCCTAATTTGCCTCGCTCAAGCTTGGTGATTAAATCATCATTTTACGCGTGAAAAGAGGCCTTGTTGTTAACAGTAAGACAGTTACAGGCTTATAATGAATATGTATTAGTATGTCCTACGATAATTAATATAAAAACATCACTTAAGATAATTTTAGAAAGTACATGTAACACAAATTCGATCCCATCACGACCCGTCGACCAGCCAAGTATAATATTATGTAAACGAACACTGACCTCTTCCCCATGTGTGTAGAACAGAAATTCAATCTTTCATACAAGCATCCTTCATCCTGTACAATCCTCAAGTTTCTCAAAGTAATCGCGTCGAGGACCATAGTACTGCCACCCTTCCAGCGATTCTCGACCTTGACTTCAGCCGGTAAGGTCTTGTTTAGTACGTCGGGGGGAGCGTAGGAGGTGAATTGGTTCATGCCTAGCACCTGGATGTCTAGCAGGCAGTGAGTGAGGCAGGCCACCACTCCGCCCAGCGCTTTGATGCCCAGGTAGCAGTCGGGGGCAGGGGTCAGGCCCAGAGCGTCTCCTGAAAAAAAAAAGCAAATTTTAATAGTCATCACCATTTATTATCGGCTACTTCTACGAAATTTCACCGAGAATTCAGTTTTATGACTAACAACAAATGACACCTTTGTGTTCAGAGTCTAGAATTGTGCCCGGTGTATGACAATAGGCTCACTCCTATTACATATGGGACTCGACATACTGGTGGATAGAGGGTGTGTACTGTATATGAGCCCTTGTGTAGCATTTTGTGCTCCACTGCCTAACCCTTTGGGCATAAAAGGCGTGACAGTATAATATAAGGGAATTTGTAGTACAAAATAAAATTACCGTCATATAGGAAAGGTTTGATTCCCTCGGGCCACTCTCCATCCGCATTAGTTCTGTAATACTTCTCAGCTAAAGTCTTCAACGTTTTCTCAGGAGTCCACATAGTTTGAGGCTCTCTGCGCGCGCTGTGGCAGTGGGTACTGAGCAGTTTGGACGTTCGGCCGCTTGTCTTACGGTCGTATATTATCTAGCAAACAAAGTGAAAAATGTTAAAATATTTGGACTCTATACTAAGTTCGCCTTAATACTGTTCAAATAGAAAAATAATAATTTGTATTTTCAGGTAGTGTTAAAATAATTATATTGTAGAAAGTGTACATGTTTTTAAGTCTACTAAAATAGCATGTTATATAGCTAAAATAGCATGCAAAATAGCTAAAATAGCATGCTAAATAGCTAAAATAGCATGCAAAATAGGTAAAATAGCATGCTAAATAGCTAAAATAGCATGAAATATTGCATGCAAGCAAGACCAAAATGAGCATGATAATTTCGAACAACATTCCAACACATTCTACTAAGTTAAGTGTTCAATTGAAGCATGCTTACGTGCTTGAAATTAGCATGTGTAACAGTACCAATGCTTATTCCTTCTTCATGTGAAAAGAAGCCTTCGCTCGGTAGTGGAATAGTTAGCTAACTACCAATGTCAACAATAAATACCAGATTTGACTTAACTTACCAATGCTGGGGGATAATGTGCCAAAGTGGTGAGTAGTCTAGAAGAATGCTTGTCATCTTGGAACTGTCCCACATGAATCAATCCTATTGAGGTGTCCACGAAGCAGACTCCATATGTACTGCTGCCATTGCTCTCCTGTAGAGGATAGGGAATATATTGAACTAGTTCCCTCGCGGTTTCACCCTTCGGCTTCTATTCATCGTAGCTTGATGTATTATCAGAATGAAATGATGTATAAAAGAAAGATGCTCCATGAGCATGTAATGTTCGAATTAATCATCCATAATTAATTATCATTTATATTATTAGTTAGATGAACGAAGAGGTCCATAAATCCTCACGCTTTTATTAAGGTATAGCGATGAAAAACCTGTAGATTTATAGCCTACTCGATTAATGGACTATCTAACACAAAAAGAATTATTCAAATCGGACCAGTAGTTCCTGAGATTAGAGCGTTCAAACAAAAAAACTCTGCAACTTTATATGATAGGTAGTATATAAGATATGTCACTATCACTACTGTTGCCGAAAGTGTCGCGAGACGACCAACGGACAACACATTTAGCCTAGACATAGACCATGTCTATCCTGAATCTGCGACTTCCATCCCATTTGCTTCTGCCTCGTTCTCATATAATAACCCATCGTGTGTCTAAACAAAATACATTGTGTCTCACAGCAGTGCATTCAAGCGGTTAAAAATCGGATATTTTAGACTCGAACAGTTTCGTAAATATGCCGAGAAGCAAAAATAAATTGAAATAAAATAAATACCTCTTCAGCGATAGCCATCATGTAAGCGGCAGTAGGTTCAGCAGGTCCGTTGTCTTGCAGGCCACATACTTGAGCACCCCTCATACTCACCTGGCAGATCTCGCGGCGAACTACCTTGTCCCATTTACTGTTCTGACCAGCTGGAAGTATACCACGAACGTCATAACCTTCATAGGTAAGAGGCAACTTCAAATAACACGATATACCTAACGTGACCTGACATCCAGTTTTAAACGGGGTTGTCCCTTTTTACTCTTATAGTTACGAATTCTGTTCCCCGAAATGATCTCTGGGACCCAAAATTGTCCCGTTTTCGGGAAAAATACAATACGTATTTTTGATATTTTTATACCTAACTCACAAATTTTTGATGAAGTAAATTCGAAAAACCGTTAAGTTAGTAATGTTAACCTTTTTTTCAGGATTTATAATGCCTTTAATAGAATAGGGTAGTTTCCTAAATTTTATTTTAATGTCCGTCTGGTACATTAATTTGAAACTTTAAACACGTATTTTTCTTTTCTCATAAAATTAAATACTTTTGACGTTTTAAACTGGTGAAAGTTTATTTTTTAAACGTAATATTATGAGAGTGACCAGAAAGTTTTAATCAATAAGAAAGAATAATTATAATGATCAAGAATAATTATATTGTCTTCTTCTTCTTTAAAGTATGTTAATATACTAAAACCTTCTCCAAGTGTAACAAACACTTTAATGAAAACCGCATCAAAATCGGTTCAGCTAATCGCGAGATAATCGCGCACAAACATACATACAAACAAACAAACAGGTCAAACTGAGAATCTCCTTTTTTTTTGAAGTCGGTTAAAAAGGTCTACTTACTCTTCTTACACCTCTCTTGCATCATATCCGGTGTCTCTGTTTGTTCTACTCGCGCCACTTTGTATCCTTTAGACACGAGAGTGGCCGCCATCCTACCGTATGCACTCTCGGGGAAGCCTGAATGTGCGAATTCACCCTGAAATATTAATAACAATTACAAAAATTTCATTATTTCTTATAGGCTGAAGTCATGTTCCTTCCCCCGCCTTGGGTGAGGCAAGGTGGGTCTGACTCTAACTACTGCGTGATTTCACCAGCTATTATTGATCGCAGCTTTATATTTTATAGCCTATTTTTATAGCTTTCCTCGATAAATGGACTATATAACACAATATTATTCGGTTCGGTAGTTCCCGAGCGCGTTCAAACAAACCAAACAACCATTCTCTTCAGCGTCACTACATAGTATAAAACAAAGTCGCTATCCGCCGTCTATCTATCCCTATGTATGCTTTAATCTTTAAAACTACGCAACGGATTTTGATGCGGTTTGTTTCAATACATTTTTTTAAGGGGGGAAAATCATCGAATGACTGCTCCTGCCACTAGTGTCAGACTCTTTCTGACTAAAAACCAACCCGTTCCTTCTCCTGCACGTCGAGCCGTAGCCCCGGTTACCCGTTAGGTTCTCCGCGACTTGTTTCAATAGATAGAGTGATTCTTAAGGAAGGTTTATATGTATAATACATGCATATTGCATCCGTGCGAAGCCAGGGCGGGTCGCTTGTAATATATATTAGTAAGTAAATTAGTAAGTATAGACAAAAATGTTTAGTCTTCTAGTTTTGTGTACTTAGGTTGTGGTGTTACATACAAAAGTTTCAGTCATGAACAAGATTGCCAAAGGTGTAATATAGACTATTAGAATGGGGTAGACGACTAATTTTTATTTTAATGTCCGTCTGGTAGATTATTTAAAAACATTAGACACGTATTTTTTATTTTCTTACGGAAACGAATAGTTTCTAAGATATATTGATTTGAAATGTCGCGTGACGTCACTTCTCAGTACATTTTATACTGAGAAATGACGTTTTAGCCCCACTCCTAAACTTTGATTCGTTTTATCTAAGTATTGTTTTATTATACGACAAAATAAAAAAATACGTGTCCTATATTTTTTAATTACCTAACTTACGGACTAATTAGATTTTTAATTTTCATACCCTGTCATCATCCCCATTGTCAAAAACTAACTCCATTAATAGTTCGAGGCTTTGTCCGTAAACTTTTTAAGTTCTGTTAATTACCTTCATATATGAGAATCCCAATTCATTGACACCCACTGCAGCATCCATGTGGTACAGCTCATAAAACTTGCCCACTTTGAAGAACAGGACACAGTCGAAGTGAGATGACTTCATCTCCCACCACTGCCGGTGAGCCTGAACAATAATTATCATTATATAAACAATATGATACATCCATTTTTTATTGTAAAAAGCGGTACTTACTTACGGCATTTTCACTGAGTACTGGTCTTTTTGCGCAGTGTCGACGAATATTTTTATCTACTTTTCTTGTTATGTTTTTTTTCCTTACCCATGCAAATAAACTGTTTTTTTTTTCTTCTTTATTGAATTCATTTGTTAAGTTATTTATTATTATTATTAATATATTGACTAATATCCCAATACTTACTGGGGTTTGACTCTTATAAAATTCAGGAGGCACATATAAAGTCGAGGGGTCATAGTCAGGATGATCCGGTCTCCTTTTCTGAGCGTCCTTGATCTTTTCAGGTTTCAGCCAGTCCAACTTGCAGTGTACCCAGTTACCGTCATCTGCAGCTAATGGTTTCTCCTCTGAGGGTTTTGGAGGTGATGCTGAAGATCTATAAGTTTGAAAAAATAAACATAACATCACGCCTTTTATCCTCGAAGGAGTAGGCAGAGCTGCATATTACGGCACTTGTGACTAAAATGATTTTCATTTGATAAAGAATGTAAAAGTCCAAATAGGTAACAATAAGTTACAAGCTTGTTATAATAAATACTTTCTCTGTTTTATTTTAAACACCTATTATACACATACTACTATACTAGTAATAATAGAACTTAACATACATTATACATTATACTAATGTATTAAATTAAACTACCATTGACTACATTGTTGGCCGAGTGGTTGCAAGCGCGACTGATGGGCAAGGGGTCTCGGGTTCGATTCCCGGGTCGGGCAAAGTATTATTTGTTTTTTTTAATATTTCCCAGTAGCAGCACAGGCTCTGGAATTGTGGTCGGTATATGGCAATAACCTCACCCCCTATTACATGGGGCTCATAACATAAATAGTGAAAAGGGGGTGTTACATTGTACAGTGGCAATAAGTGCCATAATGTGCACCTCTGCCTTCCCCTTCGGGGATAAAAGGCGTCATGTTATGTTATAGAAGGCTCCAATTCTTTGTGCCCAAATGTAGTTATAATTGTATAAAAGAGAAATATACTGACTTGGTACTAGATGTTGGTTTGTTTGGTGGTTTACTCGCTACCTTAGCCTTGGGAGATTGGTTTGGTTCATACTTGAAACTATCCTGCAGTTTCTTCTCCATTGATGGCTTTTCAACCTCTGTTGTATCCATTTTGTTGTCTGCTAAATGTTTATTATTGTTTATTAACATGTCTAAACTATATCTAGAGTGGTGTTACTTATAATTTATTTAATTTAAATCATTACTTATTAACTTAAAAACAAGTAAAGCCAAGGATACACTAGGGAACGAATCTTCCAAGACGTGTATCACCAGCATGTCGAGCGAAGCCAGCCTGTGTTGACCGACATATATGATGACAACGCACGACTTTTGTCTTCAGTAACATTAATGTTGCCAGACATGTTGATCATAGTCACTGGTGACGCGTGTAACAGTACATTTGTCTAGTGTATCCTTGGCTTAAAGAATTATATTATTGAATGCTTTTATGTGGTTTTGTTAACATTAGTGATAAACGGGTATTAAATTTAATAAACTTATATCACAGTTATGACCGCAGTCTGTACAGTATTGTAGCAGTACACTGTAAGTATAAAAGTTAGGTAATTATTTTCATAAATTTCTTTCACCCACCTTTATTCTCAACATCAGAGTCATCAGAGTCCACTGGGTTGAGTCTGATCCTCTTTCTGCGTGTGGGAACAATGGGAGCCTCATCTTCACTGTCACTGTTGTGTTTCACCTCAGGAGATGGAGTAATTTGTCTCTCTCGCTTTTTCTCTGCATAATGACAAAGTCAGGTATGCTTGAATAATATCATGAGACATAATAAATTATATATACAGCGACATTGCGCCGCCTTGGCTGCTACAAGCACATTCTGCTCATATCTAGAGTCCCATTGAGACTTAAAACTACTAGGATTAGGGCATTTCTCAGTCATTTTAAGTTAACCATTGTTTACAATTAAAAGGCTGTTGTAGTTAAGACAGATTAAATTTTATTTATTTTAACATACCACTGGCAAGTTAAATTTTAGTTAGCAATTAATTAAGCGCAGTAATCAGCATTTTTTTTATTATAGCAGATTGTTAATAAATAGCAAGAAGGTTGTACAGTATAGAAACAGATGATTAAATGAAAATACAACGAAATACCTACACAAAACTCAAGTCAAACCTTTGTTAGATTTGGAGATATCGGTCTAAAAATGTAGATTATTTTTTTATTCCATCATTAGTACGTAAATATGGCTAGGACTTACGAAAACAAAGGTAAAGGTAAAAGGTATTTACATAGGTACATCAATTAGGTACACTTTACACTAAAATATGAAAAACATTTACAACAACTTATAAGAATATCGTTTGCGATAGGCTAACTTACTTTCTGCTTTAGATTCCTTTTCGCCGTTCTGCACAGGTGAAATAACATGCGCACTTTTGTCGACTTCTAACTCTGATTTTACTTTCTTATTAGCTGGAGGTGTTTTAGAGAAATAATTAAATAATGTGTTTGTTGCACCTATACTATTGCGCTTCGACATTTCTGTAATAATTTAACAATTTTCTTTAAAAATAGGTAATCGAAACGACTCAAAATCTCTGTTGTACACAGAAACCGTTTTGGCGCAAATATACATTCGAATTGTCATCTGTCAATCACTTGCCATGTGTCAAACTTTCCTGTCAAGTATTTGCCAATATCTATTTAATTTTGTTAAACTGGATAAATATAGACCCATCCATAGATATGGTTTAGTCGATTAATTTTTTAAATATTGGAGTATTTTTATTTAGTCGATTTTTTCTTTTGCAATAAAGCTATAGTGCAGGGAACACTGTTACATATTATGCAAAGGAATATTATAGTAATACGTGTAGAGGAATATTATTGTATAATGTTATGGTCAGTTTTGTGCCTCGATCTAGACCTAGACGGGTCTAGAAAGCCATAAGACTATGTTATACTACTTGCGTAGCATAATGCCGGTCGTAGCGAGCTCTTCTACGACCTCTCGAGTCTTTTGTTTTCGAGGTGTAAGCAGGGCAGAAGTACACTAAGAGTTAAACCTGTATTAAGCTGACATTATAGCATCTTACACCTGCTGCCGTCCATTGATGAATAAAGGTGTTTCCGATTACACTAAGTCATCACTAATTATCATCTAAGTCTACTTCACCTCACTAATCACTGATCAACAGGATGCACCTTGATTCAATCCATCATACCGATCAGCGAATGAGGAATTTACGTCTGCTATCTATATACTGGTATGTAAACGCGGAATCTTCACTTACTCATAATCTATATTTAAGCTGAAGACTATCTCGCTCATCTTCAGAACTACTGGTACGGTAACAATTTTTGGGTGTGGGCATCAATCAAGAATGGAAATAAAATATTAAACAGTGATCAATACAAACAGACCAGCGGGTGAAACCGAGCGAGAGAAGGTAGTATTTAATATGCCTCCTCAATAGACGGTAAAGTAATTAAAACACAACGACTATTTTAATTTATATTTTTATATTGCCTTATTTTTACAATTTATGTTATACAGTTACGGTATTCTGAGTTTAATATTAATCTATCTTCAAAAATAGTTTACACTGGCGATAAAATCTTATTCTAAAGGATTTGGTGTAAAAATGGCAGTACATTTCCACATTGTACGCTGGTATAGTTATAAGTCATTATTTTCATGTACTAATAATTCTTACTATATATTTAGTGTAAGTGCCGCTACATCTATATCTATGTACAGATTGAACAGCTATATACATTTCACCATCTTTTACTCAAATATCAATCTGATACTCATTGTACGTTCTCATTAAAATTCGGAATCATAGGGATTTTTAATCGTAGTTTTGTGAATCAAATAAAAGAAAGGAAAACATTAAAAGATGTGGAATGTTCCTATGAAGAATGACGTAAAGTACAAACCAAAGTTATAATTAGAAAAATAAAAATTCTGAACATAATAATAACAACGTTTCGATTCCATTCGATTATTAAATCATAGGTCGAAATATATAGATTAATATAATTGATATATTATTATAACAAATAGAGATATGGGTATATCTATATATATTTATATACTACATAAAATTAACCATTAATTAATTATTATCATACGGATGTAATCATATTTATGATTTAGATCGATATCACCGATTAGCATATTACAACGACGGTTAGATTAATTATCAATTTTACAAATGACTGATGTCAGTAAATTGGTTTTTATCAATTGGATTACGCTGTTTAAATAATAACTGTTTAGAAATATTTAAGGAAAATAAAAATGTTACAATATCTTTAAGGAATAGCTATCTATGATAATAATTATAATAAGTGCTTTACTTATTCACGCAAGCAATATGACGCAGTGTGATTGCTGGGCATCCGGATGGATGTAATGTCCCTCTTATCGAACACACGTACCAATAACAATTTACCGGAGCCGGATACTCAGTATCAGAGCGCGTAAAAACCGACTAGGTATGCGACAAAGCAAACCGTTCTGTCACACACCCTTAAACTAAAAATAGTTAAGTTCATTAGGCTGCCAAATCCAGCAGGAAAATGTACTATAATAATAAAAACTAGCTTCTACTATGCATATTACCACTCAGTCTTTTACATGATGATTTGTGGCTCTGGTACGGAGAGGGCGATGGATTTGTGAGGCAACACTTGCCCTCCATTCACGTATAACTCATCTTTCACTATGACATCTTCGCCAAGAACCGTGCAGTTTTCCATTCGCACCCAGCGGCCTACAACTGAGCGCCAGCCAACGATGCAGCCGTCAAGCCAGGCGTGTTGACGGACGCATGCACCGCGAAGTATTGTGCTGCGTTTGATGCAAGCGCCTGGAAGAGAAACAGTAAATTTAACATAGTTTTACATGTTATAAACCACATATTGTCCTTACTGCCTCATTGGCCGAGTGGTCGCAAGTGCGACAGCCGGGCTAAGGGTCTCGGGTTCGATTCCCAGGTCGGGTAAAGTATTACTGGGTTTGTAAAAACCTCAGTAGTAGCACAGAGTCTGGAAATGTATATGGCAATAGGCTCACCCTTATTACATGGGACTCATAACATAAATAGTGAAAAGTGGGTGTAAGTGCCGTACAGTGGCATTAAGTGCCGTAATGTACACCTCTGCCTACTCCTTCGGGGAAAAACGGCGTGATGTTATGTTGTTATATTGGACTTAATGTGTAAACAAGGTTGCTGTTGATTCTTGGTCCTAGTGAATACATCTAGTTTCAATTAAGTTATTACACAACAAATACGTCGTCTTAAAGAAAAAAATAGTGCTTAAAACTGTAATATGAATCGTACGTAACACCATAAATGTCACATACTTTTAAACGGAGTATAGCAAAGCATACAATGGGTATTGTTAGAGTAAACATTGCGAAATTGCTTCCTTCCTGCCAAACCTTTTTAATATTACAACAATAACAAGTAGTACAAATATTGCATATATTTTTTAGTGTATAACATTTATTAAATACTAGCTTCTGCCCGCGACTTCGTACGCGCAATCCCATTTCCCCCCCGTTCCCGTTCGTGATTTTCGGTAAAAAGTAAAAAAAAAGTATTGTATAAAAAGTATCCTATGTCCGTCTCCAGGTTCTAAGCTACCTCTCTGCTAATTTTCATCTAAATCGATTGAGGCGTTCTTGAGTTATAAATAGTGTAACTAACACGACTTTCTTTTATATATATAGATTAATAATAATAATATATTCGAATTGGGCTAATCTGCATCAATAGCATAATGGCTGAGTTATAAACTGTTGCTATATGTGTCTTATATGAAACGCCTTCTTATATGGACCAAAGTAAAACAACGCAAATCAAATGGCATCTAAGTGCTTGCTCTTGTAACCAATCTCAATGTCAATACAATTTCAATGCAATAAAGACTCAATACTTATTCAATGCCAAATTTATACAACCCCAATCGTAGCTATTCAAATAGCATTTAGAGTACGGAATATAAAGCCAAACTCAATACCATTTAGTTCATTCAATATCCACGCAATACGAATGCAATGGGCGCTAGTGTTGTAATTTAAGACGACACAATACCAATGTCGATCGATCGGAATTAAGAGATTTACCATGGCTGTAGAAAGGGTCAGCCTTTCAGTATTCGGTGTGAATATCTTTATATCACAAGCAATATACATTCATGTAGACTAATGTTATATTCTTAAATTAATTAAAATATTATCGCTCCATTTAAATTCCAGTTGAGTACATAACCATACCCACTGAGTCAACCAATGACATGCATTTACGTGGAAGTCTTATTGACATATATGTATATAAGCACGATAATAGTATACTTAAGTTAAAGTATGTAAGTATACAATTCTTGTTCTCGTATATAATTATCATGGATGCAATAAAAACATTCTTCTCTTATCTTTGTATTTGCTAATCGTTTTGTTTCGAAATTAGACTTCCCAGGTATCTATATATGTTCGTAATTTTCATTAAGCCTGTATGCAGATTAGAAACCCCTGCCATAAAATTAGAAACCGGTATAATTACTTTATACAAAGCTAAAAAAATAAAATACAAACAATATTTGGTCACTGTTCATTTAGTAGAGTATAACATAACATAACATCACGGCTTTAACCCCGAAGAGATAGGCAGAGGTGCACATTGTACAATGTAACACCCACTTTTCACTATTTATGTTATGAGTCCCATGTAATAGGGGGTGAGCCTATTGCCATATACCTGGCACATTTCCAGACTCCGTGCTACTACTGAGATTTTTTTTAAAAGCCAGTAATATATTGCTAGGGCTGGGAATCGAACCCGAGGCCCCTTGCCCGGTCACACTTGCAACTACTGGGCCAATGATGCATATTAATTTAACTAATTTTTATAATTTAAAATTACAGTTCTTTTATTCTTCATCGATGGTGGCTACAAATACTTTTATTATAACATTTTATAAAAAATCAAGGATGAATATTCTTACCGTCTTCAATAACGACGTCTGGTCCGATAGTGACATTGGGTCCTATTCTGCAACCCTTCCCAATGGTGGCTGTAGGATCTATTAGAACGTTGCCGACCACTCCAGTGCCATCATATAACTTATTCGAATTCTTCTGCCGCAAGCTTGTGAGGTACAAACACATGCCTAAAATAAAATAGATTCAATCATCAATAAATAAATATAAAAACTGCCTACTGATATAAATGTTTCGTTGAGGGAGTTGTCTCATAAGTGCCAAATGGTTAATAGTTGTCGTTGTTAATATTCCGGCTAGGGTGTTATCTGGTTTCCCTACCCTCTCAGAGATATCGAGCTTGGAGTTGTGTAATAACTTAATCTACTAAAAAAATATCTAAGTATAATAGCACGACACTCATTAACAGCTCAACAATTCGAATATTTCCTTTTGTATGACAAAATTTATATTCTTCTTATGGAGTTTCTTGCTCGTTCTTCTCCATTCGAATCTACATTTCGGAATGAGCACCTAGCTTCACTGACGGACTGACTGACAGACTTTATTTATTTTGTATCTGTTAACGTTTCAAAAGTACCAAATTATGGTTTAATTGAAATAAATGCTTTGACTTTGATTCAAGAAAGAATTTGTCATAAAACTTGAGAACGAAGGTTACAAACCAAAATCCAATTAAATTATCAAATCGTAGCATTTGATTGCTTTACACTTATTGGTCTGAATAATTTTTATTATAATTGGTTTAAAAATCGTGAAATATTTCAATTGATTTCAATAATAAAACTAAAATCTAACAATTTCGATGAATGAATAAACTCTGTATTCACATTTTAGAATTGACATAGTTATATAAAAACTTCAAGCAAAGGTTAAATAAAAAATCCAACTGCAAAACAAAGTCCAACTATATCAAAGAATTATAATAGAGTAAATCACGGTCTGCCATACCTGTTAAAAAGTCTTTGGGTTGTCCTACGTCCATCCAGAAGCCTTGTAGTTCCATTGCAAACAGCTGGCCATCAGTTGCCATGAACGGAAACACTTCCTTTTCAATAGACATTGGTCTCAATTCTATTCTACTTAATACCGAAGGGTTCAAAATGTACATTCCTAAAAAAACGTATTTGTTATTACAAGGAATCTGTAATATCTATATATATAAAAGAAAGTCGTGTTAGTTACACTATTTATAACTCAAGAACGACTAAATCGATTTGGATTAAAATTGGCGGGGTGGTAGCTTAGAACCAGGAGACGGACATAGGATACTTTTTATCTCATTTTTTTTTTTTACTTTTACCGAAAATCACATACGGGAACGGGGGGGAAATGGGATTGCGCGTACGAAGTCGCGGGCAGAAGCTAGTTTAATCTAAAATTTTATTTTCAATTGCCAACTTACCAGCGTTAATCTTATTTGATATAAACTCTTGTGGTTTTTCAACAAAACTTTCAATCTGGCCATTTTCTTTGTAAACAACAACTCCATATTTTGATGGTTCTTCAACTTTTGTTACAACTATAGTGCCCTCCTAAAATTGAAAATATCATTTTAAAAATTTATATTAGATAATATAACTACACATTGCATGTATAAACTCAACAACTCAAATAGAAATTGGTTCCGTTTATTATTATTGCAAATTAATCCAATATCAAATAAACACTTTCAGAAATGCGATAGTCTGTATAGTACATTTAACCAATACCCCGTGCAAGTACAGTAATGGTTGTTTCTTTGTGGAAAATCCAGTATAATGATGTGTGAATAATATGCTTCTGAAGTAAAATGAAACCTATTTCATATAATACTATTGTGTTCCATATTATGAATACCTAGATAAAATTATAGTAATATCAGGGTCATTCATCAACAATTTACTACAGTACAAAAGCAAACAAGCTAGTGTTAATAGTTTGTTATCACATAATGCAAGCTGTTGTCTATATAGTAATATACTTCTACAGACAAGATAAGTAACACTTTACATTATTAAACCGGATAAGTATCTAGGAAAATGTAATATTGTTATTTTCATTATATGTACATTTATCAATTTATATTTATCTGTAATATTCTCGGAATAATGTAGGAATTACTTATTTAGGATTTTAATTATAATGACATGTGTAATGAATGTCTGAAAGCTACAATTTACTGTAAAATATATTATGTCAAAAGATGAAGTTTTTTATTTTCTATTATATGTATATACATAAATGCAAGTTAGCAACTGTGTAATTAAAAACAGCAAGTATGTACATGATGAGGAAAACTTGTACAATTTCCTTGTTTTAAATATTTCAACTTTTTATATTATTGGAAATTTCATTAATGAACTCATGATTCACTGTTATTAGCTCATAGCATGAATTAAATTTACTAATAAATACCTTTCCATGGCTTCTGTGAAATTTGGCAAGTTCTTTGAATGGGAAGTCACATATCACATCAGAATTCAACACAAAGAAAGGCTCAGGGCTTGCACTCAGTAGTTCCCGGGCTAATGCAAGGGGCCCAGCGGTGCCTAACGGTTCAGTTTCATGAGAGAATGTGAGAGAAACACCAAGTCTAGAAACTTGTTCTGTCAGTTCCTTTTCCATATCTTCCGCCCTATACGACACAGCCAATATCACCTGAGAAAAAAAATTGATCATAAAATATTATGTCTGTTCAATATGCAAGAAGTGTATGGAACACAATTATATAATAACTGAGTTACTACGTGTACCTGTGTGACTCCTGCTTCAACCAAAGCCTCGATTTGATGAAGTAGAATAGGTTTATTAGCAAACTCAACTAGGGGCTTTGGTCTACTCAATGTCAAAGGCCTTAACCGAGTCCCATAACCTCCTACTAATATAAGAGCTCTAATTTCTCCAAGTTTCTTATCAGACCCACACATTTTAAGTGGTGTTCAGCAAAAATTATTAAAAAAATACAATAAACTATAAGCCGGAACTTAGTTATCTTAGAATACAATTCTGTTCACCGTGTCCACATGAAGGTTACATTAATTCATAATATAATGTACGCCTATTTACACTGATTTAAATCAAATGACGATTAAATTTAAAACGATTTTGGTTTTACTTTTATTGTTAGCTCGCACAAAACAAAAAGCAAATTACACGTCATAACACACAGAAATGACCTGACCATTGTTACCATTCGTAAAAATGGTTTTTAGTCGATTATTTAAACATGTTGATGTTTGTCTTTATTAACTTTGCAACACATTCAATTTTGTGTCATTGTCAGTTACGTAATGGACTAATGGATAAAATTTATCGGAGAGCCAGCCACTCTCCTGTCAGTGTCATTCTTATTAGATAAATTTTTAGATTTTGGACTTCTTTCCCATTTTTATATTCATATTTTCCGGTGTAAAATGGCTGTTCCCATCAGGAATTTATCCCGGTTTAAAGGTTAGAAACAATGTTATATTTATCATATGATTTCACGATCTCAACATCGACATCATGTTCAATGAAAGTTCCGTACGTCACATTAATTTTTGACTATGTTAACCTGCCATGATAACCTTGTAATTTAGTTGGGCACTGTCTAGAAATATTAAGGAGAAACTAGATGTAATACTGATATATGTAGTGATCATTTTATTAAGCCAATCATTGAACTTTCAATGCCGTAGTCATTAAGTCCAATATACCTATCTAACCAAGACCTTCATCTAAAAATACTATCAATGTCGCGGCTGTGATAATTTGGGCAAATGTCTTGTTGTTATATAAATGTAAAATTCACGATAAAGAGAATGTAGATCCATCCTTTAAACAACTGCATCAGTTTCAGACAATATAACAAAGGGTCAATACATTTGACCTTTGGTCATTCATTGACCCACAATGTAGAGTAGATTGCGAGCCTATTGTCTGTTTGTTTATTGATAGCTTATCTATTATTTTTTATTTAATTTCCGAAACATCAACTTAAACTTATAAGAATCTAATACGCCTGAAAGGGATGTGTCATGTCATACTCCACACATTAACAATATTTAATTATAATTAAATCATTATCATACAAATACTATGGAATGAATATTAAAAATATAAATTTGGTTCTATATTAGTATTATTTATTAAAATGTGTTTAATACTGTAGACTGAAGATATACATAAATAAAAAATTGTTATAAGATACTTATTTTATCTTGCTTGGTACTTTCAAGTTAGTATATAATTTTACAGATAGTGTTGTTTATCACAGTTGTCAAAAACTTTCCTAGCCCCACCCATATTATGTAAATCTTATATTGCTGCTAATTGCTGTTTGTAAAATATATAATACACAAAATGTAATTGTTTCAACACATCAATGATATTTTGCACAAGTTGTGCAGATGAAGGAGTATATAATACCATAATAATACCATTGCACATTAAATTGTTACACAAAAAAGTTGCACAGTAAATTCTCTCTAGTATATTTTATTGTATAGTATTCATAAGGAAATAATGTAATTAGCTAATTTATAAACATGAAACACAATATATTGCACTCAACTTACAGACATAAAATGTACACTGTTAATGTGTTTTATTAAGTACACACCCAGCCATGTCAGGCTACAAAAGACAGAAATATTTAAAAAAAAATTAACTTGTTACCTAATTTTTATTTGTTCCAGATGCAGTCAAACTGGCTTGTGTCAGATATGCATCAAATGATTATGCCTGCACCAATGTCAACCTTGGCCTCAACAAAGACACAAAAGTCATTATTCAAGGATTCACAGGAAAGCAGGGTACATTCCATGCTCAGCAGGCTATGGACTATGGCACTAATATTGTGGGAGGAGTGTCTCCAAAGAAGGCAGGCAAAGATCACCTTGGTAAACCAGTATTTGCTACAGTGAAAGACGCAATGAAAGCAACTGGTGCAACCGCTAGCACAATCTATGTGCCCCCTGCAGGAGCTGCGGCGGCCATACTTGAAGCTATTGAGGCTGAAGTGCCACTCATTGTCTGCATCACAGAGGGTATCCCTCAGCATGTAAGTACTTTTCCTTATTATAAACTCTTCTAATGTTGTGGAATCTCTTAGAAAATAACTGCTGTTATGCTAGTTAAAATCACAAACCCTAAATAGTACATAAATATTAAAATTAGATTAAAAACACCAAGCAGGGGTTATGGGAGGCCCAATTCTGTAAATAATAGATTAAGTATGAATAAAATGGAAATAAATGTATTTGTTTGTTTGTTTTGTTGTTCTCCTTCAATCGTCATTTGGCATGGAGGGCTAAAAAGGAGGTTTTTGTTCATCAGTAGACACATCTTATGGTTGAAAATTATGTAAATTGTTTGAAAATGTTGACTAAGCTTAGTTTTTTTAACTGTTTTTATATATTTTCAAGGTTCATGACGTCGTCGTGATATTGACGGCGTTGCCTCCCTGACTGTACTTTAAAAAGAAGCCTGACAATAGAACACCATCTGTATAAAGAGTTTTAAATATTTTCCATAATTAGAAACTAATTAAAATGAACCATATCAGGATCATGCTCAAGAAATGTGACTTCTGAAATGTACATTAAATTTTATCGGATATTTCTAACTTTATTTAAGTTTATGAAGCGTTCATTGCAAATATTTTGTTTTGAATATTCCAGGACATGGTTCGTGTAAAACATGCTTTGCTACGTCAGAGCAAGTCCCGTCTGTTGGGACCTAACTGCCCAGGTATCATCGCTCCACCTGCAGGGTGCAAGATTGGTATCATGCCAGCTTCCATCCACAAAGCTGGGTGCATTGGTGTGGTCTCCCGTTCTGGCACCCTCACTTATGAGGCGGTCCACCAAACTACTGTGGTGAGCATGCAATCTTGTTTTAATCAGTTCACTAGTGAACAGTACATAAAAATGTGTCTTGTTTCTAAACAGTAAAGTTGAAAATCTGAAGAAGAAAGACACACATTACATTAATACCATTTGAATTATTGTTGAGCCTTGAAATTAACATATTCAGGGTATAGACCTTGTACATAGGTCTATACCTATGTACAAGGTTCAACATTATTTTACTATAGTCGAAGTCAAATCATTTATTTCAATTACCTAAATCATAACATACTTTTGAGAGTCCACAAAATATTTCAATATATATATTTTTTATTAAAATTAAATGTTTCGCAATAATAAACAACCGTTTTTTTATTATATTTATATTATTTTGGTTTTGGTCAGCCTATATGAAATAGTTAGAAATTGACACCAGCATTATAATGTTCCAGCATGGTTTGGGCCAGACACTGTGCATCGGTATTGGAGGAGATCCTTTCAATGGCACCAACTTCATCGACTGCCTAGATCTCTTCTTGAAGGATCCCGACACAAAGGGTATAGTGCTCATCGGAGAAATTGGTGGTAATGCTGAGGAGCTGGCAGCTGATTTCCTCATTCAAAACAACACTGTGAGTATTTTTAACCAAATTAAAAAAAGTAGGTTCTCTGTTTGATCTCTATGTATGTATTATGTTTGTGCCCGATTATCTCGCTATTGGCTGTACAGATTTCGATGCGGTTTTTAGTAAAGTGTTTGTTACACTTAGGAGACAGTTTTGCACCCGAATACTGAAAGGGTAATCAATTTTAAGTTGTACTTATGGTGTTATTTCTGTCATTTTAGGTTCAAAGAATTTGTAGTAACAGAAGAATTTTAGCGCTACTTAAAATTGAGTAGCGTGTGATTATTTGGGCATTAGTATATTAATTAACCGACATCAAAAAAAGAAGGGAATCGGTTACCTAGTTTATAAAAGCATTATTTATGTGTGTTTAACAACTTCATTTTGTCATTTACGCACCATTTTGTTATTCAGAACTCTGTATCATGGACACAAAATTATCTTTTGTCTTTTCTTAGGTATTTTTGTTGTATGATTTATTGAAGTTAATGAAGAACAAATTGTCGTTCATTCCTAACTGACATTGTGATGGTATGTATTTATGTAAATGTGCAAATTCGACTCAAGCTTTAGTAGCATACCTTTTCATTATTTTTCAGAGACGTCATGTTATGGAAATTCTTGTATAGTAGAGGTAGCACCTCAAATTACCTAATTTATCTCTCTCCAATAGATTTGCGACTTTATTACAAAAGTATACGGTTGCAGTTCCATTCTGAAATAATGGATAGGTTATTAGGCAGTTGTCTTTGCATAAAAAGGTCATAAAGACATGATTGAATTAATACTGCATACAATGACAACCTTATCTCGTTCAAGTAAAGCTTATCGTATCACAGAAAATGATATTTCTGTACTAGCCTCTTGTAGGCAGGTATTATTTGCACTGTTTTTATCGAGTCACGACCACCATGACGTATAATTACATCATTTGTTTGCTTAGAAGTTAAAATGGACGTACATATATCTTATCTTATATCTTTCTTATACTTTTTTTATTATACTATAATGCTGAAGAGTTTGTTTATTTGTTTGAAGGCGTTAATCTGCAGAACTACTAGTTTGAATTAAATAATTGGTTTTGTATACAATAATCAATTTATCGAAGAAGGCTACAGGCTATAAAACGTCACGCTAAGATTAATAGGAGCCGAGTAGAACGGGTGAAACCTCGCGACAGCAGCTAGTATTATATATGTTGTCGTATAAATATGTACACATTTTGAATATATTGTTGACATGTGTTGTTTGGTGGTGGTAAATTTTGTATGGACTATGTATGACCCTATAACCAAGGTACCTTTAATGAACCTTTAGCATACTGCTTAGTGTTTAATTATGATTACAAAATCAAAGCGTTTACTGCAACTAAGTGTACAGATGTTTTCCTTTTTGTGATCAAAAATTGTTGAAACAAAACGGAGTCTTCATCAATACTTATTTTTATTTTTCTTCACATAATACTCTACTTGGCAATGTACATATATGACATTAGGCTCACCCCCAATTACATGGGACTCATAACATAAATAGTGAAAAGTGGGTTTTACATTGTACAGTGGCATTAAGTGCCGTAATGTGCTGCTCTGCCTACTCCTACGGGTATAAATGGCGTGATTTTATGTATGTAATACTCTACTTAGAGGTAAAGTTTGAAGTTCAAGTGCTACCTAAACGTACAACACTGTTATTAACTAGTTAGCAACTACCGTGTGTCCAATCACCCACTGCTCGGGTCCTTTTGATCATAAAATTATGTTGTTTAGTCAATAGCCTTTCTCAATAAATTGACTATCAATCATTATCTTACGTGATATTTTGATCAACAAGTTATGTGATAATAATATTGTAATAATACTATTTTATATCTATTGAAATTTGACCTAGCTGCATTCCTACGAGTATCGCAGGTTTATCATTACCAATTTACACTTGATCACTACCTACGCTACTAGTCATTATTAATTATATTTATAAAATAGATAGTACTAGCTTAACTAGCTGTGCCCGCGACTTCGTCCGCGTGGAATAGTCACGTAGGATAGTTCTTCACAGCCCCTCCTCCTCCGTAGATGATAGTATGATAATATGTAGTGTATATGTTGACCCGACCTGTAAGTAGGTAATATTCATGCATAATTTGAAGTAAATCCATGCAGTACTTTTTGTTTAATTTAAGTAACCAGGACATGCATAGGTACAAACAGACAAAAATTTCAAATACGATATTTTTAGCTTTGATATCAATTGTAGATACCAAGTATTTATAAAAAAATTCAATGTACAGCTTTGACTTTCATATGATTTTATCATAATTATGTATAGATATATAGATTTCATAAACATCATCTAGGTACTTATTATCTTTAATAATAATATTAATTTCATATTATTTCAGGGCCAGAAGGCAAAACCGGTAGTAGCTTTCATCGCAGGTGTGACAGCCCCGCCCGGCAGGCGGATGGGACACGCCGGTGCCATCATTTCAGGTGGAAAAGGAGGTGCCCTGGACAAAATCAAGGCATTAGAAAAAGCTAACGTTATTGTCACTCGTTCTCCAGCCAAAATGGGTTTTGAACTGCACAAAGAAATGAAACGGTTAGAAATTGTTTAATAGACGCATCAACATTACCTCATGTAATGTTCATCAAATATGATATTTGCGTATACTAAGTTGATGTATAGTCCTATAGTAATAAAATAACTTGCTAATATTATTTATTTGCGCTGTTGTGTCAGTCAACAGTTATATTCAATTCAGGTCCGTTGCCGGAACACCCGGGACTCGAGCGTTGAGAATATTCATATATTATAAAATCATGTTCTCCGATTGTTTACAGCACGAATCGTTAGTGAAGCACTCATAGTATTAAGAAACTCATATTTAATGATTTAAGTGTTACGTTCGAAACGAACAAAATCGACTCTGCTGTAGTGAATAAATTTATGAAAATCGTACATTTCCTGATCTTTGTGCTTGACGATGTTGTGTCTAAATATTGTGAACTCGAAATATATGCATATTATCTAACTAATACTTTTATTCATAATTATTACTTATTTACCCAATCTTTCTTATGTCTAGCCTGAGCTAAGTCTTTATCTTTCTCACAAAAGTATGAAAGTTTTACGTTTATAACACTACTGGTCCATTTACTCCAGTACCTAAGAAAAAAGAAAGATACCGGCCGAATTGAGAACCTCTTCCTTTTTGGGAAGTCTGTTAAATAATACTTCTATACAAACTAACCTACCTAGGTTTTCACTACTCTCTGACGACCATCTTGTGAGGGACCTTAATGTGGAGCTATATAAATAATACCCTAAATCAGAAACAAAGACTTCATCATCATTACGTAAACGTCGAGCCATAGCTTCTCGACAACACCGACTTAGTGAGAGAATGAGAAGACGTAAAAGGAAATAAAACCTTTCAAATTAGTATACTTAGTAAAAAGATATCATTATTAGTGCAACCTACTTACAATACACACATGAACAGTCTCTTCTATCTTACCCTTAAAGATAATAAGAAACGTTATAATGGACACATTCTGAAAATTGTTCATTAGGTAACTTTCATGGCTAAACTATCAGACTGCACGGTGGGCACGGTACCTGGGCTACCGGCAACGTGTAGCGGGGTTCGGTTCCCGCACGGAGCAACTTTTTTTTTCCGTTTATGGGATAAGCAAAGCAGATGAATCACCTGATGGTAAGCAATGGAAGCGTTACCGGCCTTGTGGAGAATAGGAATATTGGGATTTCGGGAACCTCACTCACATGATGAAATAACGGTTTTATATGAGGTCGAGGCATCACTCCCGTCGAGCCGGCCCAGCCCATTCGTCTGGCTCCCATCGAAACATGGCTCTCCCACACTTAAAAGATGTGATGTGTGACCCACAAATTGTACCGGGTCTGGGCGTTATGTGTACCTATGTGAACTTGTATGTTTGTAAACGCCCACACGACAGGTGAAAAGCCTAGTGTGGGGCAGTCTTGACAAAAAGTGATGAGGTGCTACCTTCATGATGTACATATTTATTATATCCTGATTAGTCTCTAGGTAAATTCTCTTAGTATATTCAATATAGGTAAGCCTAATATACAATGACAATAATTAATCCTTCACGTAATGGGTATAGTACCGGACTATAGTAAAACCATGTAGGTACCTATTCCTTTAATAAAACACTTATTGATCACAAAAAAGTTTTAATAAGAGATGGCAAAACACATATACTAACGATACACCTCATACCGTTGCTTACATTCACTTGTAAGACTGGTTACACGTCGAACATCAAGGAATTTTACTCCTTAGCTAGAAATAACATTAGTAAGTAACAAAGTACTACAACCTACGATTACATATATAGACCGTGAGATAAATATATTCACTTTCTATCACAGCATAGGGTCTTAAAACTTAAGTCTAGACACATATCCTTTCATAGTCTTAAATTAGGTACACCTAATAGTTCTTGTCTTATACTTTGTACAAGACAATAAATGCTCCCATTACTCACATAGCACAAAGTATAAGCAACAAGTAAATACACTTAAAATATCTTTTATCCAATTCAGGGGCAGGCTGTTTACTTGAATGTTACACAAATATAATTATGAATTGAAACTAATGATGTATAATACTGATACAAAGGCCAGACTAACCTGTGCCTCTTACAAAATGTAGATAAACATAATTATAATTAATGGAGATCATTAGCAAACACACTTTCTAATGAAAAACAACAAAAACAGAATAAGAAGCATACAGCATTATGTTCTTCTACGACTCCTTTGGAATCACACAATAAATAAATCTATAGTTCAAAGTCTAAATTCTAAATAAATATGATACCCAACATGACACCATGACTCAAACATCTCTTGGTGAATATAAGATATAAGAATGAGGACAAAAAATTACCAGCGGTCTCTTCTGCCTCGGCCATAGGAACCGCCTCCGCCTCTGCCTCCACGACCACGACCACCAGAACCTTCACCTCTCTCTTTGTCTCTACGTAATTTCATGGCTTCAAACCTTGACGCCATTTGCAGCAACTCATCGGGAACTTCCTGATTTGCTTCTTCGAGGATTTTAATAAGTTCCTTCGCACTTCCCCAATCCTGTCTAGTTACAAAAGTCAGGGATATACCAGTTTTCCCCGCACGGCCGGTCCTACCGACTCTGTGCACATATTCTTCAATATGGCGCGGAAAGTCTAAGTTGATAACATGCGTGAGGTCTTTTATATCTATACCTCTCGACGCCACATCTGTTGCCACTAAAATATTAACAGATCCGTCAACCATGTCATTTAATGCTGCCTCCCGGTCGGTTTGATCTCTATCCCCATGCAATGATTGACATTCTATGCCTTTAACGCATAGTTCTGTAGATATATGTACTGCTGTGGCTTTTTTACCACAAAATATAATAACTTTATCATTTGGATCCATGTTGTTCAAGAATTCAAACAAGGCAGGTTCTTTATCATCTTCCTCAAGAAATAAAATTTTTTGTGTTACGGTGTGAACAGCAGCGAGATCTAAAGATCCAACATTCACTTGTATGGGATCTTTCATGTATGATTCGGCAAGTCGTCTTACTCCGGGCGGCCATGTGGCCGAGGTCATCACTGTCTGGCGATCAGGTCTAACGTCAAATAATGATTTCTTTATTTGTGGTTCAAAACCCATGTCCAACATGCGATCAGCTTCATCTAACACAATGTATGAGAAATTAATAGCATTTAAATGGCGGGCCAATACTAAGTCATTAAGTCTACCAGGTGTAGCTATAACAATGTCCACACCTTTGGCTACAACTTTAATTTGTTCTTTACGATCACCTCCTCCATACAAACATACTGACTTAATACCTTTATACTGGTACTTAGATACTTCTTTGTCAATCTGTATGGCTAACTCTCGGGTGGGAGCCAAAATTAATACTGTGGGACCTTCTCTTTCTTCTCTTGGCACTGTTTGACCATCAATATGAATTAAGGCTGGTAAAAGGAAAGCCAATGTTTTCCCCGTACCAGTCTGTGCGATACCTATCATATCTTCACCACTCAGAAGAATGGGCCAAGCTTGGCTTTGTATTGGCGATGGAGACTTAAAATCCTGCTTGTATATCTCAGTCAAGATATCAGGGTAATGTTGAAATGCTTGTTCAAAAGTAAGGACTGGGTTGGGAATTTTGCGCAACCCAGGCTTGTCTTCAAACGTTCTTTTAACCTGAATATCATAATTTTCTAATCGCCATCGTTTTACCTCATCATCTGACATAGCTGCTATTGCAGGATCTTCTTTATAAAAATCTTTAACTATAGGGGGTAACTTTTCGTAACGATTTTGTTGCACCTGATTATGATAAGCATTAAGCTTATCCCAATCAATTACTTGATCTCCATTCTCGTTAATTTTAAAAAACTCTTTCGAGCGAGTTCCACTATCCTCTTTGTTATCGTGTTCTTCTTTTTCCTGAGGTTTGAAGTCTTCAATAAGTTTTTCTATCATTTGTTGAGCCTTGGATATAGCATCATCCGTGCCGGTGAGAGTAACATCAGTTTCATTGCCATTCGAATCTCCTACTTTGATTCGGGCATCGGATTCGAATTGAAGATCTTTTATTTTGATTCCTCCTTTGCCTATGATACGCCCTACTTTGTTAGACGGAACATAAATTACTTTCTTATTACCAGCGTCTCGTTTAAAGTCACGCCGTCCGCCTGCACCATCGTAGTTGCGGCGATAATCACCACTGCCACTGCTGTTGCTAGTATTCCCACGCTCCCTCCAATTTGAGTCATTATTCGAGTTTCGGTTACTCCCTCGGAAAGTTCTGCCTCGATATTGTCGAGTTGGGGGTGCCGCTCCCGCAGCATTTGATTGAAATGTTGGAGCAAAATTTGTCGGCGATTCTTCATTCCAGTCGTCTTCAAAATCAGCCATTTTAATTTCAACTAGTTGAAAATCTAAATACCTACTATACGATAACTTTTCTTCGTCTAAGAACTATACTAATACATTAGCCGTAAACGAAAGAATATTACTATATGAAGAATATCTTCTTCTTTAGGTTTTTAAAAACAACGATCGCAACCGCGTTGTTCCTTCCTTCGAAACGACAACGTGATACGGTACGGTAAACGATAGCTTGTCAAACAAAACTCTGCTGACTAGAGGAGAGCGAAACGTAAACATGTAGCTCGTACTAGACTTAAGCGAGACATCGATTTAAAAAATATCGATATATTTATATAGCTCCATTTTAATTCAAAATTGTATTAAGATCACGATCAATACATTTTATTTAGCCTACAAAATTTTAATCATCTGTTTTTTGTACAGATTATAGATTACAGATTATAGTGAGGCTTCACTGACGAATTAGGAAAATCCTGTAATGAGAGTATAAGAAGATTTTTTATAATAAATAAAATAAAATAAAACAAATAAGCGTAGCAAATTCATTGGATAGGCCCGCCGGGTACCGCCGAAAGCCGTCGGTACTTTCCCGCCTTTAAAAAAGTCCCAATCGCAATAAAACCAGAGCAGTTCAGAGATGAAAACCTCTGAACGGGGCCCCTCCTAGCTGGGGACTGGAGGTATTTTATGGACTTGCCATATAGTTACTCCACTGGTGCCCACCGTTTTTATTCCGTGCCAATGCTAAACAAAACAAAGGCACTTCGTTTTTTTTCAAAATCTTTTCGCACTGAGAAAGTTTGAACAATAATCTCCACGCTTATTTCAGGGGAATCGACGATTTCAAACTTATACTGTATTTACTTACTGTGGATGGCGAGTTACCCATGCTCGCCGTTCGCAGGCCCGTGCTTACGGTGACCAAAGATCGTCTCGCGATCCCCGACACCCGGAGTGTCACTCGCGACGGATGGGCGTGAGGAAATTCCTTCCCTCCGCCTCCTTAGCCTTTGACTGTTGCGTAGAAGTAAGAGATGGCATCCCAGTCCCCCTCGCTCCGTACCATAGTCTGAACCAGAACCGGACGCGAAAGGTCACTGTCGCCAATCACATTCCTGAGAACACGGTGGTGCTCAGCCCAAGCAGGGCACACCGCCACCATATGTTCCACCGTGTCCTTCAGGTGGTCTTCGCAATGATAACACCCAGGCGTTTCCTCCCGCCCAATCCGAAATAAGAACCTACCGAAACTTCCGTGTTCAGTAAGCACCTGCGTAAGGCGGTAAGGAAGGACACCTTAGCGTCTCCCAATCCATTTCTCAAAGAGGGGACTTACCGCTGCAATGACAGCGAGCCCACAGCCCTTGGTTACGACAGTCTTTGCTGCCATTCCGATATGAAATCGTGCCGGAGCTCATCCCGCCAGGCACTAATCATCCCACCAACGCACTAATCAAACTTATATCTAATTAAAAATGATGAGTTCAGGTTTCCTTCACCGTGTCAATGGCGCCTAAACAATTTAACACACACAGTGACAGGTACTTGCCATTTTTCGAAGCTGGGCCATCACGAAACGACAAACAGATATCTACTCACTGTGATGATCATCATGTAGGGCCATATATTTTTTCGAAACCTACTTTAATGTTGTTATGCGGGACTTTTACACATACATTACAGAAAAGCTATCTAAACACAAATTGTAAAAAAAATTGTGAATAGTTTTATTTTTTGGTTAACGGCTTTCTCGTAAAATGTGCACGAAAATAAATATCTTAAAAACTGTTTTTGGCCGCCATTTATTCATGATAACGGTGCGAGCGGCGTGTGTACAAAGGTGCAAAATGGAAATCGAAAAGAACACATCAAAATCTACAAAGAAATTTAAATCTTCCGGAATAGCTTCCAGGTATCCCCCATATTTCCTCCTTAATGACACTGATATGATTAATGACCGGCCTATAGATAATAATATTCACATTACAGGTGGAACTCTTAACTCGATAAAAAAATCATCGATACTATTTAAAATCTACTCGAAACATCATTCCATTATTTTCATTTGCTTGCTTTATTTTTATGCTTGCTTGCTTTATTTTTATGCTGGAAATTTGAGTATAATGGAATGATTTTGTAGTGAAGTGTAAGTGCTGCTCCACTAGTTATAATAATCGGAATCCTGATCATTTATCTAAAAAAGCCGATGTATGCAAGAACTGAAACAACTTGTTATTATTTTACTTATACTCGGTCCTTTGTTAATGCTGTACCTAAAATAATTTAACATGACCGTTGTCAACCCGCACGTGAACATAAACTTACAATAGATAAGCAGACCGAACATTTTAGTTAAAAATAAATGATATCCATCATTCTTTGTCCTTGTTCTGTCAAGTATCAACCTAATAATGGCATCTCGTACTTTTACCTGTACTGTAGCCACACTGCTCAAAACAAAAACAAATTCTGTACATGAAGCCAGCCAGTTTTCCGTGCCGCCATATTGATAAGCTTTTACCTACAATTGTATCAATATCGTCTTATAAGAAAATATCAATTGTTTATATTAAACATGTAAAAAATCTAAAATAAAATGGTGAAGTGTAGTTCGTATCGATGTGACAGCAATAGCTCTAAGAAAACACCTTTTTGCCCATAAGTTTACTTAGAATACTCATTGTATTCTATTTAACTACAAAAATAATAACAATTTTATTTGTTTATAATAAAAGTAACAATAAACAAATGAAATCAACTTTTTCATTAATGACCGCTCAAGTGGGATGTGTCACCCTAGAGCTAGGATTAAGCGATATTTCACTCCGGTCCTTCGTAAGCATGTAAAGGCCGTGTTGTTTATGTAACTACTTATGTCATATTGGTTGCTGCTCCATCGGATTAAGAGAGTAAGGGAATAGAGAGTAGGTACTAGAGAGTAAGTAGGTACAAAGGACAGAAGACAACACCTTGTTGGAAAACTTCATATCCATCTTCTTTGCGAGCTACAAGGGTCATTACGAATCATCTCACTCGTACGTAATCACGTTTGATGCTTCCCAGCGGTCCAGCCTCGATCAAGACCTGAACAAGTCTCTTCAGCGGTGTCGTTTCCCGGATCGTTAAGTGTTCAGTGTTGATGACACAAACGTATAAACTTTAGTGTTGTTTGTACTAAAAAACGTATATCGGTCCAAGTCCTAGTACATAATTATACAAAGCATAAGAATCATTCTCCTGCATCGAGGTGGGACGCAAATAGACGTAACGAACATCAATGGCGAATATATCACTCTACTTTTGATTTACTGAGGATACTGAAGTCATAGCGAAGTTGTTATTGAACCTAAACTCAGTATTCCATAAATTGTTGAATTCCCCAATAGGTTGGATCTGTGCGGATATAGATAAAAATGAAGATGAAGGTCATGTTAAACGCCTAGCTTACCCGTAGCCTACTTGATATTATTTGGAAACCCACTCTCAGGAATCTACACTAAAGGTGAATTAACAAACTACAAAAATACATTTTACATTTTTAACAATAAAATCCTTTGAAAACCTTGTATACGGAGTAATGTATAAGGTTAAACATGCTACAATTTAATCTGAAAATATATGAAAAATTATACTGCATATCTATGCAACGGACGCGTTCGGAATATAAATGTGGCTATAGCTATAAATGAAAGTTAATTATAAGATAGTGAAATGGCGCGGAAAGCTAGTATAAAATGAATTTCCTAGGGTGATGAATTTTGATAGAAAAGCTTTTCTCTCTAGTTTTTTAAGCAGTTACTAAAAGAAATCTTGTAAAGGCTGGGAGAGTTTAAAGCATGATAATATTATCAGACGAATTAAAATACAACATTATGATATTTTTTTTTATTATTTCCATATTGATTATTTAAAGGCAGTCGATTTTCTAATCGATTCTTTTCGTTTCAATAACGGTTTATAGCAGTTAAGCAATGGGCAACACTAGTTATTATTTATCGTCTGTGTTTGTGCGTGCGTGCGGTACGACGGCAGGCAAACGAACGAACGGAGGACCGAGGAACCCGAGTTTACCGAAATAATTTAAATAATATTAATTCCTACAATAATAAGTATTGTTCAGTTCACATCTGCAGAAAATGTACCTAGCATTGATATTTGTTTCATAATATCGCCCAAAGCCTGACGTCCTGCAAACAGGCAAAATGAGTAATTGGGCTAGAAGGATGCACCGACGAGCTGCTACATTGAGCAATGTGGTTACGTCTTGTGGGCATCCCAACTCTTTGCCATATCCGAGGAGACTAGAAAAAGTCAAGTTCGGTGTTCCGCTACATGAAGTTTGCAAGGATGATATCCCTGGACCCTTGCTTGTTAGTATCCTTGTGGTTTGAATACTTTGACAACGCCCCTGAGATTTTTGTTATGTTGATTATCGTGATTACCTGGATTGATTAGTACCTACACATTAGGTAGTCCTAGTGTCACATCGCCGATGCAGTTTACGAACTTATTGGTATTAAGTGGACAGTGTCGTGAATTTTTTCGTGGGTTAAAAAATGTATGGTGTTGTTCAGGTGCTGATATTGAAGCTAAACAAAGAAGCGCCGTTGCGACGGGACGTGTTTCGCGCACCTGGTCACCAGGGTGCCATGAAGAAGCTTATACATTTCCTTCAAACAGGTCGTCTGGTCAATGTCGATAATTATTCCGTATACACTATTGCCAGTGTGCTCAAGAAGTTCCTCAGGTACGTCATATCCAAATTAAATATTCAAAGAATTAATAAATTTAGTCCAAATAAGACTGTCCCTAAAATATCTTGATGAACCTGCTTTTAGTTTTATGTTGGCTACAAATTATTTAAATTGGTAGCTAATACAATAAACAAACATTACCGGTTTTCTATAATCTGATAAGATTGAAGGTAAATATTTTTGTTTGCATTATCAGAATATTGATAATGAATGATGTTTGAGATCTACTTGGTTGTATTCTAATCAACAATAAATTCTTGAGTGGGTAATATGACATTGTATGCACTTTTTGAGTGACATTTTTATTATGTTAGACATAGTTGTTATACTGGCGGCCCAGCTGGCTAATAAATTATGGAATGATCCTTTTTATTATAACAGTAATAATATTCTTGGTTTTTTTTTTGTATGACCTTACCAGTCTATTGATTTAGCATGTGCTTTTTTTAAGAAAACAATTCTGACTGTAATTAAACTGTCAAACACCAAGCGGTCACTGGTGACCGCAACCTATTGTTCTTTAATTGTGTCTATAAATACGGTACTTGACGAGTTAAATAGTTACTAATAATTTAAAAGTGTGTCTTGTAGGAAATTTCATTGACACAAAGGGTGGACATTCTTTATTATAAATAAATTATTTAGAACACAATAGCTCTAGTGAAGAATCTCACTGCCTTAACATTCATAAAAGAAAATAATATTATCAATATCCCTATAGTGTTCAGGTGTGAGAATATTTTCCTTTTTGTTTAGGAAAATCCCGGGTGGTGTGTTTGGCCGAGATGGAGAGATGCATCTGTTTACAGCTGTGGAGCTACCAGAGGAACAGCAAGTCGACGAAATACGCAGGTCAGTGGCATGGACTTATTCACAGAGATTTTACCATCAACAGTTTGTCTAGTCTTGAAGTTACTCCATAATAACTATGTAAAATAGAATCAGGTGTTACTTTGCGGGAGTCCATGCTACACTCTCCTCCATGCACCACTGCTGCATGATCATTTACTAGCAGGTGGGAGGGTGGTGCTGCAAATTCATGCCTACAGGGGAATATGAACTAAATATGTACCCGGTTGTTAGTGTTACTCAATAGTTACCGACTCCCTGTAAGAAAAATGCAGCAGTTAGTGATAAAAGGCGTATCATCATTGTTTAGATATTCAATTCTAAACTGGCAAACAAGCACCAGTTCTATAATACCATCGTAAATGTTTTATTGTCCCAATTACCAATTAGGAAGATAGGTAATGTTTAACACATTAGCACTGATGTTATAAAAATACATTGAATTATCAAGTATCTATGAAACAGGTATAAATAATTGTTTAATTAGTAAGTACACCTACTTAGTAGGTATGTGTGGGTAAAGGTGATGATAATATGACTTCAAACAAAAGTAATAACTATATACTTATATTCTAGCTATTCTCGCGCGGTTTTAACCGCTGTTTCGTTCCAATTGGTCATGATCTTGATGATTGGTCTTTATGTTTTATAGATTATAATTATTATCCAAAAAGAATATTATTAAAATCGAAACAGTTGTTCTGAAAATTAGGGCGTTAATACAAAAAGCTCTTCAGATTTACATATTCTCCAGTTAACATCAGTGGAAGTAAATTATTCTAGAGTAAAAAAACATTATGCCACTTTTTATCGCGTATTTACGCTAAGAAAATACAATTACTTATACCGCAAATTCCTTGCAAAATAGGGTGGGTGCATCGTACTATTCCATTGAAATTGACCTATCCGTCAGTTAGAAGTTAAATTGTTCGGAAATCCGGAGAAAACTAGGCGATGGAAAGCCTCCAACTTAGTTGTGTCTATACCGATACTATTCAAGTTACATGCCACACTACTGCCAGAAACATTGATACATGTTAAAGCTATAGCATATTATTCGGATTTATATTTAAATTCTTCTCTCGTTGGCCGAGTGGTCGTAAGTGCGACTGCCGGGCAAGGGGTCTAGGGTTCAATTACCGGGTCCGGCGAAGTATTACTGGGTTTTAATAAATTCTCAGTTATACCACGGAGTCTAAAATTGTGCCCGGTATTTGGCAATAGGCTCACTCCCTATTACTTGGGACTCATAACATAAATAGTGAAAAGTGGGTGATACATTGTACAGTGGCATAATGTGCACCTTTACCTACCGCTCCGGGGACAAAAGGCGTGATGTTATGATAATTTAAATTCTTCTGAAAATAATTCTCAATACGGGGTCACATCGTTTTGTATATTTTAAACGTATATCGTACTTTTTTTATATTACTATCGTAATTGCTGGGGAGCAGTACGTAAATGAATGAAGATGCACCATACAGACAATTATATTTTTATATGATACTAGCTGACCTGGCAAACTTCGTAAAGCTTATACATTTTTTTTATCATCTTTTAAACCTTCCCTGGATTCCCTGGACGAACATTTCAAGACCAAAATTAGTCAAATCGGTTCAGCCGTTCTCGAGTTTTAGCGAGACTAACGAACGACAATTCATTTTTTTATACATATTGTCAATCATCCCCCAAAAGGTAACGTGCGGTAACGCACTTTTAACGCTTCTGGTGTTTCGGGTGTCCATGGGCGGCGCCGATTGCTTACCATTAGGTGATTCGTCTGCTCGTTTACCGGCTTATTCCATAAAAAACACCCTACAGGTTTATGTTCGATAATAACAGTTACCGAGTCTGAATCAATATATGAGTATTATTGGAACTAAACAGAAATCGACACTTGATACGAGAAAAAACATGACATCCATAAAAGATTTATAAATACAATTTTCCTATTTCTATTATTAAGTGGTATCGCGATGTTTACCTGCTTGTGGATTTCCCATATTGTTTGTTTGTAGTGTCAAGAGATAAGGTATTTGACTTTAACTGTGATGTTATTCTATTGTATAACTCCCGATGTAAATAGAAGGCTGTTATAATTTTGTCCTGTCTGAATCTGACCTGAATGAACGAATTTAGATTGCAAAATTTTTATCGAAACCTTGTCCATAGTAGTTCTTAGTCTACATACAAACCGGATTAGCAGTTTGTCAGCTACAAAACCCTGGGTTTTTTTAAAAGTATTTTTATGGAATAAGGCACAAACTAAACGCAACACTAGAGGCCTTTTAATAAGGATTACGCTCTTATCTTGAACGTTTAAAGGTCGTATCTATTTAGATATATACCGTCGGCGACGGTTCATTTCACGGTTTTGCAGTGGCTGACAGAAAATTTCGTAAAAATGTGCAGTTCTGGCCTGCTAACCAACTGAATAATATGATGGGATGAAAGTGCTGTCGCGTGGGTCGATGGCGAAAAAATGCAGCAGGGATCAAACCAAAAAAATCTTCGGAGAACCTGTGCCTATAGCCTAAATAGATTTTTAAAATTTTATGACATGTGCGTTTAGCTTTGATTTTGAAGCTTTATGGGTTGTTGTCAAATATCTAAATGTACGAGTTTATTGATACAAAAATGCTAAAGAATAACATCCCGTACCTACTATGTTGTTAGTTAATATTAATACGTATTTTGTCCCTAGAGTATTTCGGTACTAAATTACATTACATGCTCTATAGTGTTCAGACGACAATGTAATCATGTTCAGTCTTATTGGATGGTAACATTATCCATTACATACCCGGGTTTATACTTAGTGCGAAGTTGATAAGTATTTGACTTTTTTTATTATAATATCAAGTATATTATTATTGTTTGTGTTTCCTTTATAAATTGCATGTAAATGTTATAGTCTGTCGTTATGTACCGTTTGTTACGCTGGGGCAGGTATAGGACTTTCACAATACACCAGTATTATGGATAGGAACAATGGTTGTTTATAGAACACCCGACCTGAATTTTGATGCGCATACGCATAGTAACGGTGCGCTTCGGTTGCCATGGACGTGATGGTAAACAAATAAAATAAATTATGCCTAATGGGTAATATTCTTATAACTTATTCTATTTGCTGCTGCCACTAAAGTTTATGTGTGCATAAGACTGCAGAATGGGTTCTAAGTACGTAGTTTATTTCTCAATATTTTATTTAGCTTTAGAACAGTACATAGACGTGTCCAAGACAAATGTAATTGGTCATGACACTGCCGAAAACGATCGCAGCTTCAATTTACCAAGGTTTTTGTTGATTCACTTTAAATGGCAATGCCCTGTTCTTACGGGCAGAAGACATGGCGTGACATTTTAGATTCAGAGTCTCGATAAAATAAATGTCGCTTTAACTCTTCATTCTTGGTACAGCACAAGTAAATCGACCTTTACAAGATGGAGCGCAGATGGCGATATAATTTTACGAAACAGTATAAAAGCAATAGTATTTTAATGTTCCTTTTATACCATAATATTCATGATGGACTTTTAAATGTTGTTTGCCCTAAAAAGTTTTAAAGGTAGGTGTGGCTTATCTGATACATTGAGCGTGAACTCCGGGTCCAATATGGACGCGTCGTGTTTGAAGCTAGTCGACCATTAAGTGGCCGGGTACCTTGTTAAGCAATACAGGCGTGATGGGTTTTGGCAATGGATAAAAATAAAATAAAACCATTTTGTCTCAAATAATTCAAATCTCGATTAAGAATCGATGGTTTTAAAACAGATGAACGATACGGCCGGCTCTAAATCGGAATTAAAAATCTCTGACCGTGAACTTCTGATTTCTAAGTCACGGTCAATGGCTATTTCGTGTTGAATTTTCTTTGTAAATAAAACAACTTCGTCACAATAGATTGATCTATTCATTCTCTTGTCCTGAATTTCTAATAAAATTCTTTTTAACTAATTTCAAGAGAAGTGGTGTCGTAAGAGGGTAGCCAGAGGCATTAAGGCTATGTTACACAATGTCTGGATCGCTAGTGTGTACCAGATAAAGAATGTAGAACGAAATTTGTATGAACTATCTCCACACAAGTTTGTTGGTTTCTTACATAAACGTGGTGAACGTGGTCCCATCCTGGAAGACTATCGCATATACTTCATCAGTGCTTTTTGATTAGATGCACTTTCGATTGGAACTTTTATTAGGTAACTACCTAGAGTTCTTTTTCCTATTTCCCTCCCAATAAGGTATAGTTGTTATTTCTTAAATATATTTAAGTGTGGGAGAACCATGAATGGGCCGGCTTGACTGGAGTGAGGTTAAGGAAGGCCCCATTCCCCTCCCCCCTCCCTCCCTTTCCCCATCCCTGAATCCCCAAAAATCCTTAAATTCTTAATCCCAAAAAGCCGGTAACGGACTTGTAACGCCTCTGGTGTTCCAGGTGTCCATGGGCGACGCCGATTGCTTACCATTAGGTGATCCGTCTGCTCGTTTACCGGCTTATACCATAAAAAAAATTAACGCGTTGAACTTAGTATTCCCGCAAGTCAAACTCAAGAAGTCGTAAAATATGAAGACGATACCATTCATTGTATAATCGGAGCAGCATTGAACGTATTAACGTAATCGTTGGTTATTCATGCGTTAAGTCGACGCCTCGAACACTCATACCGCATGTTATACAATGCCGTCTTTCAACTCATTGATATAAATCTTATAACTAACCGAGTTATTTGTGTGGTTTTACCGTGAATTATTCATAGAGGTCAACGAACTCCATGTTTTTAATTTTCCTCCTATAATTAGGTCACTTTGATAACACTATGGAAGTAGGTACCTATGCTATGTCGTAATACTAACGAGTGAATTAATAATTCGATTTAATTTAATTTATGATAGGTAGTTATAAAGTTGTTCATTTGTAGGTACATATTTGTTGATGTAGGTATTACGGTAAACGTTTATTAGTATTTTAGGTATTGTTGTAGTTTTTTTATAACAAATTATGTATCTAAGTGGTCGCGTGATGTTTCCAATATTGCAAGTATTTGTTCTAACGTCAGTATCATTAGCTAGCATGCGATTCGTTTCTCTCAATTGAATCGCAGAATTGATTATTGTAACATACTACGTTTTTTTGGTTTCACTCTCAATAATTCTCACCATAGCCTTTGATAGAATTGGTTCGGGTTGTTTCGTGTTAGCGATTAAGCAAAATGCGAATTTCACGTAAAAAGTTGGAAGTTTTGTTTGACTATTATTTAATCACTAGGATTCGGTTCGATTTCCGAGTAGAGAAAAATGTAAGGTTCCTTAGTACTTAGATGAAACTGAGTCTGGAATTGCACCCAATATTCTGCAGTAGACTCGCGGTATGCGATTTGTACAGTTTAATGCATACTTAAAAAGAATTAAAAGCATTGCGGGTGCTCATCATGGTGAGGGCTTCCAGTTTTTCGCCAATCAATTAGGACATGACGTTACAATATCTCCATCACGCCCCGGACTTTTTTACGCTAACACGATCGAAACATTACCGTTTAACTCGTACTAAGGCCTCAGCCTTAGTACGAGTTTCTTTTTCGTTCAAAGTAATCGTAACGAATCGGCGCTGTGATTGGCCGGCTCCAATGAACAAACCAATCAGAGGCCTTAGTACGAGTTTGTTTTACGTTCAAAGTAATCGTAACGAGTACGCGTTCGGCGCTCTGATTGGTTGCTTCAATGGCGCCGTCCAATCAGAGTGCCGAACGCGTACTCGTTTCGAATACTTTCAACGTAAATCAACTCGTACTAAGGCCTCAGAGCACTGAACGCCGTCTCGTTTCGATTACTTTAACCGAAAAAGAAACTCGTACTAAGCCCTCTGATTGGTTAGTAAATTGGAGCTGGCCAGTCAGAATGCCGAACGTCATGTATTTTCGGTTAAATGCAATTTCAAAACGAAAACTGCAATATTAGGCAACTGTTTAATGAGATTTGTCACATTTTCTACGAGTGACCTCTACCTTGTTAGTTACGGGTTTATGGGACTGATTTACAGTTAGCTACTTAGGTTTTTAAAACTTTGTCAAGGTGGCCAATTGAAAAACGGTGTATTACGCGAATGATCGTGTATGAAAGTTGTGATAGATTATATTTAAAACTTGAATTAATCATATTAAACTGTCAAACACCAAGCGGTCACCGGTGACCGCGACCTATTGTTTTTTAATTGTGTCTATAAAACCGGTACTCGACGAGTTAATATCTAAGTGTCAATTGGAACCTCTTTCTGGCTAACTAGACAAAATAAATTACATATATCACTGAATTACTGAAGAATTAACTCGTCGAGTACCGGTTTTATAGACACAATTAAAGAACAATAGGTCGCGGTCACCGGTGACCGCTTGGTGTTTGACAGTTTAAATAATTCTGCGGCCTGTCCTTCAATGGTTAATCGTACTTGTAGAACATGCTAAGTGTTGCCGATACGAAGCCGCGGAGGATCGAACGGGTTGCCATTGCCAGGTCTCCGGCTCGAAGACCAGAAGTAGGAATGGGGTGGTTTTTATTCAGTAAAAGTTTAAGACTCCCTCTCGCCTTACCCATGATGGGAGAAGTCGTTGGATGATTTTCCCCCTAAAAAAGAACATACCTACTAAGGGTTTACTACAACATATTTGTAGAGTAATACTAATGCCTTGTTCGCACTACGCCAGTATTTAGTCGAGTAGCGAGTATTTAGTAGCCCGCTACAAGGTATTATTATTATTATTTTGTTTTTTTCTTCTCTTATATTATCTTCTGATTCATTTCGTTGCGGGAACCAAGACAGTTATTCATGTCCCTGAGACGCGCCGGACTTCAGTTTTCCGGTGTTTTCATGGTTGTATCTACTGTGGATCCTGCCTTACAGGAGTTGCAGCGGTTTTGGGAGGTTGTGGCGGACTTGTCCTATTAAAAAAAGGTTTTAGGGGATATGTAATTATTTTTCCAGTTACTGAATGATTGTCCACAGACTGCTCCTGTCCCTGCCGGTGTGCACGCAAAGACTGCTGGTGCTGCTCTTCGGCACGTTTCGGGTGATGGCATCCAACGCTGATAAAGCAGGCGAGTACATACATCAATGTCTATTTAAACAAAAAAACAAAACGAAAAATTAGAAGTTAAGGTTAAGCGACGAGAACTTTTGGACTGTTAGAAGTTAATATGCTTCATTGGAAAATTCTGCTGACATATCATCTCGAAATTGTAATCAATTACAAAAATCACAATAATAAAAAATATTCCATTTCTTTCTATCTTTCCTAGTACAGAATAACTTAACTACGTACGCTACTAGTAACTATTCTTTTGATAAATAAAACACTTAAATTAATACTCAGGCAGTAATTGTCCGGGATACAAAATAAAATCCGTGTTCCACATCTCGCAGCCGGCTTTCGCTTGTATTTTTTGTTCTTAGCTTACACAATATTAATCCGGAGAGATTGACGGAAAGGACCTGCATTCACAAGTTACCAAGCAACACTATCAGCTTACGTCATAGAGTCTGCTAAGAATTTCACACAATGGATATTTACAGTGAGGCCACTCACGAAACAGTCTAATTAAGATTACTGCAAATAAAGTTACACTGAAATGAGTTTGCAAATATTTGGTTTGACTAATTATTAACATTCGTACACGGTAGCAGAATTTCTTACATATATGCCTGAAGATTGATATCTAGTTGTGATGATTTGATGAACGCTTATTATGATGATATGTTACGTACATGACAGTATTGTAAGCATTTGGCAGTGGCCTGACGAAAGTAATTAGTGGTAATTATGGCAATAACACGCGAGCCTGCGTGGGCGCGCGTGATGCAACGGCTTTACATTCATTGTGTGATTATTTAATGTTTCTTCAGAACGTCTCGCTGGATTATTTGTTGGCCTAGTTTGTGATGACGTCTTCGTTTTATTAGCTTTGCTCGTAACCTTTTTGATCTATTATATATTTATATTAATTATTTGGGTCGCGCTGTGGTGTCCTACTTTTGCGAAACGTCGCGAATTCATGGGAAATGTCACTGTTTCCATTGGCGCAGAAAATATTCCATTTTCTTCAAAGCACCTTTCACAGTTTTCCGATGTTTATAGATTTTCCACAATCGTAAATAAAGCGATTGCATATCATTGTGTTTAGCATGTAAATGCACGAGTGGTAGAATATAAACTGGTCGATCACATAACTCACAAATTCCCCTGGCAACCATCTTGAATGCTGGTATGAAGCGCGTTCGTTGTACTGCACGCTGCACGTAGTGTTTTAATGCCTATACAGTTTTCCTACACAATGTCACCGTCGCCGACAAAAGCGGCGTAGTGTGCGATTGTCAGACATATACGGCTCACTTGGGCTGTATATCGAGCCTTATTTAATGCGATGTACGTCATTGTTGTCGCAGGTATTAATATGTAAAATATTATGTTAATATCGCCTGTGTTTGAAGAGCACCGAGCTCCGGCGTCATGCTCCAATTGTGACAGGAACTGCTCGTTTAAGACTTAGTTTTGTGCAGTCGTATTGTTATCTTATGGCTTTTATGTAGGGAGTTTGTCTATTTACATTGCATAGTATAGTGTAACGGCTGTTTCTTATCGAGTAGAAAGAGGTCGAATAATGAACTTACACATGGCGATTATAAATTTAAATTTTGTATGGAAGTCAAATCCAAATAAAATTAGGATATTTTTGCACAATACAAAGTAAGGCTCCTTTGTAAATTCAACAAATTAATTATAATGAATAAATTATTCTTTCTACATCACAAAAATAACAACGTATAGTTTTTGTTGTGTGTAATACTGGGAAAATGCTTTGTTCGTACCCCATTGCGTGTAGCAGTGCAATGCCGTTCGTGCATTATCTTACGAGACTTCTGTTTTCATGTAAAACATGGCTAATTCGGTGTCTGTAGTTTTAATTACAGTAATTTGCCTCTTAAATAGATGTTTTTTGTATCCTACAATTATATGAAACAGTGAAGTTGAATGACTTTACTGTGAATTCAACGAAGAAGGGTAAAAAGTTAGTTTTCCGCGAATTTCTTGTGCTGTTCGACTTATTTATAGATTTTTTACTGACAATCGCTGTCTACTTTGTTGTTAATTGCATTGTTTCATCAAGTTATTGGCTGCGGAATTTAAGTGGCTGGTTACATCACAATTTATGCGTTACTTCTTGGTCTAGTGATTGTAAGCGCCACTGTCTGTCTAATGAGTGATATGTGTACATTTTTGAAATTGTTATGATTTGCCTTTAGTCTATGTACAGTATGGTTGTGACTAAAACTACTAGCCTCTTGTCTGTTGAAAGTTGCAAGTATAATGTGTTTTATACCGGGAGCCGGTGTTTCAACATATAAAAGGACTTAAAGTAATCTAAATTTTACTGGTCTAGGGGATTTGTAGTCTTGTACGTCAGTCCGTGAAATAATTTCTGGTACGTAATCGAAATTAATCCTAATTACAATTTAGTTGAATCGTGCATTGTATTGTTTCTAGGTACAGGTATGACATCCGAAGCCCTGGGCGTGTCGGTGGCCCCATCATTTTTCCACTCTTGCGTGTCGGACGGCAAAACAGCCACAATGGAGGACGTTCAGAGATTCAAGGTTGGTTCAGACATTACCTTTCATATGTCACAACACGGGAAAATTATTTAATGATACCAAGTACCACGAATAGCCATGGAAATGTTAAATATATAATAAGATTATTGATTCCTGATAGTTTGTTCGACGTTGCCATGGTATCCTATGGAATAATACACTAATATCCTTGTCTAGTGAGTCATTCATTGGTGACTTACCTTAGTAAATTCAATTCATGATGTAACCTTGTCAAATTATGACTAAGTAAATTAAAAGTAAAAAATAAGTTCTAAGAACTGCAGCTGGTTAATTTAGCGGGGTTACTGGCTGATGGCACAATATTAGATCTAACGTTGTTACTAACGACGGTTAATATGTGTATAAGGGGAGTGAATGCGCTTTGTAAAGTGATACATGTATATGTAGCATACGTGATAGCTGCACCATTATCGAAGATTAAACATATCGAGTTTCGGTGTAATCACCTGATGTGGACATGTGGAAACGCGTTTGTTTTGGTACTCGGCGACACACAATCGTGTAGACAAAACTGTTCTATGTACCTAGGTGATTTTTTGTCATTTAATTATAATACTTGTGTAAAAGGTTTGATACTCGTTCATTGACATTAATAACCGATTGTAATTCAAAATTGTACAACAAATCTTTGGGCTGACATCGATTTTTAACCGACTTAACAAAAAGGAGCAGGTTCTCAAGTCGTCGGAAGTTTTTTATGTATGTTCATTGTTCACCGATTATTTGAATGCGCCTGAATCGATTTGGATAATTATTTTTGTTTGATAGGGTATACCTCACAGGTAGTCCCATGGTCACCATGTCAGGATCTGATGATCAGGAATCCGAGGGGATTTTTTGAAAATTGTAGGGCCAACTATTGCGTTTGTTAGTTTTTTTGTTCATTAGTTCTATCGAGTTTTGTGAACTTTGGTCTATTGACAGATATTGAATGATTTGACAAACAGTCCTTACAAGTGTTTTATTTCGGTTTCAGTCAAAGTATTATTCTGATTTTCAGTATGAATAATTCTTTTATAAATTATGTTTAAAAATCCGACCTCAACTCATTATTGTTTTGTTTGAAGTCTGTTTATGAATATACTAAAACCTTCTCCTAAGTAACAAACACTTTTCTGTAAAACCACATCAAAATCGGTTCAGCTAATCGCGAGATACTGGCGCACAAACATACTTATATACATACAAATCAAACAGAAACCTCCTTTTTTGAAGTCGGTTGAAAAATATCTGCAGGCAGTAGATAATAAAGCTTAGTTTTCATGACGAAATTAATATCGTAGTGACGAAAAGTGGGTGTGGTGCATGTAAACGATCTTTTGGCTTCTGATATCTACTAATCTATGACGGTTTAGATAACAGGTTTATCCTTTCTCTGAGAGGAAGCAAAAATTCCTTAATTATAACGTTGCATCGTACTATATTGTACTGCGTCGTTGGCCTAGTGGTCGCAAGTGCGACTGCCAGGCAAGGGGTCTTGGATTCGATTCCCGGGTCGAGCAAAATATTGATGGGTTTTGAAAAATTCTCAGTAGTAGCACGGAGTCTGGAATTGCGCCCGGTATATGGCAATAGGCTCACCCCCTATTACATGGGACTCATAACATAAATAGTGAAAAGTGGGTGTTACATTGTACAGTGGCATCAAAACGAACAACAATCAAAACTTACAGCGCAGTGTGAAATACATTTTATACGCGTTATTATAATTCAAATTGAATGACTTTGTGTAAAAAGTACATGCACTGTAGCCAGCAGGTCAAACTATCCTTTTCAGTAATTTTCTTTATTATATTTTCAACTTTGTTGCATTGATATAAAGTAGAAAATGTAATGAATAAAGACAGGGTGTAGGTTGATGCATCCACTGTACCTATCGTTACTCATTGTGATATGAAATCAATAAGTTCTAACAATAAATGTAACTTGAAGAAAGGCAACAATAATCGTTATCGCTATTCATAGTCAATAAACAGTTTTTTTATCAGCAATGTCGAGTGAAGTTCTTTCTAATAATGTTTACTTATCTGATAAAACGATTTAAATTATAAATTGTCTTCGTTGTCTCGAGTCTTTCAGTGCAATGAATGCGTTTTAACGTTTCATATATTAATTATTTTCTTTTATATTCAAGTTTCTGTTTTATGGGTAACTAAACGACCTTTTATTATACCACATACGTTACCAGTTAATCAAATACTTGTCTCAGAAAGTATTTATCAAGAAATGAAAAATAAAAAACGTTAGCGACTCCATTCTTTGCCTATATGTCATTTAAAAAAAGATCCTGGACTATGCTCGACTGATTACAAGCTACACCGGATCCCATAAACATGTTCAATGCTAAATTTAATTTTATCAGAGGAATAGCTTTGAATAGTTGACAAGTCTTCCATATCAATAACTGTCAAATGTCAATTTTATTCTACAGTTAAGAATTAACTGTTGATTTAAAAATCGACTCTTAATCTAACTTAAATTTAACATATAAAAAAATCTAAGGAACTAAAAGATCAAGCCGTTTCTTCGCGACTTAACCTGGAAGCCTAGTATAGGAAAAAAACTAAGCTAAATGTGTGAACGTGTCTGCCTTATTTAGCTTTATCTAAGCCTTATGTCAGAACATTCCACGTTTTTTATGAGCCATTGCGAAGTTTGATGACTTTGTAAAGTGACGTCACTACATTAATTAACCTCTTTTGTATCGCATATTTGCTAATTGTCTTTGATATGGATTGCGGGTTTAGTTCTTTGTCTGGTAGAGTACGACTTGCGTGTCTTTGAATAATTATTAAAGATAATATTGAGTGTGAAAATTTATATGAATTTTTGTTAGGAAGAATGATGATTGATGATTTGTATGTGTAGCTGGGTTAAGCTTGTTTTTATAATAACTATCGTGAGGCGTATTAAACTAACTAAAAATCGCGGGTTACTCACGTGAAAATACTGAGAAAAGCTCTACTGGTTTCGAGCCGCAGAGGGGCTCTTCCTCATGAGTAGCGTGCGCGGTAGTTACACATCAATATAGGTAACTGATCTTCTATTAGTACGTAAGATAGGTATTATGATCTTCATTGCGTCTCTCGTTTAAGAAAATTAAAACACGTACTATGAATGTTGGATGATCAGAAAAGGGACATTTCGGCATGTCCCTCATTGATTCTAGAATGACCCTTTGCTTTTCTATACTCTATATTCGTATAAAAAATATTCTCATCACATTATTTAGTGTTACAATAACTTACACGATTCAGTGTTAGCCAGGAACCTTTCAATAATCACTACCAAAACAAAATAATAGACTAGACATTCACGAGTTCGTTCTAAGTATTGTCCACATCGGTTGTTTCCATTCGACACAATGTAATATATAGGTACATGTATATTATAAGATGGTTACTGTACATAGCTTTATAACTGTGTTCACTAAAACTGTATAACATGCGGCCAAAGGCTGAAGTTAGCGTGAGTATATCATTATACAATCGATCACTTTACCTTCTAATGTGTTACTTAGGCAGTTGGTAGTGTTGGTACTATCGGCTAATGTTTTGGTGACCAGGCAATGAAGACTATTCTTTTTACCAATAAGTTTGTGTCTGTAATTTTTGTAAGAGAGGTTTAACGTACCCATGTCGTTGATGATATGATAAACATATTGTTTATATAGTGAATTTATTTTATAACAATGCTACATCGTTGGCTATTTCTCAACTTTATCGGCAGGAAGTAGATATTTCCTGTCAGTTTTCGTGTTGGTACTTTTATTACCTACGTGTTAAAATTATTAGACCTTATATTGAGAACAGTGTGACGAGATCTTGAATATCTTAGCAACATATTATGACATATTTAGAAAATTGGTTACTTAAATCTACTCGTAATTTATTACCTGTGTACCAATAACTAGTCCGATAGTACATAGCTTTAGCTACCGGTTCCCATTATTTAAGTTTTTACGCATTTTTAATACGCGTAACAGGCTTGCTATTTGATGTTACACGCTTTTGCATGTCTTTTATGCCTAGTTATGAGCATTAGTTATCGTTTGGTGAGGAATTATTCACGGCAACACGCGTATATACTACTGAACATAACTCATGGACGTTTGCACAGATTTAGGATTATTTGTGCACTCTAATACTTGAGAAAATAACAAGCGCAACTTTAGTCTACGTGGGATATTTCCATACGTTTTGGCAGTAAAAGAGTAGGTTATGATTGAGGTTTAAAACTAATGGATGTTATAATAGTAAAAAGGTGTAGATATGTTGTGAGCGCTCAGAAACTGGCACACCGAGAATGTTGTTCAACTTTATGGTTTTGATTCATTGATATCTGGTTGATTTATACACTTATTAGGCTGCAATGCGACTGACATACGTTGTGCGGTATAAATTCCACAAAATCGAAAAGGTAAAAATTGCGGTAAATAGCCACATTTTACCCCAGAGTAGCGTTGCGCTGTCTAGGACAACGTTGTTGCGTTTGTGTACTGTTTTTAAAGATCGAATGTTGTTTAGATAATCTACAACGTGTACATATACCTTATGATGTAGCATGCAAACGTCTCGCGAATTCCGTCTCTTGCAGCAACTCTGTGTCTCAAAGTCCCATCAATGAAAGTAGAATGATAAATTTTGCGTTCGTACTTTTATGATTTATTCCTATTCCTATATTATTCATTATTGAATAATTACTCACCTTTCTCAAGTCTCAAGTAGTAATAAGTTCCAACGCCGCAACATTGAAAGCCTAGTTTCTTAACAAAATGCTTGTGTTTGTGTTGCTTATCAGTGCGCTGGGGAACATCATTTATTATTTAGAGACAACATTGATAAGCTTGATTCATGGATTCCTTAGAGTTACTCACTTCCTGGTTCCACTGAACATTTTTATTCAGTGATGAAAGAATAGTTAAGTATAGGACATTTCTCAAGTGATGATCTACGAAGGCCCAAATACTGAAAGGTTACAATTTTAAGTTGTACTTAAATATCGAATATGACTTGAGTGTAATGGGTGTCTTCAAGTCCCGAGTGAACAGATTGCTCATAAGCAATCTGTTCTTGAAGATGATGGAGCAGGCGTGCTCCATCATCGGCCGCATCATCGCTTACCATCAGGCAAGATGGGGGCCTCTCTCATTTCACAAAGTCTCATATCTCTGTCATTTTACAAAGAATTTGTGGTGACAGAACTATACTTAAATGCGACTTAAAATTGAGTAGCCTTTCAGTATTAGGGCGATAAACAATTATTCTTGCAATTAATACGAAAGTTAGTTCCGTTATTACCCTAATAGTTCGTGTTTGAAGTTGTATTTTATAAGTCGTTGATTAATGCACCGATATGAGAGACAGAATAGAATATACAATGTGTCTCGTGTGGATCTGCGTTTAGACACACAAAAGGTTAACAACAGTAACTAGTTTTTACATCATTAATGTATGTACTGCTAGTCTTATTTTCTTCTAATCATCTTTTCAAAACGCACCAATGGCAGTTTGTTCTTTTCTATCGCCTTCCGATGCTTATTACGTAGTTTAGTGTGCATGATTCATTGTCATGATAATTTTATGTTAATCTATGTTTTTGCAATTCTTGCACTTGTAATTGACGAATTTGTATTGAGTAGGTAATAAAATTATAGATATGTGGTGATTCATGTTTATATTACATAGCCACATTAATGAATACACCGTGAAAATGTTGTTATCGGCCCACAGCAAAGTGCCACAAGGAGTACTTTCGATGTATAAAGTAAAAACAATAATAAATATGTATTTTTTTTAGTTTAAAATAATTTTTCATGACATTATGCACATGAAACACTAGATGTAAATTTCGTGAATTACATGATGAGCACTATGAGTTCGTATGCGCTTTCGAAGTTGGCTTTTTGCAATGGTTCACCAGTTATTTTTGTTAAACATCTTATTTCTTATTAAAACTATTGTATTACCAAGACAGAACCATTTTACTTCGGGACGAAAACGATATCGATTTCACGGTGTATAATTGAACTGCTTTGAATAATCGTAAGGTAGTAATAACATAAATGGTATATTTTATGATTCTTAAGAGGTTTGTTTCTTTTCTAGTTTTTTTTTAGTAGTATGTTTATTTATTAGTTAGTATTCATAGAAAATAATATAAATATTTTATTGATGGTCTCCAAACCAAACTGTAATAGTACAAAATTCATGTAATATTTAAGTTCAAGCATTTTTGATCTAGCATTAAAACAATCGTTGGCGAAGTATCATAATAAATATTATATTGTTAATATGGTATATACAGGTGGCGACAAGGATCATGCGTCAGTTGATCGAGCAGTTCAGTGCCGGCGACCTGTTCGGGAGGGATAACTACGAGTACTACGCCCGGGTAACCGGCCGCATCCTCCGGGTAAAGGACGAGTGGATATGTTCCTTCAGAGACCCGCCGCCGCCCCGGCATCATCGCGACCAGGAGGCTTATGCTAGTAAGTACATATATCACTAGCTTCTGCCGGATTGCCAGGATAAAATTACTCCATGTGATATGCCAGACTATACTCTATCTTTGTACCGAATTTCATTCAAATACACCCAGTAGTTTTTTCGTGAAAACATACATACATCCTCATAACATTTCGTATTCATTAATATTAATAATAGTACTTAATTTTGTTAATCATATGTTAGTTGACATCTCAATTCCTCTTGGGATTACGATCGAGAGCCTAGCCACTCACTGAGACCTGGCTGTACACTTCCTTCTCTTCAAGAGGAGGTTGTGGGGCTGGAGGACCATCAATCATTTGATGATTTTCCAGTTATCCATTTGAGTTTGGGTTCCCATAATCTCAGTTAGCTAGTGGTTTGTAGATCGCAGTTTGGTCATAGAAAATGTAATGTAATATGAGAATGAAGAGATGGGTAATCTCTTTTGATTTCCTGGTGACAGTTTTGATCACAAGATCACACCAAGAAGATAGATAGAATTGGAGTAAATTAAAAGTTCCTCGTTGGCTGAGTGGTTACAAGTGCGACTGTCGGGCAAGGGGTCTCGGGATCGATTCCCGGGTCGGGCAAAGTATTACTGGATTTAAAAAAAAATCTCAGTACTGTGACACGGAGTCTGGTATATGCCCGGTATATGGCAATAGGCTCACCCCCTATTACATGGGACTCATATCATAACATAAATAGTGAAAAGTGGTTGTTACATTGTACAGTGGTATGATGTGCACCTCTCCCTCCACCTTCGGGGATAAAAGGCGTGATGTTATGTTAAATATTGTATGTGTGTTTATTAAATACTACTTTAATGATTTTACTTTGAAAATGGTCTCCGAGTCTTCTGCTCAACTATGTTTTTACATGATAATGCCACCTCAACAACGTATTTTCGTAAAATAATTCCGAATTAGCTTATTTGAAAATACGAAATTGAAGACCGGCCTTATCATTTTTATTTTCTAGTACAACAATACAATTAACATTAGGTTAAGAAGGTCACATTTCAACATTTTCAATTAACATAAGTAATTTATTCAGATAACGACTTATACACGTTTTCAAAATATCCTCGCTACCAAGTGACACTTAGCTGTAGGATAATATTTATAAGAGAGTACGTCAACATGTAGCTAACGTACTTATTATAATAACAATCTATATATATAAAAGAAAGTCGTGTTAGTTACACCACTTATAACTCAAGAAAGGCAGAATAGATTTGGCTGAAAATTGGTAGGGAGGTAGCTTAGAGCCAGGAGACCGACATAGAATACTTTTTGACAAACATTTGTATTTTTACTTTTTACCGAAAATCACGAACGGGGGCGGGAAAAAATGGGATTACGCGTACGAAGTCACGGGCAGAAGCTAGTTAATAATAATAGACGACTTACGGTCGACTTACGGTCAGTTATAGTAAAAAACATAACATAATTAATTATCATACCTTTTATTCAACATAATAAAATGTACCACCCACCTATATTTAAACAGTTGTAATATAAATAAAAAAGTAAGTTAAGTGTGAGAGAGCCATACTTCGGCACGAATGGGCCGGCACGGCAACGGCCTCAGTACATGTTCGACGCAGGAATCGTACCTGGAACCGCTTACTCGAGTAGTTCGACGCTAGTAACAATAAAATCAATGATTTTATTTATTACCACCACTACCACTACCACTTATATTTAAGTGGTATTTGTATGTATCAGTAATAAAACAAAAAACTAACATTTTATTATGCTTCACATTTTCGACTGCAAATTAAGATGTTCCCTGAGATAATTCGAGTTTTATTTGAATAATGATACATGAGAAAATCATTGAGACTTTGTTTTGCAAAACACGGAAACTGAGCTTCATGTGTTATGAGAAAACTTAGTCATAACACTCATTGTTTCCGAGCTATTTTTGTTGGATTCGTTCCCCATATCGAAGGCTTTATAAAGAATTATATTAAAGCCAGAAACACGAACAACTTGGAATAATTAATACACGAACACGATTGACTAATATTAAAATAAGTCGTTAAAAATTGGGCACCTATTAAAATTGAACTTTGTTCACAGGACAATTGTCTTTGGAGGCTGAGAAAACGTGGTTGCAATGCGAATGCGATCGCTGGGGCAACAAATTTAATTTAGAAGGTAAATATTACAAGTATTCTCTATCAATTACCCTTCCATAGGATTGATATCCTAATAAAATACAGCATTTTTCGCAGGTCATCCGAACGAAACTCGTTTAAGTTGTTAAAATAATCTAGTCAAGTTACAATATTCATAGCAAATAATATAACGTTTTGGTGAGTTTTGCAGCCAGTTTGTGAATGAGTTCAATAACATCACATCTTCCATACTTCATAAGATTTGTTTTAAACTTGGGTTTTGGTAGCACAGAGTTGGTAGCCTAGGTTTTGTAGACACCTCACTAATTTTAGACCCGCGTAACTTTGACTCCCATTTTCTAGTAATATTTGAGTACCTGGGATCACTAACCGGGCGGGAATAATCTAAAATGTACTTTATTACTATGGCCATACGTATCATTAACTCATGAAGTAAGTATCTTATGGAATCAATGCGATCACTTACCACTTTAGAAGAAACGGATGTTTGATTTCATAACAGTGTTATTTTGCAGACATTCTCATAACTCATGGATGCGATTTATCAATCTTAACATTGAGTTATGTATTGCCATTCCGTACTGTGACAATTTTGACATATTTTTATATCTATAGAAAATCTAAATTCATATTGACCTTTATTCCAATGACTTAAAAGTATACAACCCACTGACTAAGAGTAAAGCAATTAAAGATATAGGAAACTTCACTGGAATGCTTGCACCCTACAGTACGTGAAACAAAATGACTCCCTTTCCTTTCATTTATAACAGTTTCGAAATACAAAAATACTTAATCTAAAACAAAAAGCACTTCCCGACTAAAATTAACGTCTCCCAAAAATATTTATAAGTCCGATTTTTTTATAATAAAGGGTAAAAGATGCCAGAGTATAAAGCTACCCTCAGTTTGTGAAAATTCTTCAATACAATTTCTCCCCTATTACCTTAGGATAAAGTAGAAAGTTTATCTTTCTTTATGGATATCCCAAGTGACAAATTCTGTAGTAGCTTTTCTACCCATTTAACTTAGGATTAAGTTAAAAATCCAATGTCTTTGATGAAGTAGCTGGACGACCATTGAGTTGTCGCAATTAGTTCAGCCTGGCAAGGCATCATATAAACTACCTAAAACTGTCAAATAGATTTTCAACCTTATTTGTATTGAGTTAGAAATCCATGTTGTTTGCTGAAGTATGTTGATGTGCATTGATTGTAGAGTGGTCAGTTGATTGCCTCACAGGGTTGTCGAAGTCTGAGGAGTGCCAGTCGATGCCGGCGCTGGCGGGAGGCGGGAGTGCGGGCGCGGCGGGCGGAGTGCTCGGCATCATCCCCGAGCACAGCCTGCTCGACTCCTGCACACGACTCTCCATATCTCTCGAAGAAAGCGTCTTTAAAGTACGTTAAATATTTATTCTTTCGTCGTCATCACAAGGCTTAGTGCGAGTTTCTTTTAACGTAATCGGTACGTTGATGACGTACAGCGCTCTGATTGGCCTGCTCCAATAAGCCAACCAATTAGAGTGCTAGACGCGGTAAGATTTCGATCTTGTTAAACGTAAAACAGACTCGTACTAAGCCTTTTAGCTCCTCTAAAGGGGAGGGGCATTTACCAGGGATTTAGTTCTTATATTAAAGAAATATGAGTTAAAGTTGAACTTAAATGAATGCTTTTGTTACTCTGTATTAAATTGTCTAGAATAGTAAGAACTGTTTGAAGGAAAATGTATAGATATCAGTCCACACAAAATACAAAATAATTTTGTATAAATAGAATGAAACAAAATTCGAGATAAGTTAATTTGTATGAAGTATAGGCCTTAGCATGGTATGGCTTTTTAAATACTTGTACCTATAGATCAAACCTTTCCTCTACAAAAGTTCTTTAGGTTTGTATCCGTACTAGTTTCAGCCCGCGGCTTCGCCCGCGTTGCCTAGGTATTAAAAGCCTACGTGTTATTCTAGACCATAATCTATCACTGTTCCAAATTTCATCCCGATCCCTTCAGCCGTTTTGACGTGTTTGAATAACAAACACACACACACACAAACAAACAAATTTTCGCATTCATAATATTAGTAGTTAGGTTAAGGTTATAGTCCGTAATAAGTACAAGGTCTCATTTTTATTTATTTTATCAAGATAAATTGAAGTTGATACAAGGAATATCGTTGCACTATCGCCAGAAATGGGTCAATCAAATTGCCAGCTTGATAATGCAGTAGTTAATCAGTTTACAACTAGCAAGGCGTTCGGAAGTATTACTCTTGTGTAATCAACTAAAATGGAAGATTTCAGAGAGGTAGGTAGGACTATGGTTTAAAATGTTGCAAAAATCTTGTACGTGCTTTATTATGTGCATTTTTATGTATAGCTTGTACTTTAAACGAAAAAAAAAAAAGATTTTTAAAAAGTTCCTTATGCCTTTTGGAGATAAGCTATTATAAATGGAACTTGATTCTTGATGGGATTGACGAAATTCGTGAAAAGTGAATGTAACATTGTGTATTCGCAAATCTGCCTTTCCTTTTGGTGATTACATGGTGTTATGTCACGTTATCTATATATATAAAATTCAAAGGTGATTGACTGACTGACTGACTGACATAGTGATCTATCAACGCACAGCCCAAACCGCTGGACAGATTGGGCTAAAATTTGGCATACAAAATATATAAAATTCAAAGGTGATTGACTGACTGACTGACTGACATAGTGATCTATCAACGCACAGCCCAAACCGCTGGACAGATTGGGCTAAAATTTGGCATACAAATAGATGTTATGACGTAGGCATCCGCTAAGAAAGGATTTTGATAATTTCCACCCCCAAGGGGGTAAAAAAGGGGATGAAAGTTTGTATGAAACTTTGTCAATTTTTAACTGATCGGGTTGAAATTTGGCATGCAGATAGATGTTATGATGTAAGCATCCGCTGTGAAAGGAATTTGATAATTTCCACCCCCAAGGGGGTAAAATAGGGGATGAAAGTTTGTATGAGACTTTGTCGGTTTTCAACCAATCGGGTTGTAATTTGGCATGCAGATAGATGTTATGACGTAAGCATCTGCTGTGAAAGGATTTTGATAATTTCCACCCCCAAGGGGGTAAAATAGGGGATGAAAATTTATATGAGACTTTGTCAGTTTTAAACCGATCGGGTTGAAATTTAGCATGCAAATAGATGTTATGACGTTAGCATCCGCTTTGAAAGGATTTTGATAATTTCCTCCCCCAAGGGGGTAAAATAGGGGATGAAAGTTTGTGTGAGACATTGTCAGTTTTAAACCGATCGGGTTGAAATTTGGCATGCAGATAGATGTTATGATGTAAGCATCCGCTGTGAAAGGAATTTGATAATTTCCACCCCCAAGGGGGTAAAATAGGGGATGAAAGTTTGTATGAGACTTTGTCGGTTTCAACCGATCGGGTTGTAATTTGGCATGCAGATAGATGTTATGACGTAGGCATCCGTTGTGAAAGGATTTTGATAATTTCCACCCCCAAGGGGGTAAAATAGGGGATGAAAGTTTGTATGAGACTTTGTCGGTTTTCAACCAATCGGGTTGAAATTCGGCGTGCCGGTAGATATTATGACGTAAGCATCTTTTAAGAAAGAATTTGATCATTTTCACCCCTGAGGGGGTAAAATAGGGGGTGAAAATTTGTATGAAACTTTGTCAATTTTAAACCGATCAGGTTGAAATTAGGAGTGCCGGTAGATATTATGACGTAAACATCTTTTAAGAAAGGATTTTGATCATTTTCAACCCCAAGGGGGTAAAAAAGGGGATGAAAGTTTGTATGAAACTTTGTCAGTTTTTAACCGATCGGGTTGAAATTTGGCATGCAGATAGATGTTATGACGTAACCATCCACTGTGAAAGGATTTTGATAATTTCCACCCCCAAGGGGGTAAAATAGGGGATGAAAGTTTGTATGAAGCTTTGTCAGTTTTACACCGATGCAGATGAAATTCGGCATGCAGGTAGATGTTATGACGTAGGCATCCCCAAGTAAGGATTTTGATTATTTCCACCACCAATGGGGTAATGTAGGGGATGAACGTTTGTATGAAGCTTTGTCAGTTTTACACCGATGCAGATGAAATTCGGCATGCAGGTAGATGTTATGACGTAGGCATCCCCAAGTAAGGATTTTGATTATTTCCACCACCAATGGGGTAATGTAGGGGATGAACGTTTGTATGAAGCTTTGTCATTCTTACACCGATCGGGTTGAATTTCGGCGTGCAGATGGATATTATGACGTAAACGTCCCTTTAGAAAGGTTTTTGAACATTCTCACCCCAAAGTGGGTAAAATAGGGGGTGAAAGTTTGTATGATACTTTGCCAGTTTTAAATTGATCGGGCTGAAACTTTGCATGTATAAAGTTACTATGACATAGGTATCTCTTTAGAAAGGATTTTGATAAATTCCACACCTAAGGGGATAAAATAGGGAATGAGAGTTTGTATAAATCGTCTTAGCCATTGAATTTAGATTCATTGAATCTTTTTGAATTACATTCGGTGAACGATGATTTGGGACCTAGGTAACGTTTGATAGTTTCTATCACAGATGTCCCACGGGAACGAGAACTATGCGTCAATGCCCCAGGACTCTCTAACTCTTAACCACTGAACTTATTTTAGAGAGATTCGGTACAACAATAGTCGATAGAATAGTTTTTATTACTCAAACCTTCCGTGATCGGGCACTGTACTGGTAAGATCCCTATGGGATTATTTATTTATTGAAACTACGATAAATCATTTCAAAATAGGTAAATCTTACTTGGGCACTGAATTGATTCTGATTAATTCTGTCAGAAGTCATTAATCTACGCGGACGAAGTCGCGGGCAACAGCTAGTATTATAATATAATACTAGAATAAAAACGTCGCAAGTGTATTTTTGGTTTTATATCAAAATCAAACATTTGTATTATAACTTTCGTGAGACATACTAAATTAATTATTATGTTTAATGGCTTACTCTCTCGTTGCCTGACTGCCTCGTTGGCCGAGTGGTCGCAATTGCGACTGCCGAGCAAGGGGTCTCGGGTTCGATTCCCGGGTCGGGCAAAGTATTACTGGGTTTTTAAAAAATTCTCAGTAGTAGCACGGAGTCTGGAACTGTGCCCGGTATATGGCAATAGGCTCACCCCCTATTACATGGGACTCATAACATAAATAGTGAAAAGTGGGTGTTACATTGTACAGTGGTATAATGTTCACCTCTGCCTACCCCTTTGAGGATAAAAGGCGTGATGTTATGTGTATGTGTGTGTAGCTTACTCTCGTAACTGTTTGTTGAGGAGCTCGACTAGTTTCAAGCTTTCAAGGGGCTTATATTCACGAGCAGTATTGCGCGATACACGACGGGGGGATCGTCGCGCAGCTGATATAGTCCCTAGCGTAACTTGTATGTAGTTTAGTTGTACCTCGTCGTTAGAAATAATAATGAAATTGAAAGTTCATTCTTTAATTTTGTATTCCAATCATTTCAGGTATCAGTGAGTTCGTCATCTCAATCATCGCGCAGTAACTCGAGTCCTCACATGACTCTCGAGGAGTTGCGAGCCATCAACAAGTACGCAGAGAGTACTAAAAGCCTCTCCTACCTACCCCAGGTATGTTACCAAACCGTTACGTTACAAAAATGTACCATTTCTATATATTCTGCTAACCCCTTAAATTGATTACTATTTTCAAAATTGACTCTTGATTATTCTTACCTCTATCTATGTGAACTTTATTTACAGAGATCATTTTTGAAAACATCATTTATAAATCTCTCTGCCTGTGTAAAATATGATAAATATAAAATTTCTTGTGATATGAACAAGGTGTTTTAAAAAAATAATTATTAATTGAAAAAATGATCTCTGTAATTTATCTACTTGTCCATATAAATATGTATCAAATTAAACTGATAATAAAATGTAAAGAACCCATAACTTAATGCCATTAAACAAAGTTTGAGTCTGTGACTTTGTGTTGCCAATATAAAAATTTACAAGTTGCCAACGCCAAAATAAATCATATTGTATATGGACGCCATTGTATCATTTAAATTGAAACAGAAACATGTATAAAAAGTATTATTTCAATTCTAGCGCTCACTGAAGGACATGTTTTATAAGACTAAGTGATGGTGAAGAGAATTTTCTCCATATCCACCTGTAGATACTAAGTCTGTTTCCCCTGTTCTGTCTGACTAACGTGGACAACTCGCCAAAAACTAACTACTAAAGTATTCAAAATTGTAGTACAAACGTTTCGTAGGAATTGTATGGAATATTAAATATACAATGTAGCTGTATATAGGTGTTCATCACTCCCCGATTGGCAAAGGTAATTTATACATTTTTAGTTTGAGAATCGTATTCGCCAGTCGTCCACGTTTAATTCTCTTGCATGAATAATGTCTGTTTTCCTGATAACTTAGGACAACTTGTGGCTGATCTGTTAGTTGTTAGATATTTCTTCTTGGTATACATACTATGATGTACTGGTTACACCGTGTGGTAGGGTACTGTTTGGCACAATGTGCTTCCAAAGAGCTCGGTGTGGCAACGCACACACACACAGATGCTTCTAGCGCACTCCATGGTGCGGCGTGGACACCGGGAACGAACACCTTGCAGTTTGATTGTGTCATATTTATTTATTATTATTTCTATACAACTTATTCAAGAACAACGTATTCAATAACATTACAGAATATCTTTCATTGAAATGTAACAATAATAACAGTTTCAATGGTAGTGGTATCCTTGTGGTTCCTATGGGCGAGCTAATGTTCGATTCATTATTTTGACTAACGGTAGAAGTATAGTTACTAATGATGTATTAACATTCGTTCCATGTTATCGTAATTAACCTCAGATTTATAACAAGTTCTTAAGTAAGGAAAGGATGGAAATTAACAATTTGTTGATCGACTTTAATGTATTGTGCTAAACGACTCCGGTTCGCGAATACAACCACCCGCCTCTAGTCGTGACCCCCGCTTACACAACATTTGTTTTTAATAGACTGATCTTAAAAAAAAAATAAATCAGAACTGCTTATTTGGCATATGTTTCTTAGTAAGAAACCTAAAATCAGTTATTCCATCGATTAACATAGTTTACACCTTTGGGCAGTAAAACATTACCTAATAATGGCTGCCTCAATCTGAATTATTTAAATGAATCTTGTCTTTTAGACATGGAATTTAAGTGTCGGATAGATCCTTCAAAAATGTAATGAGTAAAGTAAAGATACACGAGAGGTTACCATCGAGTTAGACAGTGGAGCGGGTAGTGGTAGTAGGGCGGTGTGAGCGCGGGGTCGCGCGTGACGGAGGCTGGACGCTGCGTAGGTGCACGAGCGGCAGCGGGCGCGCATGCGCACTCGCTCGGAGTGGTTCCTGCAGCCCGCCGCCTCGCTGGACGCGGCCCGCGCGCGCGCCGGTACGCAGTCCGCCCCGCCGGGCCCCGCCCCGAGCCCCGACGCGGGCCCCGCCCGCCCGGGCCCCGCGCCTGCGTGTCGCCACGCGCCCTGCGGGGAGGCTCGCTCGGAGAGCACGGCTCTCTACGTGCTTGTCGCCTGCCTAGAATTTTTGTTTTGAACCTCGCGCACCGGTACTGTGAAACTGTGTTCGTTCGCTTCGGTGCGGAGAGGACTAACCTGCCGCGGAGGCTTTGCTCGGGCTCGATGTCACTGTAGCGTCGCTAGTTGTCTGTCGTATGTCACTCGTTGACTGCGGTCTTAATTTTTATAAGATTCGCGACATCAAACTGTTGATGAAATCTAGTCGGTAAATGCTCGTTAAACATGGGAAACGTACACTTGAAGTTTGCTATGTCATTAGAGAAGCTAGAAATGTACGAGACGATGTAGGATAGCTAGCAACGTTCGCTTGGGCGCGGGAGTGGCAGCCTGGCAGCAGCAAAGCCTCCGGCTTGTACTCACAGGGCGATACGAACGCTTTGTGCGGCTTACGCTTTGGGCGCATCGCATGTGTCACCGCACTGATGTCGTACATGTCGCACGCATCACTGCATCGCATGATCTTCTCTATGTGTTCTGTACCCTTCTTGTTGTCTCTTCGTACACATCATACAGATATTTATGGTTACATTAACGTTACGTCTAGACAAGATGTAGATACCGCTTCTTTTGTACATAGTGTTGTATTGTATTCCATTTATCTTTTATATAATATATATATATTATATACAATTTATAAATAGTCGTGCTGTTATGGAGAACCTTGATGTTTAAAACAGTAGTAACAATAAAAGACGAATATAAATGGTTGACGCAGCTTTGCCAGCACATAGTGTATCATCGAGACTCATAAAGCGCATGTGTATGTTCGTTGTGACGTGCACTGGCTTGGACACCATCACGAACCATACAAATGTACTCGATTGCCACCGAGAACAATGCCAAGTTTATTACACGTTCATTGTACCTATACCATGTATTGAATGCAGTACTGTGTTATATTTATGTTGTGATGTGCTAAGATCATTCTGATTACTTGTCAACGCTTCTTACCCATACAATGAGAGAGCAACGTCTATTTATTAGTATTATTATATTTAAACCTGGGGGTATTTAATGGTTTCTTACTATATTAGTATTTGAGTAGTTTTGTAAAAATTGGTTGGAAATAAGTCTTTGCTTTCTATTGAATATGTTTTCAAATTTTGCTACTTATATAATATTTGGATGAGCAATTCTTTTTTCATAACTTGTAAGTTTGTATATGGCAAAATTTGAAAACATTTTACCTAACTGTTTTTATTCATTTGCTATTTGTATTAGAAAGTTTAATATTATAGAGACACATGCGTGCTTTCGTTGTCTATGAAACGTATACAAAGTGTAGCAGAATACAACGCAAGGACCCTGCTGATGGTGACTGGATCATGAGATTGAACAAATTTCGTTCAGAGGCCTTAGTATGAATTTCATTTACGTTTAAAGTATTCGAAACGAGTATGCGTTCGGCACTCTGATTGGCGGGTGCCAATGAACCAACCAATCAGAGCGCCGAACGCGTACTCGTTACGATTACTTTAAACGTAAAACAAACTCGTACTAAGGCCTCTGCACTCTTGGAAATTCAAGAAAAGTATGGATATTCCATGCATATTGTCACAATTTGTGAAATTTTAATTGTTTTGAATTTCAAAGATGAGTAAAAGTTGTTTGATACCGTGGTCCGAGACTTGCAAGGTCTGCGTGTATTGTGCTAGACCGCGTAGCGTGGGCGCGGAGCACGCGCGGAGTGTAGTACAGTGAGCGCGCGTGTGCAGGTGGCGGCGAGCGGCGCAGCTCGCGGCGCCGGTCTCGGCGCTCGCGCGTGTCGTGCCGCGCGCTCACACACTCCGACACTGAAATCCCGCTCACTCTCCAGCCTCGTCAAGTGACCGCCTGACTCAAGCCCTGGACCGAACGCGACACTTTACTCATTTGATGTTCTCTCGAAAAACTTTAACTGAAACTAAAACTCTCATTATCTTTAAAATTAATTCTGACATTTCGGTTCTAAAAACCAAAATCTGATGATTGATGACGATTATACATTATTTGAGATCTTGGAGGATAATGATTTGTTTACGAAAAGTTAAAGTTTTTCAAAGAAACTCTACGAATAAACACCTTGTCAAATCTAATGTCAACTACAAGTCGCGATTGTTCGTTTGATCTTTTTGTCCGGCAAAGTTTTTAGACAAGATAGGGTTGAAGAAGATGAAGTCAGTTTTGTGCGAAAAGGACTTAATGAATCAATCAAGTTCGTTGACATTAGATTTAACAAACGATGCATTTGGTCCTGTGTATTTTAAAATATCTGAAACATTATATCAAGTCTTTGAAACATAGTAAGGATACGATATTTGAAATATGTGTGTGGGGAGTAACAAAATGTAAGTTCTAATGTCAACGGGTAGATATTTTTATAAAAACTCCTGATGATTGATATTAGATACTGTGCTTGTGTTTCTTGAAACGATGTGAAGAGAAATACACAAAGTGAGTAATCCATTTACTTGTTACTCCATGTACGAGTGTTTTATCCATACAACACGTGCTGATACTGATACAGATGTACCTAAGTCAGACATGTTTGATCCAATAACTCTTTGAAAACGTGTCACTGCCAACCCAAGATGGCAATTATGTAATACGGACGTACATCAGAAACCGTAAGGAATTGTTATAAAAATATTAAGACTAGAGGTACCCAGTAGTTAGAAGAGTTGTCAGTCAGTATTATCTGAGGCCGCCACCTCTAGCTAGGGTAGTACGGCGCGCGACCGAGCCCCGGCGCGATACTTTTTTCTAATAAATAAATTCGTGGAGTCATGTGGGTGTTGTGCTGATTTACTAAATAAATATATGTGATAGAACGTAGTTTGTGCGATTACGAAGTTTGTACATTTTTATAGCTGATGTTGTACGCTTTAGGCCATCATTTGTCATTTGTATGTCGTTAACGAAATTCATTGTAATGTCACGTCATTTTTCGAATTCTATATTCGATTGAATTAAATGTCAACCTAAAATTATTATGCTCTCTATTTTATAAAGTGTTATTGATGTTCGTGGCTAAAATTTATTATACGAATATTCATGGAGTTTAACGTGGAAATTGTTCACTATCTAAATTATAAAACTACGTTCGTGGTGAAACATCACACATTACATTGTACACTGATCAAATGTTTATACGAGACGTGATTATAGAAACATCTTTCCTGTGCCATTTAAAATGTACCTTCAGAAAACTTTATTGTATTGACGAAATGATCATAGTAGTGGCGTAACTACAGGGTTGCAAGTCGGCAACGTGACTGGCCCCCCAGCTGCAAGGAGTTTTTATCTGAACTTCTCTGTTTTTCATTGGGTGTTCCCAATGGCCCATGCGATGAATTTTCCACGGCCCCCGAAGGATATAGTTACGCCACTGGATCACAGCTTAGAATTTGGAGGCAAAAGAGTGTTGGCAATGTCAAATTAATATTACTAAACATTCCTGACTATAAATAGTAGCTAGTATAATTCTTATTTACCTAAATTAAAACTTCAGTTAAAATTTCACGATACTAATGTTAACAAACTACATTATTTACTTTCAATTTGCATTTCTTTCTACCTCAGTTACATTTAAATACTTCAGTATAACGATTGCGCGATATAGATAGTAAATACTGCATCCCAGACATGCCAAAATTATGATTGGCTCTATGAAAACTGAATACAGGTGTCTGCCAAATTTGAGCCAGATAGAAAAGACTGAGCTATGTATAGAAATTTATCTTTCCTAACGAACAAATACAATTGGAAACTACACAAAGATAGTTGTCATACAGTCACCTTCACACATTGCAATTATAATGTTGTCTATTATTGAATAGTACAAAATGACATATTATACAGTTGTCGAATTTTTGAATAATGGTTGTTTTGTAACTCTCTGTAAATATCTACAATTGGATCTTAATAAATTAACATAGGTGCTAGTTTGTTCAGATATGTCTTATGAGAAAATTCATTTAGTTATATACTTATGTTGACATTTAAATATATTATTATATAATTATCTCCCTTACATCATAATTATTTTCACATTAATTATAGGTCACTATTAAAATGTAATGTTATAATTTTATAAGACTCGCAATGGATCAAATGTTTTTGTTAAAAATTATTGTATATACTTGTGTCATTGTATGCACATGATTCGCACATTATTTTTATAAAATGTACCTTTTATTTGTAAGATTGTATTTAAGACTGTTTTAGGTTAAATGGTTTCAATGCAGGTCGAAAGCAGTTTTCGTTATGTTATGTAATTGATATATAATCGTACACAAGTGTCCGGGTTTAGTGCCTGTTTGCTACTGTAGATGTTTGTGTATCGAAGGCAGCTCAAAGTAATTTTATATTCGTTGTGTAATTACGTATTAATAAGTATTAGCACTCGGCTAGTGGCAACATCGCTGCTACATCACGGCCATATTAAGAAGTACTTTTTGTTGTTCGTTTTCTTTTGTCATCTTTACATTTTGATACCTTAATGAGGTATTTTGTGTCAACGATAGTATTCCCTATTATTGGCATGGTTTGCCGACATCCCATGCTGTATACGAACATGTTACTGGTTTTTAAATGATAGAGCAATGGCGGCCACTATCGTCTAGTGGTACCGTAGTTGCCAAATAGTAAACAGAAGCTATATATTATAACCCGGCTTGCATTTTTGGATTTGCACGTCCAAGTTCCTGTGTTCATTGGTTAGCGTTAGGAGAATAAACGAATGTCGTAGTTTAATGTGTAGACTTTGAGATCAAGAGACTTGTTGTTGTTGCAATCACAACACAGATGGCGGTGCCGTCAAACGGGACCTGCCCCCTTGTGATAGCAATAACGACAAACGAAATTTTTGTAAATTATATACGTTAGCTTATATTTTTTCGTCTTCATTCAAGTGCGTCCTATATTGTTTATATAAATTAACATTTTTTTAAAGTTAGAACATTAAAATTTTACTAGTAACATTTTTGTATTGTACATTAATATAAGTTGCTCTAAAGTTTAGATAGTATATTATTTTTGACTTTATAAGACTGTTTATATGTTATAATTTATTACTAACCCTCGAATACATTGTCTTATCATTCCACCGACTTAATATAACGACACCAGTTGCATTTGAGTATTATTTTTCTGTCATTAATTTATAACAGATCTCGGAGCTTTAACAAAATTATTAAAGTGTTACTAGCGATTTATAAATTTATAAGTGATTAATATTATTTTATTAGGAAATACAATTTTCTTGTGAGCGCGTGCAATGCTGGCCTATGCCTATAGGCTACGCTAACATATTATTGTTATGTTCGAGTGTAATTACGGGAATAAATTTAATTCCTTTAGTATTATTGTATTACGGTATTTGCTTATGTAAATTCAGTTTGTATTTTCACATTATATTTGCACATTTTTTCTACACAAATTATAAAGAATTACACATGAATAAAAATATAACAATTTACTATTGTCTTTTATTTCTGATGGTTTTTTTAATGAAACAAAAAATAAGTCAATTGAGTTTGGTTTATTGTAAAAAAGTATATAAAATATAATATATGTATTTGAGTTTATCACATTGGTATATAAGAATTCGATTATATAAAGGCAATATAATTATATTTACAAGGCATCTTTTACTTTTTCTCCCTTAACATAAACTTGTACGATATTTCTATCGTCACCTACGTATATGAACTTCTGTAGCAAGTCCAGAGCATATTCCTTGGGGGTACTTTGTAAAGTTCCTTCGTACTTGTCGATTTGTCCATCCTTTGTGTATACGTCTACCAGCAAGGCGTCAAAATCTTTGCCGACATCAAAGTTGCCGATCTTATGGTCCAAGTTCAAAGCTGTGGAAAAAACAAGTATTAAGTACTACCGATGTCAAAATAAATTCTGTTCAGTAATTTTTTAAGTTTACCATAGTGGAGTCTTCTCCACAGGGTGTACCTACGTCACCAGTGCCTGTGGTGTGGGCATGACGAACTCGAAACGACTGAACCCTCACGGTTCACTTGCTTTATCCACCTAAACTAGTGGACCAGCTACTTCATAGGGAGGATATTTAAGAAGTGACAGTCCCTACCACCCGTCTACCTTGGACCCTTTAATGCTAGAGCATCAGCCGACCAGAGCTACCACCTGATGCAAAGGCCATGTCATTATAATATCTACAATTCTGTATGAGTATTCATGATATTATAGTGGACTTGCTTCTGCTAATGGCTATGCCCGCGTTCTCGTGGAATAAAAAGTACCTAGTTTATGTGTTATTCCAGATAATAATCTACCGTTCGAAATTTAATGCCGGTCCCTTCCTTAGTTCTGACATGATTGAGTAACAAACAAATTAACAAACTTTCACATGTATAATACTTATTAGTAGTTAAGTAAGATAAATTATAATAGTGGTACCTTTAGCCCCTCCCAATGTAGCAAGATAGAAAGCTTCTTTCCAGTCGAGGGCATATTTGTCGTTGCCTCTCATCTCCAAACAAGCTGAGATGTCCATAGTCCTGCGTATAGCATCCAGGATCGATGCGTTGTCCCCGCCAGACACATCTGACAATACGGTAATTAATTAAATACTATTGTAGTCAATTCAAGGCTTTTATGGAAATGTCAACAACGATACTTTTTTAAGCATTTTGTATGAGATACAGACTTGTGACGTCATTATATTTTAGAGTAAATACTTTAAAACAAAAAAAAGGATATACAAATCAATGACTGAAATAGTTATGTTTGATAATTTTATTGTATTGAAATAATGTAGTTTTGACTGAGAAAAATATTCATTTCACTTGTGAGTTTCCAGAGTATATTTTGGGTGTTTCAGCTGCTTTTACAGTTGTTTAGAAAGAGTGGAAGGTTGGTGGACTGTTACAACTAGTCTACCAATCTTTGTGCGACTACTGAGCAAAAACTGTGTTAGATTCCCTAACAAGGTTCTATAGAGATATTATAGGATTGACGTTGAATTTTACAAGTGGTAGATAGATTCCTAGGGCTAGCAAAGTTCTAAAGAGGTTTACTAATTTTATTTAGCAAGCAAGTCGAGTCAAGTTAGCAAGTCGTTTACTAATTTTATTTTATGTTTATGTTAACGAAGGAATAAGTTATAAAAGATGTAGTCGTAGTGTAGTAGAAACTAGCCTCGTAACTAGTTTATCGTGTGGCGACTTATACCTAGCAGTGGGTAAACAGCTGTGGGCTGAAATGATGATGATGATGATTTTAATCTACCTGTTCCCAAACCAACAGTGATGTTAGCATTGATAATTTTCCTAACAGGACAAAGGCCGGACTTCAACCGTGTGTTAGAGGCCGGACAGTGAGCCACGGACACTCCCTTCCGGGACAGCAGAGTCAGTTCACCTTCCGTCAAATGTACTGCATGGGCCATGATACACTGGAACACAAACAAAATATTAAAAGAAGATAGAAAGGTAAGTTGTTAAAGAACCAATTATACTAGACCCCAATGAATTTTTAAGTGGTAGGCAGAGGTGATTTTTCACAAGTCATTACATTCAACAGAACCGGACTTTCTAAGAATTGTAAAAAAAGTCCCAAAAAGCGAAATAACACGAACCTCAATCCCTTTCCTCGGGAATCATAATCTATTATACCTGTCTGTACTAAATTTCATCTAAATCTATCCAGTAGATTTTGCGTCAAAGTGTTCCAAACATACATTCATAACAACCTTTCGGATTTATAATATTAAAGTCAAAGTCAAAGCATTTATTTCAATTAAACCATCATTTGGTACTTTTGAAACGTCAACAAATACAAAATAAATAATAGTCTGTCAGTCAGTCCGTCAGTGACGCTAGGTGAGAAGGGAGCTAGCTAGAGAAGAACGAGCAAGAAACTCCATTAGTAGGATTTGCTATGAATATTATTCAGGAGCATTAGTACTGCTTACCTTGTTGGTCAGAATTCCGCTTTCGTCATACACATGACCATAGCTCTTGCATTTCGGATTAGTTTCCAATACATAGTCTATTTCTGAAGTGTTTTCTGATATGTGGCTCTGTAATAAAGAACAATTACTTAATAAGATACTATTTCTTTGTTGTCTGTTTGTGAATTCGAAAACTGAATAAAATGTTAGCTTTTAATCAAAATGTTGACATTAAATAATCTCGAAAGATTTTAAGCAGTAGCATTTTAGGAGAACTTTGGAATACATCAGAGAATGATCTAGATCCAGACTTCGCAACAGACATTGCCAATCTCCAATTATCAAATTCCTAATTCCCAAAATGCCAGCTATGCAGTTGGTAACTTCTCTAGTGTTGCCTTTGGGCGGCGCCGATTGCTTACCATCATGCCATCTATCTGCTTGTTTGTCATTCCTATCAAAACAGACTTCAAGAATTATAATTATTTAGGTATACCTGTATTCTGCAGTCATATTTCTTAGCAATGTCGCCCAGACCATCCATAAGTTCTTTATCACAGCTCACTGCAAATCTTGGAGTCACTACAGGTTCCACCAGCTCATTCTGTAATTTAGACAAAGTAGGTACTATTTTGAGTTTTCGAGAGACACATAGACTAAAGACTAATTTAAAAAATAACAATTTAATAAAATATAAAAAATAATAAAATTATCGCTATTCTTTACCAGTAATAGGTTTCACAGAAAAACAATAGTCTATTTCCATATTAACTTATAAACATTGAAGGGTCAAAATTACAAACCTGATAAGATATGACATGTTTGATAAATGTTTCAACTTCTTCTAATTCTTTTTTAGTTTCATTATAATATCCAGCAAAATTCTCTTTGTTCATGCTCACTTTCCCGATGAGTGCCCTCTGGTGGTGTTTAATGGCACTTTTTACAAGTTCTAATGTCCCTTCTACATGTAAGGACCCAAAGTAGCAAGCTGTTGTTGTCCCATTTTTGATTAGTCTTTTCTGAAACACAGCCCAGTTTAATTTGGATATCGAAATAGTTACTAGATATAACAAATTAAATAGTAAATACGATACCAAAGGAGCAATGAAGCCCTAAAATCCCTTTAACTAAAAAAAATTAAGAAATAAACATGTTTTTTAATGTACTAAATATTTGAAAGCATATTATTGTTTGAGTGGAATTTCTTTTAATCTTTTAATTTTCTGACAGTTTACTGCTCCAATGCTCCTATGGATAAGCTGCTACTAAACAATACATCATTTAAATTGACATAATGCACTCAATTAAGTATTAATTATGCATAATAACAACTGCTTTGAATGTTACAATATTATAAATCAGTATTACTACTCAAGTATGACGCAATATCTTTATCAATATACTCACAACGACTTGGTCATAGACCTTAGCAGCAAACTCTGTGTCACTGTATTTTTTTTCCAAATGGAAAGTGTATTTTGCCAGCCATTCCAGCAGTGGACGATCTAATCCCAATCCGATGTTAGGGAACTGAGGGGCATGTGTATGGCAGTCAACAAACCCAGGTACGATAAACTGATCCGGACTCAACTTTACTATTTCAAAATTTGAAAATTCACCAGATTTTTCAAGTCGATCAAACTCTTCCGCAGAACCTTTTTTTGTAATCTAAAAAAAAATTAAGTAACAATTTATTCAATGAAACATTTATTATTTATTATAAAAGAGATTTAGTTAGATAATATTATCATTACCTTTCCATCTTGAACAGCGATGTAACCGGAGTTTATAACAAGATCGTTCAAAGAACTTGAGCTGGCGATTATTCCAGTGAACACGATATTTTTATTATCCTGCATTTTTTTACACGTGCTATATAACTGTCCGGTCGATAAACTGGTATGTTACGTAATTATATACTACTTCATTTAATGTTAAAAAATAGTTTCAAAGTTAGTGATAATAACATCTTATCAATATTATACTAACACAACAAGTGAACTTAAAGTTGAAATTAGATAGGTACAATGGCCAGCAGATCTACACTCCAATCTGCCAAATTTATATATTGGATTTTCGACTTTATAGTAATGCGATAAAGTTGAAGATTTAATATAGACATTTGACAGAAAAGGATAGATTGACCTGCTGGCCACCGTACTTATCTACTTATCTATCTGTCAGAAGTGTCAGATCTGAATAACTTTTTAATATTTGAACTACTGTCTTATAAGTAGTAACTTGTTCTTGAGTTCAACAATTTCATTACAATTTTGCTAGTAAAGATTCAATTACTTTTTAAATAAAAACGAAAGTAACAATTATTACACTTATTTATTGTTTAGAAGTTTCAACGAATTAACTGACAAAATAGTTATTTTTTAGGTTTTGTAAGTACCTTTAACTATATTTTGTTAATTGATATTTCAGTCATTTTTATTGTCTCGTGGTTGTGATTCTGTACATAATTTGGTGCCAAGAAGAGCGGGCGAATGTGACTCCCTCACGCCAATGTACGAATTGCCCTGAGCGTGCATTTTGTATCCATAACACTGAGTTCGAACTAGTGGCGCGCACCATTTCTTCTTCGAGTCGATTGTTCATTTTTCTTGATTCATCTAAAGCCTGTATAGGATCAAGTAAGTATTTTTAATCAACTTTCTAAGATTATCTACTTGTCTTACGAAGTATTTTGTGTTTGTGTTGTGTTAGGTAACTCCTAATATCATATTATTTGTATCCAATAAGGCAAGTTTCAATTGAACCTTATCGCAAAGGTACTCAATCTTATACAAGTTAGATACCTACATTAAAATAATTGGTAGCAATTTTATTGATCCCCCGGCTCAACCATTGAGAGCCTATGTAAATAGATACACAGGACAAGTTTAGTGTAAGTATATCATGATTTGAAAACGTACTTGATTGAATAAAGTATTTGCAACAATATTCCGGCCAGACAACATTGATGAGTTTGCTTTTAAAAGGCTCCAGCGAGGAAATGCAGCACGGAGTAAGCGAGCATCATTTTCCAATCGAGCTAATTCTCTGTCGGCTACCGAACGTAACTCCATTAGATCCACAACCTAGGGAAAGCAATCATTATTATTATCAAAAGACCGTGGTAGTCTACTGCAGGACCATGAACCAACAATTTCTACGAGGGACACACGTGTAGCAGGTTCGATTCCTGCACGGAGAAAATCTATGTGTGATCCACAAATAGCTGTTTTTGATCTGAGAGGTCATGTGTATAAGAAATTGTCGTATAAAAATGTGTATAAAAAATACTAGTGTCCCCACACTAGTATTTTTTCCGTTAAAAAAAGAAACATTCCAAATGTGCCCCGAATTTTTGTGTGCTCAACACTAGCGTAGTCTAAGACGGCCCTGTTTATCACAGAGCGATCTGGTCCTAGTAGAAATGGTGACCCGAAAATCCAAGTAGAATTAGATGAAAGACGGAAGAAAATTATGTCCCTACATACCTAATAGTTTTCGGATATTTAGATATCCCAATGAAGTCGGTTAGTAATGAGCAAGAAAACTTGAATAAAGAAATTACCTTTCTTAAATCGTCCATCTTTCTAGCTAAACTCTCGAGCATTCCTTCTGCGAGTCTCATTGCACTTAACAGATTCACCATTGAACTATCGTCTTCATGAGACGCCCAGCTGAGTGCTTCATTCTCGAAACGTTTTGCTTTTCTCTCTGAATCTGCCCTCAGCCAATAAGTCCAAAGCCCTACCACCAATCGGCGGCGGCTAGGTCCCGCTGATTTACCCCTACAGATTGAATATTCAGCAAATCGGCTTATATTTTGAGGTGACTCGAGTTGAAATCCTGCATCCAGTATCAAATCCATGCACAGCGCATGATACCAATTTTCACTTTCATAGGACATGTGATCTTGTCCTGTGCGTAAAGCAAATTGCAATATATCGATGGCTTCTTCTATACGTCGACGAGTCAGCAAAATGTAAAATAAATCTGGAATCAGTTCTAACGAAATATCTTCAGCTTGTAGGAAACGACTAACAGCTAGCGCACGAAAACCTGATCGTATAGTTGGCGCCAGTTGACCTCTGGCCATTCGAGCTCGGAAGGTTATCATAAATAATTTACCAACAGCAAAGAGTTCATCAGCTTGAATTGGGCGTGGAAGGGCTTTTAAAGAGTTGGCTGCCATTTGTTCTATTTCTGCTGTAGCTTCCGGCGCGCCGCGGTCCATTTCTACTTGGATTGCATTACAATATGTCTCACACACATTTACTACAGAACATTCTACAGTCTGGACTATATTCAAAGCACGTAGTGCTGTCATCCTTGCTACCCTTTCATCGCCAAGCAACGAATATAATAAGGTTGCTGTGTTTAAACATTGCACAGAATCTGCTTTCAATATTGTTTTATGTAAGCGGTGTTTTTGGTTGCGGAACTTAAAGGCCTTTGCTATATTTTTCAACTTTAAATATTCAGGAACTTTGTGTAAATTTATGTTATAAATCTGTGTAGCTTGTTCTGTTTCCATCTTAGACGCAGCAAGTTTTCCTAGTGATAGGCAAGCGGCTGCTCGTATTGTATGTATTTGTCCGTAGAAACGTTTTTTTTCAAATGCATCCAAGTTTTGAAGTGATTGACAAAGATTTTCGGCATCATCAAGTTTTTCAAATACATTTTCAATGTTGTTACTTAGAACACTCAAATGACTGTACTTAATTAGAAATTCAACAGCTTTTGATTTCAAATCTGCACATTCTGCATGGTGTACGATTTGTTCACAAATACTTATATTTAATTCAGTACAAGTACACTTAACGAAATTGATTTCAGATACACCTTTTTCTATTTTTACGCTAAATGTGTTACCGTTTTTTTTCTTTTCAATTTCGTCTAAATTCTCTTGACTATCGACTATGCCGAGGTTCTGCCAATCACTTGGATCATTTGCTTCGGTGACCTCACGAAGCATGTCAAAAATCTTATCATTTTCAAATTCTTCGGAATCGCTTAATACTGGTTCAGAAACATATGTCATCGTTACTTTTTTAGCAATTTTTTCGTTTTTTGGTGCAGAATTTTCCTGAATTGTACTACTTTTTACTTTTAAAATAGGTGCTACTATGGAATTGGCTCTGTCATAGCGTGAACCATCTGTCGATGTCTTTGTTGCTGATATTTCGCTAGATCTCCTAATTGGTTTAAAATTTTCTTTTGAGATTGTTGCGGTTTCTGATTTTGTTCTAGTCAAACTGTTTGAAGTTTGTGAATTTGAAGATGAAGATTCACTTTCATCACTATCTTGTGAATCTTCTAAGCTTTTGTCAAACTGACTTGACATGGTATCCACTGATGAGTATCTGTTTCTAGATGGTTCATTATTTAAACTTAGCATTGATTGAACGACCATAACTGTTCCACCACAACTGGTACATTTTTGTTTATTATTTTCAAGGTAATTAACAATCCTCGTATGAAATTCTTTTTTTTGATTCATCGGCAATAATTCGTAACATGTTTTTCTTGAGTTTTTACTTCTGAATCGCATTAATTTGCAAAAAGCATATTTCGGTAGATTTTCATCATTTTCTGCATCATATTCAAAATAGCAATCACAAAGCAGATTCGGGTTGGAATTGGAAACACCTGAAAGTATAGTCAATGTCGATGTACCCCTACGACCAAATTTATTTATACAGTCTGTGTTAGCGCACGACAGTATTCTCAAACAAAATAGTCTTTTTACCGCCTTTGCGGTTATCAACGGATTGTTTTCATACATTATATTTTCCAACAAATCCCTTGGAATTACATCACCAATCACTGATGCGATTTTCAACAGTAATTGTTGATACGGAGTCAGGGAGTCAATCTGGACCATTATCAATGTATCCAAATTATGAACATTTATGTTTGTATTTAGTTCTTCTTTATTGATAACTACACATATACCTAGATCTCCTTTGAAATCATTTTCTATTAGTTTATCGAGAACGTCTTGATTGTTACCATCCAATGCTTGTGGGTGCAGCAGTGCAGGTTCTGGAAACTGTAATTCTTCTTCTTCTTCCCATTCTTCCATTTCAGTGTCTGCTATTCTTTTTATTTCAAGTGCTCCCGATGAAAATAAATGTATTATGAAACTCTCAACAAGACCCGGCATACCTTTACATTTACTTCGCAAAGCATCACATAAATCATTAGAAACACCATCTACGTCTAATATTTGACATGCCAAAGCAGGAATCCACTCGGGATCTAAAGGTCCTAAAGCCATTTTTCTGATGTTATCATTTATAAACACGCTATACAGCCAACTGTGGACAGCGCTAAACTTACCGCGCGTTACAGATAACACAATAATTATTTTCATTGACTTGAACATCATTGATATAAATTCCCATGATAATGAATCCAAGTTTTGCAAATCATCTAGAAATATGATTATGGTGTCTGGTAAAGCTTTTATTAATTTTTCAAACATAGTTTTTGCTTTTTCTTTACGTTTAACTTCATCTAATGAATGGATTCTTTCGTGATAAGCAAATCTCACTTTTATAATATTATTTAAATAACATAAGTCGTCAGAGTAGACTTTTAATAATTGAATTATTTTTTCTTCTTTGGCAAAACCTTCTACAGGTTCTTTAAGTTCAAGCATTTGATTCGTTATTTGGCTTAATGCTAAATATGCCGTAGCTGAATGTATTGAAGTTAGGCTTAGATAACATACTTGGTATCCCTGATTTCTCGCAAAACGTGCCATCCATTCTAACATTCTGCTCTTTCCGATTCGTGATTCTCCAATTATTAAAAGAGCATCAAAGTCCCTGTAAGGTGATTTACAGTCATCTAGCCAAGCTTCAAAATAGTCAAGTTCATCACTACGGTTGAGAAGTGGAGGAATCATTGGTATATCATATAACTCTTTAACTCTTATCTCTTCACTGTACTCGTATATTTTCCCTGGTTTATTGATACCTTTTAATTCTATTGCCGGTTGAAGTGTAAAGCTATTTGTAGACATTTTACTTTTTACAAATGTCATTTCGTCGCAGGAGATTTTGTTTCGAAATCCACACATTAGTCTTGCGGCCTTATTAACGATAGCACCAATAACGGTAAATTCTCTTCGTAGAGGATGTCCTACAACACCACAGTATACTTGTCCAGTTGTTATGCCAATTGATACTTCGAGGACTCCATCGAGTGCAGCTACGGATTTTTTTATACTGTACGCACATTTTAATGCAGCCTGTGCTTCAGACTCGTGTTTGAAACCCCGTAATCCGAATACAACTAATATCATTACGTCTTTATCAAAAAGAATAATTTTGTTAACACAGCCCATCGATTTGTATACAATTTCGCAAGTGATTTGATAAGAATTGTTGACAATTGTTATCAGTTGTGAAAATGAGCAATCTCTGGGTTTTAGCGTCACAAATAAAATAGAGACTTGTCTCATTTCAGTCAAGTATTCAAGCGGTTGGTGAGCATCGATCTGAGTGAGGACCGGCCTAATCATAAATTTGCGAATCTCCGATCCAATGTTTTTTTCTTCGGCTACTAGGATAGCTTTGCGTAAACTTAAAGCTTCAGTTTTTCGTAAAGCATCGGTAGCGTTTGTACTTTTAGATGAGTCTAATATAAAATCTGGAAGACTTTCGATTGCACTGAATGGCTTTTTACTTTGTCTTATTAAATTTCCAAAGCCTGCAAACGGTTTCGTCACATTACTGTCATGGGGATCATACAGTATGGATTTTATCGTTACGAATCCGTTTTCATTTATTACATGGTCGTAGTTCCTAGAGTAACAGTGTCCCCAAGCTGTGGGAGTAAGTTTTACTTCTCCAGAAGCACAAACACTTTCAGCAGCTTTAGCTTCGATCACGGGTAAGCCAAATATAATATAACTCATATCTATTCCTGTACCAATGGGTGCAAATATGATATTACCGGCTGATATCGCCAGTTTGACTTTTAAGTTAACTTTCACGTCAGTTTCATAAATAGCATAGGAGTGTTGTATAATTAGAGCACAGGCTATTACTGTATGAATGGTGTGAGATAAAAATGATCGTTTGTCAGTTTTCCAGAGCGCTAGAAATGCATCACCCGCGAACTTTATGATGTCGCCGCCGTGGCCGTAGATGAGCTCTATGAGAGAGCCTAGGTATGTGTTAAGGGTAGCAGTTAATCTGTAAGTGCCACCTTTACCAGTATTATTATATCGTTCTGATAGAGCTGTGTAACCCGAAACATCAGCCATGAGGAGCACGCCAACAAATCGTTTTGTATCCACAGTGGCGAACCTGAAAATATATGAAACATTTTTTGAAAATGTAATAAGTTCAAATACCTACCTGTATTCAGAATTATCTGCTTAATGACTAGTATCTCCTAATACATATGCTACGTTATTTTTTAAGTCAATGTTACATTTTTTAAATTAGGTTATAAACTTTACTTGTCCATCAACAGAATTTCATCTGGAACCAACGTTGACAGTATTAGTGTTTGTTTCTTCGTCAGCTGTATTTCGATATCTTGTTCTATTTCGTCTGCATCACTCTTCCTCTCAAATAGTTCCTCTACCCAGTTCTTAACTTCCTTGTGATGTGCTGGTTCATATTCATCTACATCGTCATCAAACATTTCGTGACCACGACGAGACATCCTTCGGCTGTAGTTACGCCATCTTTCCGTGCTCACCATGACGCTTGCAGAGTTCCGTCTGGCCCGTGGCTTGTTTTTGAGGAAATTCATTTTTGTGGTTTTTTTATTGTTGCGGGCACGTGAATTTTGGATGGATGTCCGGATAATGTAGTTGTCACTTAATACTTAATATACTGTCATCAGTAATCTAGTCGGTTGTGCTGAAGATCCTTGCTTTATTCGAATGTACTTACTCTTCAAGAGAAAACATTCAATATTACACGCAGTACGACACATCAACACTTTGAACTTTTTGACAATACATTATGTCATCGATATTTAGTAATCAAATTGAAGTTACTGCCTATAAGTGAAACTTTTTGGTATAAACTTTTAAATTGTGTAAAAAATCATATTATATTTTAATTTATAAATGGTTTGTGGTAAAAGTTTATTTTCATTCTCGTTGTTCATTAATTAATGTTTACAAACCACTCCGTCAATTAAAACCTGTCTGGAGTGATAATGAAGCGATTCACAGTGAGTATTCCTCAATCGGTGGGGAACTATCACTTAATTGCCGTTATTTATTATTTCAATGCCTTTGACCTGTTGACATAATTTCTTAGACGGTGTAAACAATTAAAAAGGCTTGTAATGATCAAGATCTCTTATAAAAATATCACATACGAATATGACCTTTGTTTAATTTACGATCCTTGCAATGGTTTGTTATATTGCATTGTGGCCATTGGCGGCTCAGTCTGTCACTCACTATTGGGCTGCGCACACGCATTGAGTCGTTCCTTGCGCACACGATGGAGGCAAACGGTACATCGTTTTTGGACAAAGTGCTCAATATAGTTAAAGAGGACCGGTCTGAAAGTGTGCCACTCATACAGTTCAAACATCCGAAGGATTTGGAGGTACTTGTGAATTTTGTTTAACTCTACCTACCTGTAGATACATAGCATAGGTAGGTACATTAGCTACCTACCTTCCAATGTTATGATTGTTGGGTCCTTTGAATGAGGTTGCATGTCTATTAATAGTCGTATCATGTTCATGAATTACCTAATCAGGTACCTTTATTATTGACCTTTGTGTCCACTCGTTTACAAGAAACTTAATGTATTTAAATTGTAATGTTTCAAAACATATTCGGAAATTAAAAAATTCTACTGAAAACAATTTGAATATTGGCAAAGATTGTTTAATATTAGAAATAATTATAAAAAATAGTGATAGAAATAATAAACAAATACGTCAATGCCCCAAACTAGGATTTTCTTCTGTGTCGTGGGTGCGTTTACAAACATACAAGTTGACACACACATGGTACCTACCCATGTTGTATGTTACAACATATTTCTATTCTATTCACATATTATATCTATAATAAAAGGCTTTCAATTGAAATGCGGTAGTACAAAGATATTGATACTGCCTAGCAAGCAACCTTCTCAAGTTTATTGCTATTTAGAAGTTACAATAAAGCGAAAATTCCTTTCAATTAACCACTTCAACGCTACACAGACGCGCAATGTATTACGGCTTTAATTTCCACACGAAGCACATAAATCTGCAGATTAATTTAATATTTAAAGGTATGCAAAACACATGTAGTGCAATTTTTGTTTTACGGTATACTCTCGAAACAGCTTGACGCGGTAATTCGACTAATTTCAAGCCACGCTGGGGCTCATATTCATGAACAGCATTGCACGACTCTCATCGCGTCGTGTGTATTATTTGATATTATGTCTTACGAAAGCTATAACCATAAAAAAAAGATTTTGTAAACGCAACCAACACAAGAGAACGTACTATAGAGACTTGGGTCTCTGATAACTTGTGTCAATTGGGAATAATGTTTTAGTGGTGAGCTCACTTGAATTCTTGCTAGTTAATATTGTAGGTGGAAGTGCATGATTAGCCTTCGTAAGCATGCAATTGTATGACGTCGTCTGTGAAATCGTTAGAAGCGATAAGACACTCGTTAAAATTTTCTTCAAACTGCTGAGAATAATATTTGCCTTTTCTCTGTACAAAATACTGGTTTACTGAACATCGAATGACTAGTTTCTTCTATGCTGTAAATGACTTATAGGGTTTTAGGTGCAAAAATGCTTTGGTGTTTCTATTTCTAACCCTTGTAGAAAATCCCAAATTCTTTTGAGTGGTGCCTTCCATTCCATTGCCGTCATCACCGGTATTTTTACTCTCAGTGATTGCTAAATTACTTGTACGTAGGAACTTGCAGTCCATTGAAAATTTAAAATGTCACAGGCGCTTTGTATTTCGTAGAGGACGCTCTTTTATTTTTAGAACTTGTGTGGGAGTCAATAGAAGCTTAACCTTAAGTTTGTGGGGTCGTCACTTGTCACCCTTGCCCCTCAGCTGCCATCTATGCGTAATTTATCAGGGTCTTTTTATAATCTTTCTGTTCCGCACTCTAAAAATGTAATACTCGGTCCTTAAATTTTAACATTTCAATGGACTATTTTGTCTATACGTATTTACGTACTCTTGCTTTATTATTGTTATCGGTTAGTCGACGTTGGTAGGTGAATAAATGTCTTTCTACTTTCTACCTCTCTTATTTGTGCATATTAGGTAGTCCCTTACTTTTAAGGGGGAACATCATCATCGAAAGAATATGTTGCTTATGGGTCGACGTGCTCCACCGTAGACCGCATCATCGTTTACCACAAGGCGAAATAGGGGTCAAACGTCGCCCCATCAAATATATAAAAAGAAAAACAAATCACTAAATGTCTCCTTCCATCCTGGGTGAGGTGAGAGGGAGTGTCAGACTCTTATAGACTAAAAAAGAAGCCGAATGGAGCGGTGTTTAGTCAATAAGAGTCTGATATAATAACATAATCAGAACAGAACTAAGGACTTGGATCTCATCGTAAATGGTAGAAACTTCTCTCTTTAAGGACTAGGAGAAGAGTTTAAGAGTCTTTTCTCATTCGAAATCCTGCTAGAATTGTAGAAATCAAATCTTATCTTGTGCTTCCGAAGTCCGATACGTAGCCAAAAGCCTTGATACATTAAAACAACGTAATCTTATGTCACATTTAATATTATAACATAACATCACGCCTTTTCTCCCTGTAGGCAGAGGTGCACATTATGCCACTGTACAATGTGACACCCACTTTTCACTATATATGTTACGAGTCCCATGTAATAGGGTGGTGAGCCTATTGCCATATACCAGGCACAATTCCAGACTCCGTGCTACTAGTGAGATTTTTTTTAAAACCCAGTAATACTTTGCCCGACCCGGGAATCGAACCCGAAACCCCTTGCCCGGCAGTCGCACTTGCGACCACTCGGCCAACGAGGCAGTCGTTTAATATAGACATTTAATATCATTTTCAGGCAATACTGAATTTGGATGTGAAAGAAGGCGTAAATGACAAAGAACTGGAGGCATGCGTCCGCGAGGTGCTGAAGTACGGCGTCAAGACACACAAGGCTACGTTCAAGAACCAGCTGTTCTGTGCCACGGATCCTTATGGGCTGGCTGGAGCCTGGCTTGCAGAGGCTTGTAATACTAGTCAGTAAGTACCCACATCTTTCTCAAAGAACCATCAGACCACCTCAATGGGGACCAGCAGGGCTGATGCCGATACGGAGCCGCGGAAGACTTAATGGGTTGCCGGGACTCCGGTTCGAAGAGCAATACTAGGAATGGGTTGGTTTTTAGTCAATAAGGGTCTGACACTGCCTCTCGCCTAACCCAAGGCGGGAGAAGATCTTATCTTTTAGCAGTTATAGCAATTCAAATCCCTCAAAAGATCGGCAACACACCTAAAACTCATCTGGTGTTTCAAGTGTCCATGGGCAACGCCATTTGCTTACTATCACGAAACAATACGCTAACGAGAGATGTTGAGTATTTGCTAGATAATCTACATACTATCAAGTTGATCTGCTTGCTATTGGTTTGGTACTTCGTATATGATTATACATTTCTAATTGCTTTACTTTCTACATTCAGATTATTCTGGTAGGTACAGAGTGATTATCTAAACATTGTAAAACAAGCCCTCAGTGTTTTTAATGCGGGGTTAGCAGTCAATCACCTCTCACCTCGAAGCATACGTTTCTATTTCACAAGTATATGCTAAGAGACTGGCTAAAGGTAAACTTGGTCGATACTTAACTGCGGTACATTTGGGTCAGGAATGCAGTTTCCGATTTGTTAATTCATATTATAAGCGCGTGATAGTGTGACCAAGAAATATAGGGATTCATTTTTATATACATGAATTATATAAAACATCACGCTACGATCAACAGGAGCCGAGTAGAGCAGGAGGAACCGCACGGAAATAGCTAGTATATATAATATACTCGTACTCGATCGTAGCGTGATGTTTTATATAATTCATGTATATAAAAATGAATCCCTATATTTCTTGGTCACACTATCACGCGTGAACGATTGGACCGACTTCACAATTTTTTTTTGTTGTGTTTGTTATTGACAGGAGAAGTTCTAATGACAGAAAAAAATCCTGAAAATCCTAGGGGAAAGGGAGAAAACGAGATTACGCATACGTAGTCGCGGGCAGAAGCTATATAAACTTAGCTTCATGTAATAGTACAAGATCTGTAACTTTGGTATTTACCTACTTAATAATTAGTGAAAATGTTCATAACCTGTTTACCGTTACTAAAACTACAATACCTAATCACATAGAAACGTAAGCTGAATATATTTCTTTGCAATAATGGCAATCGCATAGGTAAAGAACTATTATCACATTGTAGCTCCAGTCTAAGATAAGATATAGATATAAACTTACTATTTACTTGCAATTGAGACTAATTAAACAAAATTTTCTAACAGCCACATTATATCTCTCATTAGCTATCCATATTTCCAGGTATACTTTCGAAGTGGGTCCAGTTTTCACTCTGATAGAACTAAGACTTCTGAACCACATCCTCAAAGTCTTCGGCATTCCCAATGGAGATGGCATCTTCAGCCCTGGAGGTAGCGTCTCCATGATGTACGGGCTCGTGGCTGCCCGGTACAAGGCGTTCCCAGAAATCAAGACGAAAGGCATGAGAAATCTACCCGAGATGGTTATTTTTACTTCTCAAGATGTAAGTGGTATACCTTTAGTATCATTATTTTTATTTGCAAAGGTCCAGTTGGTCTACTACTCAGCTAATTTTTAGTTCCCATGTGTTATAGAAAACATAACATAACATCCCACAACACGCCTTTTATCCCCGATGGGGAAGGCAGCGGTGCACATTATGGCACTTAATGCTACTGTACAATGTAACACCCACTTTTAATTATTTATGTTATGCCTATGTAATCGGGGGTGAGCCTATTGCCGTATACCGGGCACGTTTCCGTGTTACAGAAAATAGGACATATTTTCGAAATCCGCACTGTTACTAAACCTATTAGAGAATTACTATTATGTTAGCTCAACCAGGGAATGAGCATGAAACCTCATAATTTATTGCGCGACGGTTTATAGTCGAAATTGTAACGACATTATCGATTTGAAGTCGTTGCTAAACGGGTTCCAGACAACAGCATAAATTTATATCTCTGCAAATATTCTTAACCAAATTTCAAGAGCCTTAAAATCTTACTTCCAGAGCCACTACTCCATCAAGAAGGCAGCTCATTGGCTAGGTTTTGGTACTGACAGTATCAGGATCATGCCCACCAATGACCACGGCCAGATGTTGGTGGAGAAGCTGGATGAAGCTATCCAGATTGAGAAGGACCTTGGTAGATGTCCACTCTTTGTAAATGCGACAGCTGGTACAACTGTGTTGGGAGCTATTGATGACCTGGAAACCATTGCTGATGTCTGCAAGAAACATGGAGTTTGGATGCATGTTGATGTAAGTTCAGATCCTTCTAAATGCTTAAGCGATCTTTTATTCGTAACCTTATATGTAACATATTATATCATATTCTTTTATTATATAATAAGTTCAAGTAATAAGTGATGAATAAGACCATGAAGAAGATCTGGTAATCTTTTTAGAATTTCGAATAGAGAGTTTACAATGTAAGTTAAGAAGTGATAAACAGTGTAGTTTATTCCTGTTTCAGGGCTGCTGGGGAGGAAGTTTGATGCTGTCACCTAAATATAGGAGCAAACTAAAAGGCATTGAACAGTTAGTATCCAACAACTATTATACACGCCCATCGACTTTTTGGAATCCACAATCTTATTACTTACGGAGGTTTAAGACGGCTGCGTCTCTTGTATGAGAGGGCGAGGTCGAAACCTACCAACAGCAAGTACCAATGTAACTTTTCCGAGTTATATGTACTTTCTAAGATTATTTAGACACCACTGACAAACGGTGAAGGAAAATATCGTGATCACCTTATAATAATTTCTAATTATAAGTTTGTAATAACTAACCTGCATTGAGCAAACGTGGTGATTAATGCTCAAACCTACTCCGTGTGAGAAGAGTCTTTTGGTCGCCAATGGTCAGTTATGGGATGTTGATATTGACTATTTAACAATAGTCTACCAGATACCATTTACCAAGTAAAGCTTTCATCACGAGTAGCTGATTATCCACTGGTAGATTATGAGCTTCCTCTGCAATGGTTTGCTATAATCTCCAAGTTTTGACTGGCGTTTTAGAGATTGTAGTCACAGTAACATTATGACGCAGGTTTTTAAGGTTTACGTTTCGGTATTATAAAGCGCTACTGCCCAGTCTCTGTCAGTCTGTGTTAAGTGCCAGAATAGGGTCTCCTAGACTCTTTACGAATATCCTAAGAAGGAAACAGAGTAAGAGTAAGGACAGATCTATTTATCTCTGCCAGCTGCCATCTCCACAAGGTTTAGCATATTAATATTACCTGTTCCAGAGCCAATTCAATAGCGTGGAATCCTCACAAAATGATGGGAGCTCCTCTGCAATGTTCCGTCTTCATGGTCCGAGACAAGGGGTTACTCCACGAAGCCAACTGTGCGGCTGCACAATACCTGTTCGCACAGGATAAGTTCTATGATGTGTCTTACGATACAGGGGACAAGAGCGTGCAGTGTGGGAGGAAGGTGAGCTTTTCAATAATTCTTCTCTTATAACCCACCTTATACCACCTGGGTGCTTACTCAATTTTAATGTCAATGCAATTTCAATCCAATAAAATCTCTATAATTGTTCAATGTCAAAATATACAACTCCTATCGTAGCTGTTAAAATATTCGGAGTCGCGGAGAACCTAACGGGTAACCGGGGCTCCGACTCGACGTGCAGGAGAAGGAACGGGGTGGTTTTTAGTAAGGAAGAGTCTGACACTCCCTCCCGCCTAACCTGGGAGCAGTCATTCGATGATTGTACCCCCTTAAAAAAAAGCTGTTAAAATAACATACAGAGTACAGAATATAAAGCCAAACTCAATACTATTTCGTTCATTCAATATCCATGCAATACGAAAGCAATGGGCGCTAGTGTTGCAACTCAAGAGTACGAAATTTCACAATATCAATGTCGACCGATCGGAATTGGATTCAAGAGTAAGCTCCCAGATAGATTAAAGGTGTCGCCATGGATAGTGGAAGCCCTCAACACTCAATGAGTTACTATTGAATTGCCAGCCTTTTGGGTGAAAGGGCCTGCGAAATTTTAGATAGTTGTTAAAGGTTTTATAAATAACAACCCTATTTTGATTGCTATAGAACACTTTTCAGCTTTATTGGAGCCTATTTTGTGACAGATAACGTGTAATTTACTATAGGAATCTATATTTATAAAAGAAAGTTGTGTTAGTTACACTATTTATAACTCAAGATCGGCTTAATCGGTTTGGATTAAAATTGGTGGGGAGTTCGCTTTGAACCAGGAGACGGACATAGGATACTTTTTAACCAATACTTTTTTTTACCTCTTACCGAAAACCACGAACAGGAACGGGGAAAAACGGGATTACGCGTACGAAGTCGCGGGCGGAAGTTAGTTTTTAATATTTTTTAAAGATGTGCATGTGACCGACTGCTATGTAGGTACTTATTTCTTTATTTTATGAATGTCACAGAGTGAATTCTATGCTTGTATGACACTAGACTATTTAAGAGACCTGAGACTCCCTATAATTTATTCTACAAATGCTAATTTAATAAAACGTTTAAATTCCAGATAGATTCATTCAAGTTATGGATGATGTGGAAAGCGCGAGGTGACCTGGGGCTCAGCGAGCTTGCAGACAGGACAATGGCAACAGCACAATTCTGCATAGAGGCTGTAGCAAGCCGACCAGGTTTCAAACTGGTGTCCAATGTACTGCAATGTCCCAATGTATGTTTCTGGTACATTCCTACCTTCATGAGGGGAAAGGCTGAAGATGAGCAGTGGTGGGAGATTATGCACAAGGTAAGAATCTAGGAAAAAAGATTATTATAATCTTGCTAAGTGAAGTCTAATCTTATTTGAACGCGCTAATCTTGGAAACTACTGAAAAAATAGCTTTGTTTTTTTTTTATTTTATGGCATAAGCCAGTAAACGAGCAGACGGATCACCTGATGGTAAGCAATCGGCGTCGCCCATGGACACCTGGAGCTCCAGAGGCGTTGCAAGTGCGTTACCGGCCTTTTGGGGATTAGGAGTTTCAGGATCGTTGTGGATTCAGGGATTGGGAAGATTGGGGAAGGGGAGGGGGGTAATTGGGCCTCCGGTAACCTCACTCACACGACGAAACATAACGCAAGCGTTGCTTCACGTCGGTTTTCTGTGAGGCCGTGGTATCACACCGGTCGAGCCGGCCCATTCGTGCCGAAGCATGGCTCTCCCACATTTAATTTTAATTAACATTATAAAAAGTTTTAAGTATTCTCTGTTCTTTACAGATAACGCCTAAGATCAAGGAGCTCCTAATCCTGAGGTCTCAACTGATGGTGGCCTACTCTCCACTGCTACATCACAAGAACTTCTTCCGCCTGGCGTTCACCTTCCACCCAGAGGTGGACAACCAGGAAGTGCTGCAGATGCTGCAGTCCATTGAGCAGGCTGGTGAGACGGTTACCATGGATATGTTGACTTAAGACAGCATATTTTCATTATATTTCGGACATTAATTGTGTAAGATAATAATTATGAGACGCCTTTATGTATATTTACTAGAGATGCAACGAATAGTTGTTTGGCCGGATACCGGATATTCGGCCTGACCCCCAGCCGAATATTCGGTATCCAGCCGCCGAATATTCGGCCGGCAGTTTGATACCTACATTTTGAGTTTCGTAGGCGCGTGTCGCGTACCGCCACGCCATTCACCATGCAGGTTTTGATTTGTTATTATAAAAAGTTAAAATTGTTTAAAGTAATAAAAAGATTCAATTACATCTGTCTTTATTTAGATTTCATTTATACCAACCAAGTTTGTTATCCTGTATCCGCCCGGATAATACATTACCATCCGGTATCCGGTCGGATAGTAAATAACAGCCGGATATTAACCGAATATTCGGTGCATCTCTAATATTTACGTTGTAAAGTGCCAGCCACCTTGAACAGCTGAATTTAAATTTTTGATGACTTAACTTGATTTCCCTAAATTAAGTGGTTTATCACTACACCTCTAAGATGTGAAAATGTTCTCTTTTATTTGTTAGGGGTTTATGTCATACCTTCAATATAGGTATGTTCATCAGTCCCAGCAATAGTATTTTTTTTATTTTACTTTAACTTTATTGCTAAATGCCTATTGTTGTCTGATTGGTGGCTTGTTCGTCCGCGAGTCACTTAAGGGGCCAGTAGAATACCAGTGCAAGGCCCTGTCTTCCACATGCTGAACTGGTCCCATTTCACCGCAGACTTGGGACATTAGTAGATATTTATAAACTTATGTGTAAAAAGTGTATGTGTTACCTGTTTTAGCGTGTGAAATAAAGGTTTTCTTTCTTTCTTTCTTTAATGTTACTTGACCAACACATCAGTTAAAATTGATTACCGATAATTTTGTTACCAAAAGTACAGTCAATAATATTTTGTGTATTGTATGAATACATTTTACACAGTGTATATTTTTCTTAAATATTTTAATTATACTTGCTCTGTTTTGTATCGTGATGTTATAAATAAACATACTGACAAATTATTTTATTATGAACTTATAAATATATTTTTTAATAGATTACAATTAGAAGGTACATATAATACATAGAAGATATACTTAAGCCATTAAATATGTTACCAATAAACGATAGTTTTTAATACGATTTATATTTCAATGGCTTCCTTTTCCCAAATCTTTGTATTCGCTGCAATCACCCAGTCCAGTGATTTGTTATTACCCCACGGATCCCCATTATGTCCCCAAAGTGATCTGTTGCCATGAGAACCTTCTTTATCATCAATTTTTACAGCTTGATGATACTGAGAATCTATCAGACGGAAGACTACATGCCCATTCGTCATCACAGGCTCCACATAATACGTATAATTTACTTCGCTATCGGCTGAAGCTAAAACTTTTCTATCGCCCAAGCTGTCCGTATTTGCGTCCAACTTCAAATACATGTTATGTTCTAAATTACATATTTTAAATACAACGTCATTATTCTCAATCTGTGTCTGGAACTTCCAACTTACTTTCTTGCTTATTTTATCAGTACTGTCACCAAGCACAGGTGTATCGGTTTTTGGATCGCTCGCATCTAATTTCATAGCTTGTTGATATTCTTTGCTGACTATCGTTACAACTTCTCCTTTTAAAATGAGTTGGAAAGGAGTTGGGAAACTGTTGTATATAACGTCCGTAGCTCCAGTGTTCCATAGTTTGTAAGCATACGTCATAACATTAACGCACTTTTCACCTATAAGTTTGATGACAACATCGCCGACAGCTTCCGAACCGGCCTCGGAGTCCATATCCTTAGTCAAACTGATGGCGTCATCATAAGATCCATCTGTTACCTTCTTATATAGAATGTCTTTTATTTCCGTCAGATTTAAAAATGTCATGTCGCTGTCAAATAACGTCAACCCTTGTAATTTACTGGGTAAAGTGTATTTAGGATAGTGGAACATGGATATTTTCTTCAATTCTGTTCTTAGGTTTCTTATTTCAGCTGAGTTAGTTTCAAATCCGTATGCGACAACCTTACCGACGTCTGGATTGATCATCCTTGCAATATCTCTAGCACAGCTGTTGTTTATTGGTGCTCCCATCACGGTGACGACCTCGACGGAGTGGTCCTTAATGTAGGGGCTGGTGTCGCAGTTGACATAGTTTACGACTGGGATCCTGTTCGGTATCTTCCTGCCCCGGTCGGGACCGTTACTCACGAGTTGGAACACATGGTTAACGTTATAGCAATCTGAAAAACCGCTGATTCCATGCTGTGTGACTATCCTGCCTTCGCCCCAATAGTCAACATGTTCGATTAAGTTGTTGAGGGAGACCGGTAGCTTTACTAAGCGATATTCTCCCAAATATGGGCATTCAGAGTAAGGATAAGTTTTGTTAGTGTTCGTGACGTAGTTTGGACGCTGCGCAAGCTTCCACCCGCCAATAGAATGCATGTTTTTGAAGTTCTGTTTATCTGAAATAATACGGAGTCGCTTAAAACAGTTTATATCAGTGATAAAGCGTTTTGTCTAACCTGTGTGTACAGATATAATATGTTCATTAGAAAATGTGTTATTGACTACTTACCAGCATAAAATTAGGTCGCACTTAATGGAACTACATTGAAATGTTTTGTTTTATATTTATGATTTTGTACCGACTATACTTTTATCAGTTTTGCGGTTTTCGGTAACAATCAGTGTCTGCCGCAAATAATCTTGCCTTTGTGCCCACAAAATGATAAATGTTTTGATACCTATTATTCATACCTATTTGTAGGATTTTCTTATTTTGTCAAGTCATGTCATGACGGATTTTTTATCTGTAGGGACCTGCAATATTTTGTGTGCATCTGTGGTTATTTATCTATGATAGGTAGTCGTAACTAATTCGAATTTCAAATTATCGAACACTTGATAGTTTTAAAACTTGCTTGTAATATTAATCTTAAAATCAGTTTTAAGTATAACTCTAATTGTAACAGAGAGACTTGGTCTTTAGCTAACATATGGTACAATTAAATCCAAACCGAAAAAAGCTTTTTGATTACCTATTCATATAGGTATAATTTCTTAGAACCAACTATGGCATTTGTGATTCATTATGTCCATTCATGCGATGGGTAAACGAAAAGTTCTCATGATTTGAGTAAACCAATATTGATGTTACCTCCTAAAATAGACCGGTATAATAATTATTTGTTCGTCAATTTGTCAGTGTTGTATGTTTGCTATACGAGTTACCAGCCTACCACACACGGTGTTTTAGAGAAAGCAACACACAATTATTGGCTACGAACCTATTTGTTAGCTAAACAGATATTGTGCCTTTGTTTTTGTTAGTATTGTGTACTTTTCCGATCATAAACAGCTTCAGATAGCCATAGTAAGATCGCTAAGACTCAAATTTTGATCTTATGTGAATTTAAGCAAGATAAGGATTTTTTATGGAATAGGAGGCAAACGAGCAAACGGATCACCTGATGGTAAGCGATCAGCGACGCCCATGGACACTCGCAACACCAGAGGTGTCAAGCCGGCCTTTTAAAAAGGAATATGCTCTTTTCTTGAAGGTTTAAAGGTCGTATCGGTTCGGAAATACCGCCGACGACAGATCATTCCACAGTTTTGCTGTGCGAGGCAGAAAGCATCGTTAGAAGCTGAATGTGAACATACTTGACACACGATATCCAATAAATAGGACTAAATAGAATAAAACAACTCATATACTGCAGTATTTTTTTTACTGCAGTAAAAACAACTATTTTCTATACAGAACAATAGACTCAAAAGAGACTAATTCTTTAACACATACTTCTTTAGAAGCGTGCATTTTGAGCGATCCATCCGAGGTATTTGTCTACTTGTGTGTAGAGGCCAGGATGCTCCGGCTCCCCGCAGCGCAGGCCCCAGGACACCACTCCGACGGTAGTCCAGCGACCGCTTGGCATCTGGTACATCAAGGGACCACCGCTGTCACCCTGACATTAAAAAAACAATTACATTAACGAGATTCCAGACGATGTCTAGGATAATGACTAATATGTATATTTTGTATAGGATAAGCCGCTTAACGAGCTGGTGGCAGATCACCTGATGGCAAGCAATCGACGCCGCCCATGGACACCTGAAACACCGGAGGCGTTACAAGTGCGTTACCGGCCTTTTGGGAATGAGGAATTTGAGGATTGTGGGGGATTCGGGGATTAAGGCGACTGGAGAGGGGGGAATTAGGTCTATTTAATATTAATTAAATTTAACAGTAGGTATGTAGGTACTATTAAATGGCATAACCGTTTGGTTCTAGACACGCTTACTCGTTCTTTTAGATAGTTTCTCTATTCTAAACGATCATAATATTGTGTTACAAATTAATTGACTGTGAATTCCTTGATATATAAGTAATATGCTTTCAAGGTGTTCCTTACAACCTTTGAACCTGATCTATCCATTAATACTTTTTGAAGAGCATCTATCATACATAATTGTTTTACCTGACAGGCGTCCTTCCCTCCCTCAAGGCCTCCAGCGCAGAGGGTTTCATTGAAGATACTGTCCGTGAAGGCAGCGACACACTTGTCATGGTCCCACACTGGAACTGTCACTTCCATCAGCACGCTGCTGTGAGGACCTCCGTACCATTGGGTTCCCCAACCTAATTAAAATAAGATCATAAGCGTCATTGTCATCGTTTAATTAAATTAGGTATATGCCTTTTTAACTCTCCATCCAACTTCAAAAAGAGGAGGTTCTCCATCAGTCGAGGTATTTTTATTATGGTTTAAATGTGTGTTTAGTGATTACTTGAAAACGCCTGGACCGAATTGATTTCCAACCTATCAGGAGTTAAATGCCAGTATACCTGGATAAGTAATAATTAAGTTTTGTTTACTTTTTAGTATTTTTGAAATCGCTTTTGTACCGCTGTTTATCTTATATCATTATACTCTTATACTATACTACTATTATACTACTCTTATATAAAGCGGAAGAGTTTGTCTTTTTGTTTGTTTGTTTGAACGCGCTAATCTCCGTAAGTACAAGTCTGATTTAAATAATTCTTTTTGTGTTGGATAGCGTATTTATCGAAGATGGCTATAGGCTATAAAACATCACGCTACGACCAATAGGAGCTGAGCAGAGCGTGTGAAACCGCGCGGAAGTAACTAGTTTTTTTATAGAATGTTGTTTTACTTTAATAACTATTCCCGTGTCCTAAGTGATCTTAAAAACAACATATACTTGTATAGATAAGTACGTAGAAGATTATAAAAATTGGAACAATCCCGTTGCCCAGTCGTCCAGTCACTGAATGAACTTTACAGTTAAATTGCATTTATCAGATATTTGCATCGTTCCTTTTTAAGAAAATTTTGACGTAACAGTTTCGAAAGCTCCTCAAACCGACCATTTCACTTTCATCTTACTGTAGAATGTTAACTTAAGTGATAAAACAAAAGGTTTCTATGGAAAACTGATTGCATCTGCGGCAATAAGTGCGACAATTTGCATCTAACTGATATGTTGACATAACACTACCTGACGCAACAATTCTTTAGAAATTCCACCATAAAACAATGTTTGGTTTCTCCGTTTTGTTTTTGGAATAACAGCTTAAGGGCCTGTTTCACAATATCTGGATAGCCGTTATCTACCAGATAAATTTGAATTAAGAACGTAATTTGTATGAACTATCTGTTACATCAGTTTATCAGGTTAAGGTAAGGATTCAAAATTTTGATGGGAATATAGATTGGATACGTCAAATAATACATAAATGATGCTAAAAGTCATGGAATCGATATGACATGATTCTTGTTCTTTTTCCGATCAAGATGGAGGACCTCTGTGGACGCCCTCTGTCCCATCTAGGGGACATAGAAACCTAAGTCAAGTTGTTCTTTTTGCTCCTTTTAGAATATTACTAAGGAGTTTCTTGAGGTCGCAATTGAATGGTATCATTTATGTGATGAAGGAAACATTATAATTACCAATAACAGTGACTGGTTCATCAGTAAGCTGAAGATTTGGTGGGGGTAGGCAGATGGGCCAGACATATGTGTTGAACACAGCTGGACGCTCCAGCTTTAAGATGGCGATGTCGTTCTTATAGTTGGCTATCTGGAAACCCTCGTGCTGACGTATCTCAGAGACTTTGAAGTTGTAAGTCCGCGAGTCATTCGTTCTTTTCATGTCGTACTCTCCTAAACGAACAAACAGTTCCTCGGCTTTCCATCTGCGAAAATAGGGTTTGATTTTTAATAGGATGAACTTCTAGTCTTTTGTTTTTTGACATATGTCTCATACATCAGCTAATTGAAACAAATACAAATACGTATAGGTACTGAAAGATTTATAAGAGTTGATGTTAAAGATGAAGGATTAGTAGTCTTATTTTACCTTCTGGTGCAGTGAGCAGCAGTCAAAACGTGTCTGTCTGTGATGAGCACTCCTCCGCAGTACTGCTCGAAGCCCTCAGGAGTTACGGATGCCATCCATGGCCACTCGCGAGGGTTGGTCTCTCGAGCTCCCAGCACTCTGCTTTGTTGGCGTGTGCTTAGACCACAACCTGCAGAAATTCAAAGAAATATAATAATTTAATATACCTGTTCCTGTTTGTTTCAACAGAACAAAATTTTTGAATGAGTATTTATTAAGGCTACTTGCTCGTAGTCGTATGTAAGTAGTCGATAGTCGACAATCGAGTCTTGACGGACTCTTAAAATGAGTACGAATTATCTTTACTTTGACTAGGTAATTCTTTTGTGTTGCCAACTAAATTAGGCTTAGTATTAAGTTTTGTTTACAAGTTCGCTAAAGGCCTATATTTATACAAAGCTGGTGATATGGGGCATAAGATACCTACCTCTAGTTTCAGCCCTGGTGACCTTGATGATGGCTTCATTCTGTTCCTCTTTCGGTGCGGTTGCGGGGAGGTCCCCTGCTAATCCCTCAGCGCCACCACGGGTCAAGTCATCAGGGCAACACGCTCCTACAGACCTAAGAAAACATTGTCACGATTCATAAAATGAAGCTGAAGTGGTTATTATTAAAATACTTTAAAATACTATTATATAAAGCGGAAGACTTTGTCTGTTTGTTTGAACGCGCTAATCTCCGAAACTACGGGTCCGATTTGAAAAAATCTTTCTGTATTGGATAGCCCATTTATCGAGGAAGGCTATAGGCTAGAAACATCACGCTACGATTAATAGGCGCCGAGCAGAGCGAGTGAAACCGCGCGGAAGTAGCTAGTTATTAAATAATAGATTCACCAGGACTATGACATGCCCGACATCTTATTAGTTATTGTTATAGTTATGTATAGTTTTCTTATACAAATATAATTGAATAACAAGCTACTGTAACTGACTGTTGGTTGATGATGCAAACATAATCCATGAACTTGATGAAGTCGCTGCGGAACTCATCCTGGATGCAGTGGCGAAGGTGGCGGCAGTGGCCAGGCTTGCCGTCTGGCAAGACACAGCTTTGGTAAGCAGTGTCGATCTGAAATAGATTACTTAAGTGAAGAGATCATAGAGCGAACGAACGAACCTAAAAATGGAATTAAAAACAATTTTTGTCTGTCTGTCTGTTTATACGTTTATACTACTTGATATGATTATATTTTAATATCCCAGGCACAACACTGGGTACTTATTATCCCGAAAAAGTATACACGAAAAACAAATATAATTGTGCGGCTCAATTCCTAGACACACTTACTGTACCAAACGTAAATATAAGTTTGTTGAATGTTAGGTTGCCTGCAGTGGAATTTACGGATGAAGGAACCGGGATGAAATTTAGAAAAGAGGTAGGTTATAGTCTGGAGTAACACATAGGCTACTTTTTACCCCTGGCAACGCAGCCGAAGCCACTAGCGGAAGCTAGTTATATTATACATATAGATATAATACAATCACCTCGAAAAAGGGCTAATAAATGGCATTTCTTCTTAGTATAATATTAACTAAATATCGCGGGTTACTCACGTGAATATACTGAGAAAAGCTCTACTAGTTTCGAAACACAGAGGGGTTCTTCCTCATGAGCAGCGTGCGCGATCGCGGCGATGTCGCGCAGCTCACTGACATCGCTGATTTTTAGTTAATTTAGTATGTATTATAAAGAGTATTCATATAGAACATCAAAAGAGGTCATTCAACATGGCACGGTTTTGTTAAACCTCCTATAATACTTACCTATGGGAATACTGTTTCCATTACACACAGACATTCACACAAAACACGATCATGTCCCTAATTTAGGATCATTAGAGGTCTTATGTCAGCGCTTAATGATAAGATCGTGACGCAGTCATTGTAGGACTACAAACTACGAGTTACTTGCTCAAATACTAAACGTATATTCTTTGAGAGGTCAGCTTAATTGAGCTTTAAAGTAATTAGAATGTAAGGTTTATACTACGTCTAATGAGGTGGTAATGCAGATGGAGGTATAATTGTAAGACCTGTGGAGATATTGTAGATAGACTTTGTAAGAGTGTGAGTGTATTTATTTGCCAAGTACTTACAGGCACTTACATATTCGATCTAGGGACGATTATATTTTACTAAGGATACTGTAGTAGACAACTACCAAATATGTATAATGCCATTTTAATAATAATTGGGCCTAATTGCGCCTCCAGTAACTTAACTTACGCGACGCAACACAACGCAAGCGTTGTTTCACGTCGGTCTTCTGTGAGGCCGTGGTGACTCCGGTCGAGCCGGCCCATTCGTCCTGAAGCATAGCTCCCCCACACTTGTAGTGACAGAACTATACTTAAGCGCCACTTAAAATTGAGTAGTGTTTCAGTATTCGGGTATTAGACTCTTTCTGAGTAAAACTACCCTGTTCCTAATCCTGCTAGGTTTCGCAGCCACAATCCGGCAAAACGTTAAGTTGTCCGCAGTTCTGCATAGTAGATAAGGCCAATAGATAGATACTTTTTCTGACTGACTATTTGGACCCAGGAGTCCAGGACTTTATGATTAGTAGTTACGATTGTTATAGAATATCGAGATACTTAATCGTTTTCAAAGCACACATGCGTATTTAAGTATACTTACATGAAAAATGAAAACTAGTACCTATTAGAGTCGAGTAGAACAGCATAATTATGGCTTTCACTACTTGTCCTTTAGTTCTTAGGATGAAAGTTAGATTTTATCTACTTACGTACACAAGTAGCTTCACCTCGTATGCTAATTCTCTACACACGGGTTAAACGCGGAAATAATAGCTAATTGCTCATGTTTTACAAGCAGCATAATGATGTTGATCTCAGGGATCGTTGCTAAACACGCTCAGTGCGGCGCCGGCGCAGCTAATTGAATAGATGTATTCTAACTTGGTTTTGAAGGCTGTAGCGTGGGCGCGTGGTAGACTGGTTTGAAAATTTTTAGATAGATAGCGGCCTATAATAATTATAACTATTTTACTTATCAACATAATTATTTTTCTCAAATCAAAAGCACCAATCATATTGTATCTGATGAAAAGTGAGCACCTTTTTTTATTTTATTTTTTTGAGAGGGAAAATCATCCAATGACTTCTCTCACCCGGGTTAGGCGAGAGGGAGTGTCAGACTCTTACTGACTATAAACCACCCCGTCCCTACTCCTGCACTTCGAGCTGCAGCCCCGGCAACCCGTTAAGTGTTCCGCGGCTCCGTATCGGCATCAGCCCTATTGGGCTTCATCTGTGGTAGTCTGATGGCTCCTTGAGGCGCGCGCGAAACGCAACGCGCCGTCCGCCCGGGTCTGGTTCTGATTGGGCGGCTATTCACCCGTGTTCCCCGTATGCAGGCCCGTGCTTACGGTGGCCAGAGATCGTCTCGCGATCCCCGGCGCCCGGAGTGTCTCTCGCGACGGCTGGGGCGTGAGGAGGTTCGTTCCCTCACGAGTCCCGCCTCCTCCTTAGCTAGCATGACTGCTTCGCAAAAGGAGGAGACGGCATCCCAGTCCCCCTCGCTCCGTACTATGGTCTGAACCAGTGCCGGACGCGAGAGGTCACCGTCGCCGATCACATCCTTGAGGACACGGCGGTGCTCAGCCCACGCAGGGCACACCGCCACCGTATGCTCCACCGTGTCCTCTGGGCGGAAAATTGAGTACCTTGGGAATAACGATCGTGTTTCCCTAATATTTTACTAGAAAAATTATACAAAACGATAAAGAATTGGTGTTCCGGCTTTTGTTTTTACATTTTACAAACAATGTAGGTGATGTTTTTTAAACAAGACTTTCGTTCCGATACGGTGGGTACTTCACAATTCACACGTTCAATGGTTCAAATAGTACATAATATTTTGTAATACCAACACCGTAATAAAATTGTTTTATATTTTCTGCTACCTAACTGGTTACCGGGGCTCCGGCTCGAAGTGCAGGAGTAGGAACGGGGTGGTTTTTAGTCAGTAAGACTCTGACACTCCCTCCCGCCTCACCCAGGCGGGAGCAGTCAATCGATGATTATCCCCCCTTAAAAAAATGCTTGAGAGGTAAACTTTCATAGATATGATTAGTTTTTATGTGTATATTCAAGTTCCCATGGAATACTAGTTTTTACTATTCCATGGGAGTTCCAGATACAGGAACTCTTTGATTATTTAATTATTTTAGAGTTTATGAAATTATTAGTGTTTTATTGGAAACAGGAATTTATCTACCAAAATACCTTGGCCTTGAGTATGATCTTTGTTTATTTTATTATATTTGTGGTGGACACTTAAGTAGTGTACCTACGTGTTCAGCAAGTTGAATAAATATGCGGTGATAATATAATGATGGTCCAACTGCAACTGCTTTACTGGCTGGCTCTACGGGACGCAGCCCTAGCCGAATACCTATCAGGTATATAAGAAATACTAATGCTTAGGTATAAACCCGCAATTTTTTAAGGGAACCTTCCCGGAAATAGATGGCACATTCAAACAATATCAAGTACCTTACAACGCTCTTAATGATGACACAGTTGTAGATTGTAGTATAGACTGGACCTAGAACTTACTAATGTTTCTCATAACATTTTAGCAGTATGAAATATAGTACCTATTTCAGGTATTTCTTACCTGGTTATCATTTATTCCAATGAATCTCTTCGCTCGACCAGCCCCGATGTGCAGGCCACCCTGAGCTATGATCTCTTGCCATGATGGATCCAGCAATTTGGCTGATAACATTTACAAAAAAATATAATGCGATTACAAGTAAATTTTTATTATTTTGAGTACTTTTTGCAGGTCGGTATTTAAAATCTATCTGCTTAGGTAACCAATTTTGAGATCTTTAAACAAATCAATGAAATTCTTTCTAAGAAAAATGTTATTAAGTACACCTTTCAATGCAAAAAAGACAAATTTTAATAAGGGCAACAAATATTTTATAGGCGAACAAATCATACCATACCAACCGATACTTAGCTCCCGATAGCAAAAAACAAAACATACCATTAGAAATAACAACACAGTTCTAATAAAACCCTCGATAATTGTCTAAAAGAACAACAAAAAAGAAAAAGAGAACACAAATAGATACTCACAGGCATAAGTATCTCCACTGACACTGAGAATAGTCCCAAATAATATAAAAAGATTAAAAATTAACAACATGATCACTTCATTGAGGAGCACCAGTGATTGTGCAGTATCAGACCATTTGGGACGGATGGCCGGATACCACAGCCGATAACTATAGAATAATCCACAGGATGCTATGTACTGATAATAAATATTTTGCAAAAGAGGAAAAATATTTATAACCCGCATATTTGGAGCAGTTCAAGGACGGTTTCATGGCTGTATGGTATAGTGGAGACTTGTGACTTCGCTCGAGCTACCGATACGAAGAAGAAGATAGACACGCAAATTTTCCTGGGCCGTTTCTATGGTTACAAAGATGGATGTGTGCGCGAAGATGGAGCATTAAAGAAGTTGTAGTTAGATAGTCTAAGTCAGACTACATTTAGTCCTTACTGAGGTTATAGGCCTAATGCGGATTTTCCATCCGATACCCAAAGTGCCATGGTCTTCGTTTTCAGCCAAATTCGACAAGACTTAGGGACAAACGTTTATCTATCTATGTATCATATATTTTGCGTCAAACAAAGGCCTTAAAACCTTAACCTTAGTTTTAATGTTGCTTTTATTTGGCATTTCCTTTATTTCTAGAGGCCTGTGACTCACAGGTGCTTTAGCAATTTCCCGAATGGTAATTACATTTTTCGGTAATTATCGGTAAAATGGCCACAATTGTGCTTCTGAGTAGGTTCATTTTCTGTTTAATATTGTGTTTTTGATTTATAAATAAACAATCTTCAGTAGGTAAGCAAGCAAGGACTCGTATCGTCACATTTTTACCGAGTAGCTCTTGCGCAGATAAGAACAGACTATAATAATAATACTTATGATGTATATGTGCATTGGTGAGTTGCGTATTTCAATAGCAACGCAAAGTCATAAAATTTAGTTAGATACAACTAAAAGGCAAACGTTTACCGATCAGTGGGTGATCACAACCATTAAATTTTGATAGACTCGCAAAAGTTACATCTGTGTCGAAACAAACATTCCTTGAGGCGACTGTTAAGTATTAGAACATCAAGTGTATCCGAATAGTCAAATATTCGTCCCCGCCCATAATACGGTTATGATAATAACTATAGTGGACTATAAAGTTATCCTAAGGCACCATTTGCTTAGTCAAGACTAGTTGTATAATGGCCACGGACAATAAAATGGAGACATGTAATTCTCTACTTCTAACAGAACGGTTTACTAAAACTAACATTTTATTGTCATTAATTTGTATGCCGGATATTTATTTCTAAATTAACTATAAATCGCGGTTTACTTACGTAAATATCCTAAGAAAGGCTCTACTAGTTTCGAGTCACAGAGGGACTCTTCCTCATGAGCAACGCGGTGGCGCCGTCGCGCAGCCTACTGTAGCAGTAGTGCTAGAGTCCCTCTGTGACTCGAAATTAGTAGAGCTTTTGTCAGTACGTGAGTAAACCGTTATTTTTAGTTAATTGAGCATGTCTTACGATAATTGTTATAAAAATATATTTCTAAGTCTTGGAGTGTACCCATTTTTTGACAAGTCCATTTATCGAGGAAGGCTATAGGCTATCAAACATCATGCTACGATCAATAGGCGCCGAGCAGAGCGGGGAAACTGCGCAGAAGTAGCTAGTACGTTAAAAATCGATCTTAATCCAGAGATTATGGAATAAGATTTCGACCGTAAGTCTAAACCTTCACGGAATAAGGGCTAATGCCGATACGGAGCCGCGGAGGACTTAACGGGTTGCCGGGGCTCCGGCTAAAGTGTAGGAGAAGGAACGGAGTGGTTTTTAGTCAGTAAGAGTCTGACACTCCTTCCCGCCTCACCTAGGCGGGAGACGGAATTCGATGAATTTACCCCCTTAAAAAATCAGAACCAAGATAAGTCTGGACTGGATATAATTTTTTTTTAAATTTTAAACAGCTATCTTTAACCTATCTACCGAACTTGGATATTTACAAACCTTTTATATTTAGAGGACCATAGTGCAGTAGTGGACTATCATATCCCGGTCGTAAAATTCCAAGTTCTATGCGGTCTCACCTCGAAGTGTGGCAATAAGCTTCCTATAACATGGTACTAATAAAATTAAAGTAATTACAGTTCTGGTGAAAAGTGGGCGTATCTACTGTAGGTCCACTTCTGCCTACACCATAGATAGTAGGACTATAAAACAATAATACTATGTAACTGACACCTTACCCAGCACAGTAAAACTGAAATGATCGGTCGTCGGCGGTACTTTCGAACCGATACAATTTACCAACCTTCAAGAAAAGAGCGTATTCCTTTAAAAAGGCGGCCAACGTACCTGTGCCTCCTCTGGTGTTACGGGTGTCCATGGGCGGCGCTAATCGCTTACCATCAAGTGATCCGTCTACTCGTTTGTCTCTCCATAAAAAAACTTAATATTTAAAGTTAACATTTTGTGTTTAATGTCCTTTATCGTCTTAATCTAGCATAATAATACGAGCCTATATTTACTCCAAAGTGTTACTCTTTGGACTTTTCGGTTACGGTAATAGCAGAGTCCGAAATTGTGGCCAGTGTGTGGTAGGCTCTCCCTATTATAGGGAATAATATTATTGGCGAAGAATGGCCTTGTTGAAAATGTGAAACCCACATTAAAATTTAATCCAGAAATAACTCATGGAGATATCTAGAGGATATCCCCATGGGTTATATCCTATATTATATCCTTATGGGGATCAAGATGCGTAAAGTTGTGTTATTTTTATTATAAGTCCCATATAATAGAAGGGTGCAGTAGCTGGCTACAGCCAGTTCATAGTCCCACTCTATACCGTTACTGAGAATTTTGGCAACATAAAGTCAAAGATAATTTAAGCAGATCTAAATATAGATTAAACCTGACAAGATTTATTGGTAGTTGTTTGAAAAACAGCTAGGACAAGTGTATTAAGCTTTAATCAAGCTATGCAAATATTGGCAGGCGGTCGTCGCTGGCCGTCGACAGTACCGGGATATTGGGTCGCAATTAAAATACTCGCCTCATTACTTGGGCACTATCAAGAATGAAAAGAAGGTCTAAAACGTACGAGCGGTGACTTCAGAAAATAAATTATATTTAAATGATATTTAAATGAAATTTAATATAACATAACATAACGTCACGCCTTTTATCCCCGAAGGGGTAGGCAAAGGTGCACATTCCGGCACTTAATGCCACTGTACAATGTAACACCCACTTTTCACTATTTATTATCTGTACGGAAACACATTTTCGGTAAATGTCATGTTCTTTAGTGCGTTATCAGATTTTTGCTTCCTCAAAGTGTAATAATATATCTTTCACAGTGGTGAAAAGTGATAATCCACTGCTGGACTATGGGGCTTGTCTACATAAGAGGATTTTTCCAAACTCTCTACGCTACGAGTAGATAATCAATATTTTTCAATTCCAAAAACATAACATCACGCGTTTTATCCCCGAAGGTGTATGCAAAATGTGCACATGTACAATGTAACACCCACTTTTCACTATCTATGTTATGAGTCCCATGTAATAGGGGGTGAGGCAATTGCCATATACCGGGCACAATCAATCAATCAATTTTTCAATTCCACGTATTTAATAAAGCCTTTATTACGTCCTTTATTATAAAGGAAGTAAGCTATGAAGCGTAAAGGCAGGTAATGTTTCTCATTTTGGTTCATTTCATAACAAACATTTGAGACGGTAACCGCATAATAACGTCTTATTTCTTTCAGAACTCATCATTTAATATTAAATCCTCTTACACATTAAGACATTATTTGCAGTGGGTATTCTGAGCTCTCCTATCTAGTATTAGACAGGACGGTGCGCCGGCGCCGTGTCGCTGCACCTATGTATCTAGTTACTCGCACAATTTGCTGTTTCCTTTTTAATAAGTCTCGTATTGTAAAACAATGTATTTAGGGCTTCAATGAGCTCTCAACCTTCCAGGAACATGGCGTATCATGTTTAGTTCTTGTTTCTAGTGCTTTAGGCTCTTCTGTTTTCCTTTGGTAGGCTTCCTTAGGAAACTAGTAGTTTTTTAATTAGCATGAAGTAGCTAAGGTTTCAGGATTGTCTTGCTGTTACTTATTCTAGCGGTGTAAGCGTTTTATTTCTGTAGTTTATATGTATAGATAGTAACGTAAAACATGACCGTGAAAAACATGAAAACAAAAATCGTTTATTAAATATAGTACATTTTATACTTACAAGTAGTACATGCTTCGATAATTGTGTAGCTGGGGAAAAGTTATCTTAGTCTTGAAAGCCACGTAGATAAGTACGTCTAGTGGTTGCAAACGCGATTGTTAAACAATTTTGTCAGTAAAACAGAAAACAGAAGCAGATGGATCACCTGATGGTGATTGGCGTAGCCCTTGGACACCCGGAACAATAGAGTAATTACAATTGCGTTGCCGGCTTTTTGGGGATTGAGGATTGAAAATGTACCTACATTGTTTGCATCTTATTGATATTATAAATGCGAAAGTTTTTGAGGATGTATGTGCGTGTGTTTGTTGCGCTTTCACGTCAAAACGGCTGAAGGGATGTAGATGGAATCTCTCTCCCTCATGCATGAGAAGCGGGCGTTTTAACCCTCCGGGCCACCACGACATACATTACATATTACTCCTTAAATGTAACGAAACACTTGATTACTTGTGTAGACTTAACTTATAAACTTAAAATAATATAACATAACATAACATCACGCCTTTTTATCCCCGAAGTGGTATGTAGAGGTGCACATTACGGCACTTAATGCCACTTTACAACGTTACACCCACATTTCACTATATATGTTATGAGTCCCACGTAATAGGGGGTGAGCCTATTGCCATATACCGGGCACAATTCCAGACTCCGTGCTACTATTGAGAATGTATAAAAAAACCCAGTAATACTTTGGCCGACCCGGGAATCGAACCCGTGACCCCTTGCCTGGCAGTCGCACTTACGACCACTCGCCCAACGAGGCAGTCAGCAGTTAAAATAATCTCATAATAAATCATCCCACGTGTTTAGGATACATTCCTTTATTGTTTA